AATAGTACCTGTTGCTTAGACACAGTTGTTAAATAATTTCGCAGTAAAAAGCCATTTTGGATCCACAAAATGTAAACACTCTCAGTAGTTTTAATATCACGAGCCAAATCATTTTTGCTTCAAATTTTATTTGCGACTATCTTCCAAAGCTGACCGATGCACTTTGCCACAGTAGCCTTCGCACCGAGGTAAATACCGTAGTACTGTTGTAATTTATTCTTTCTATCAGGAAGTTTAATGTGATATTTATGTTGCTGGCAATTGAAGATAACACTTTCATTTGCTTGTTTACATCACGGAGAGTTTTACGGCCACCCATCCAAGTACAATCCCCCGTCCAATGCAAGGAAAAAGGCTTAGCTAAATTTTGATTAGCTTAACATGGACACCCAAATACTAGGGTACTAGGATAAATTATAAAATTTAAGCTTTCCATGATCTTCAAACAGCAGACATTTTCAATATTCCAGGTTTACTTGATATGTGTCCGTCATTTCCATACATCTCAAAACGAAAATACTCACTTAACAAACAAAAAGCTTAGTGCTAAAATCTAATCCACAGAGGAATTAAGAAAACACTCCCAAAACTGAAGAACAATTAGCATTTGACGCAAATTTCTTCAATTCAAAAGAAAGTCTTCTACGCATTCCATAGCCTTCCTAAAGAAACAGCCTTCTTATCAATTTTACAAGATATCAAAACTCTTTAATTCATAACTTCACAGGTTATTTCACTCTGTTTACATTGTTGTGGATAGGTAACCTGTTTCACTTCAACACCGACTTTGCTTGGGTGAGTTGTTTACTAAATATTTCGCCCGAATTGAAAGCGGCACACTGTACATCTCTGTAAATGCCGAAAGAATACAAGTTTTGACATTGTCATTAGTTAACTTACCTATTAAAATGTAGATGATGTTTTGTCGTGAGAAGGAAAATCGAAGGTTGGTTAGTGACGAAAATACTATTTATTTCACAACAGGCTAGAAAAATATTAAAAGTTTTAGAATAAAAAAAAAGATACTTTCGGTGCCTTGAATTATATTACCGAAACTAAATGATAATTGGAAAACTACTACAGAAGATTAAATTTTCCATAGGATTCAGATAAATAACTGAGTGCTATATTACCTTCGTTCGAACCGGCTTTTAAAGGATACGTATACATACAACTATAGTCACCGATCATAAAGTCTTTCAATTTTTGTCATTTCTGTATAACCCCTTGTAGCAATGGCTATTATGAAAAAATTAATCAGGAACTCAGCAGGAAGTCAACTTCAATTTCAAATCTAACATATTTATAATGATCCTCTGTGGTGTATGGACGTCCTGTATGGTAAAGTTCTGCCCACACAGATTTTCTCTCTTTTCCTAAGTCGTCGCCAGAACTCATGTCGTTTTATTGTAACATCTAAAGTTTAAACAGAAGGAAACCTTGTTACAGTTGTTGTTGAAAAGATTACATTGTTGACCAGGTTAACTTAACTAAAAGGCAAGTATCCGTTCAGCTGTTTTCATTTATTTTGGAATCATGACACGATTCAAACCAACATTAATTATTCGTACCTTGACCCCAGAGTTCAATAAGTGGAGTTTTGAAATATTAGCGAAAAGGTCCGTGGCACATGCTGTATTGAAGTATCGAAGACCTTTTTGACGAAAAATTTTTCAGTACGTACGAGATGTTGTGTACTTATTTTAATCAAAAGTCAATGAGTTATGAAATATTAATTTGCCAGAAATGCATTCATTGAAATGGGAAGACATCTAAATCATATAATTAAGGCGCACTTAATCAGAGACTACTTTTCGAGATAAAAGGCATCAAAATAATCAGAATAATTGAACAGAAGGAAATTGAGTGCGTGAACGAAACAAATCGTGACTTTCGCCTTAAACGTTTTGCCCACGATCTGTTACGTAGGGTAACCATCCATTGGATGTTTACAGTTTCAAAAAGCCGCAAAATATCCGCAACACAAAACCACTGATACGTAGATTAAACGGGAAGGGTCGTGTTTTGTCAACATTTTAGACAAAGTTGCCCAATTTTGGGAGTTGCTGTTACGCAATTTATGATTTATGGAGATTTTATGGGAAATTCACTTACACCTTAAATATGGTGAAATAAGCAGTGGTCGTGGTATAAAAGAATTACCAACTGTACAGTCTCCTTTTTCGATGGATCTCTGAGGTAGTTAAGACGTCATCGATGTTCACTTTAAACTGAGTTTCTGCCATCACCTTGATTTCGTCTTCCGAACCGGAGAGGAGTGAAGGCTCATTTCCTAAACGAACAACAGCTGGTTGTCAAATCTGTCAATCCTCATTGCAAAGGAAACGCAACGATATGAAGCGATTTCAAACGTAAAAAAAAAGAAAAGTTTTTCAAGTGACCACTGATTTGACCCAAACAAAAGTAAAAAATTGTAGACTAGACGAGTCTGAAGGCATCGTTCATTATTTGCACATTTGAAGCTAATCGGGGTACAATTTGATTCGTAAATCGAACATTGCGTAACAAGTTCTGGATTGCATATTTTCAAAGTAAATCTTCACGTAACCAGCTTGGGATTCTTGAGCTCTGTGTTAATTCTGCCCTTCGATTCTTTATTTTATGTCAAAATGTTTTAATCTTCATTCGATTCTTGCCATGTCTGGATCCTGACAACTTCTATCATTTTTTAATTCATTTCTTAAATTGGAGTGGCCTTGCGATGTCTTTGACCTGCAATCCATGAGTGGAACTTCCCCAAAATCAATTAAAAAACATAAAAAAGCCAGATTCTAATCATAGATTGTGAAAACGAGTTATCTGTTGCTAAGTTCCGTAATGAGATCACACACTTATCGCCACATCGTCGTAATCTCGGCAATCTGCTTGACCTGCAGGGGTTAAGCTGAGAATGAAAAATACTTACTAAACAATAAAAGCACGGATATTTACACGATTGATGTGATAACTGCAAACAAAGAAACTACTTCATCAACAAATTTTGCGATTCATTGAAAGCAAAGTGTTTGCTTCACTATTCCTAACAACCTCGTAGGGTTATGGTTCTGGTGTATTCTAACTCGAGGACAATTCGAGCACAGCCTTGAATTTTTTTTTTGGCATGTGGTGTATTTTGCTGTTGCTCGGCGTTTTCAAAGGTAGGCGATAACACACTTAGCGAGTACAAAGAATTTTTCATTGTATAACACTGATAGTTCGCTGGCATATTGTTTCAAAGAGAACTACCTGGAGTTCTGCATTGAATATCACTGCATGTCCATAGGCGAACTGTTTATTTTGGCCCCCATCACGATTTAGTACGAAAACAAAATTAATAAATCCTGACTGGTAAATATTTGAACTTTGAGCTCGCAAATGATAGACGATTTTAGGACGAATAAGAGCTGTCAATTGGACTATGAGACGAGCTCGTAGTTTTATTTCTTACATTACTTTAAGTTTGACGTAGAAAAGATAACCAAACTTTGTTACAAAAATAGATCCTCTTACGTCCTCTGAGATCAAAATATTTATTCATTAACGTGAACACTCTCATAAAGACACATGCTAAGCTATCGTTATGTGATGCATTTTTTGGTTCGATAAACGTATGTAAATATTTATTGGGAGTATTACACAACATGTGCATTGCCAATAGAAAGACAACACAATTTGACAGGTGAATGTGCAACTTTGACAGAGATTGCATATTTAAGCTACAGAGCACGAACGGAATTAAAAGAGAGAAGGGAAAAGATGAAACGAAAACAAAAGTAGGCCTCTTTCTTAGCTTACAGAAATTTAAATCTAATGACTTCTGCTCTGTCCACTTTAAAATTCCTCAGTTCTCTGTATAAAGGCGCTCTAGGTGAACTGCGACCACAGTTTGTTCCCTGAAGCTATGAAAAGGTGATGATAATTATTCAAGTTTACAAAGGCTCTCTAAAACAGATATAAAACATTAGATCGATACGGAAAAAGTTCGATTTCTTTTAAGGCAAAATTAATCTTTTACTCAAGCCCTTCAGATCAAACAGAGTCGATCGTGAAACTTGCAACCAATTGAGATAAATTTATCTGTGACAACGTGCCGAATTCTAATCATATCCTATATCGTCCGGTTCAAACATATTGGAAGGATTCAAGTTATTTAAATTTTCCGTATTACTAAATTATAAACGCAACCCAATAGCATTTCATGTCTCATAGACCACGTTTAGACGCCATGAAACGACTATATCTAATTTACGAGTTTACTCAAAGTAGTGTAACCGACCGGAGAAATCGGGAGACCGATATCTCAGTCAAATTTCATTTCCTGTACGTAAAATGACAAAGATGACGTTTGGGAAATTTTCATGACATTCAATTCTATTTTGCTAAATTTCTTTTACAGTGGTTCTTTATCGGTCCAGGTGTCGAGTTGTTTGGAGGCGTTGGATATAAACAAACAGCTCAACTCATACAAACTTGTGGGAGATCACATTGTGCGAAGAACTTCTTGCCAACCAAATCGGTAACAGCGCTGTTGTGAACATGGTTTTCGCCTCCGACATCGATGTGGCAGGGCTTATAGGTGTCGGATTTCAAACCCTAATTTAGAAGTAAAAGTTACAGGAAACAAATTTAACACCCTGAGAAAGGAAGCGAACATTTGGAAGCGAACACGGTGTAACCATAGAGACGACCAATCACCGAATTTTTTGGAGAATATTTGACGCAAATCCGAGGATGTTTTAAGAGTATTCGCGGTTCCGTTCGTCGAGGTTGGAAGTCTCGCCTAACAGAGAAAAAACAAACACGAACTTGAACATCGATAACAAAGGTGTTTCACTGTGAAATTAGTGACGGTAAATCGGAATTCGTGCACAGCTTTGGCGATGGTCTAAGCAATATGAAGAATGGGGCGCCGAGATAAAATCGTGTAAGCTTTTCGCTGAATCAATCGATCGCTATAGAGAATTGAGTTTGACAGCTATTCAACAGTATTTTGACGCTAAATGCTTGACAATCAGTTGAACAATACAACAGGCTGTATGAAAGCAGCCGCGATGTCTTCTGAGGACTCGCGTTCGCCAGTGGCCATCGCCATACAGGCTGCCTTCATGCTCATCATAATTCTTTCTTCCCTGGTGGGCAACACACTAATTGTGCTCGCCATGTATCGAAATATCAGCCTTCGAAGCATCACCAGTGTGTTCATAGCAAATCTTGCTATGGCGGACTTTCTTCTGGCCCTTCTAGGAATGCCATTCACCATGGCTTCGTCCATCACGTACGACTGGGTTTTCGGGAAAGTATGGTGCACCATAAACGGCATGTTCAACTCTATCTTTTGCATCGCTTCAATGCTCTCCCTTGCAGCAGTATCCATTGACCGATACGTTGCAATCATCAAGCCACTTCAGTATCCTTTGATAATGACCTCCCGCCTTGCCTTCTGTATGATATCATATGTTTGGTTCCACGCAATCATTCTCTCCTTTTTGCCCGTTTTTGGCTGGTCCACGTACATCTACATTGCAAACGAGTCGATCTGCACTGCAAACTGGGGGTTAGACATCCCTTACACCTTATTTATCTTTGCGTCGAGTTTTTTTGCTCCATTTATGGTGATGGCTTATTGCTATTATCATATTCTTCGTGCGGCGAGAAGGCAATCCAAGACAATTGTTCCACGTGTCGGAGAACTTAAAGATGAGACACTGCAAACGATGGTGGCTGTACCGGTGGCTTTTGGAACTGAAAAGGGAAAAGTTTCGGATCCTCCGTCTTCAGCTGCGGATAAAGCCAAAGAAAGGGAGGCAAAGGAGAAGTTTAACAGAGAAACACGGGCCGCGAAAACGCTTCTAATAGTGATGGGCACCTTCTTTTTTTGCTGGGCACCTCACTTTATTGGAATGATTTGTTTACTTTTTCCAAGCTGCAATTGGCCTGATGCTTTCTTTGCGACTACAACATGGCTGGCTATGTTGAACAGCGGGTGCAATCCAATTATTTATGGCGTGATGAACAAAAAATTCAGACAGAATTTCAAAGATATACTTATGTGTCGGAAAAGAACTAACAGGAACTATAGTCATCGGGAGATGAGTAGTTCTTCGTGACTGTTGTTCGTCGGCTATTCATGCCAAGCAAGGAGTTTGTCGATCACACACTCAAATAAAAATGGGAGCAAAACCTTTGCAGGTTATTCGATACTGTATACCCCTTTTTAGTGAAAAAAAAATCGCTGCCAGGTAATGTTTCTATTGCGGGCGAGTATCTTCTCAACTTTTTATTTTCGGTTTCGCGTGTATTCTGGTTGTTATGACAGGTGTCGTAACTTTAGTATCAGGAAAAAAAAAACCTTTCTGGTAAAGACCGATGAAAATTTGTCTACACTTACTAAAGTTAGCTTTGTTGACAGAAGATAATTCGGCTTATCATCAGAGGAAAGGAGATTTTTCCACGACAATGGAGTTTTACTCCAGTCCGGAGACGGATACCGAGGCAAGCATAAATAAGTAGAATCTTTGCCGAAGGCTAAGCTTAAAAATTAGGCATTGAAAGTCACATTTGCATACAATGTTGTTAGCCTTTGTCTGAGTAACAGTAAAGCCTTTCAGCATGTGTCTAATAACAGGAAAAAAAAAACTCTCGAGGACCACCGGTTCTCCAAGGGAAAGTCAATTTCGCAAGGAAGAAAAAAAAATTGTTGACTCCTTATCGTGTTCTTCGTTTTCCCTTTTCGCAATTTCCGGAAAATTACAGTTCTCTTCAAGAATGACGATATTTTTTAATTGAGGTCGAGAGAGGAAGAAGAAGATTCGGTCGTTGCCTGCGGAGCATATCTGGACGAAGATAGAAATAACCACAAGTGGATTTGAATTGCCAACTGTCACTTAAAGAGTCATTAGTGTAGGGAATGGCCCCGAAAGGTAAAACGCTTGGGGCAATTTGACTAATTTCAAGTCTTTCCTGAGCAAATAAAATTTATCGTTATAATGCTTAAATTAAAATTGCTATGAATGTAAAAAAAAAAAATTGGTTTTCTTCTTCGTGAATACCCGGTTAGGAATAATTTACATGGCCCAACTACATGTCGGGTGATACAAAGAGGTTTTGTTGACCTGCGATCGTATCAGTTCAGAAGAATTTCTCCTCAAGTAAAACTTCTTTATGGCATGTGGCACACCAAATATTACTGCGACTTTTTCCTTGTTTCCTATTCATTTGATATCGAACAGCAGGGTTTACGAGTCAAATCCAAACCTTGAAATTCTATGACAATTATAGAAACCATGCATCAGGGAAGCGACCTAAGAACATGATACTCGATGTTGAAGAGCAATAAATGCGCAAACACAATATATCTCATTTCTAAAACGTTGGGTTATAGTTTACATCTAGGTGTGGGGAAACCCAAACTTGGCGCCCCACTGTCTGTCCGCAGGTGAAAGACCCAAACCACGTTTTCCAAATACAAGAACCTAAACAATCAACACAGTTACCATAAAATTCCCAATATAAGGACAATGGCGCACCTATCAATTTGGCAACAAAAGTACAAAACATTGTAAGCTGTTGCCTTCGAAAATTATGACGAAAGCATTTTAGTTACAATAGTGCGTGTAATTTTGAAAAAAAATCACAACGGAGGGTTCGCTTCCAAAACAGAAAGAAAGAGCAAAACAAAACAAACACAAGTGGAGGGACGGTAGTCAAGATGAACAACATCGAAGATTTTAAGGAAAATCTTTCAGGCGATAGAAACTGTGAATAACGACATAAAATTGAACGAACGTATCGATTTTGAAGTCTCAGTAGAATAATTCGAAATGGGAAAGGTGCTAAGGTTTTCCTCCTACGCCTAGATTGCAACACCCTCCGTCTCCGAAACTACCCGCGACAATATTTTCCTTCTGACGAAGGGCTAACGCTTGAAACTTCAGCTTTGAAACTCTTTACGGTGGCCAATTTAAGTTATCAACTTAGTTGATAATACTAAATTACCCTGTTATATTCTCCCACCGACGCAGCACCACAGTTTCTTTAGAAACTTACCCCTTAATTCATTTACCTTTGACAATTAACAAGAAAACTGCATAGTTCTGAGACTGGGTAAGATTTACCATCCTATAAAAAGCAACGTCGGATTACTTTCCTCTTGTTTAAAAATATCACCCTGTTTTGCCGACTCTCAGAACAATTGATACGAGGACTTTTGAAATAGGTTAGGAAAAAAAAAACAACACAAGACACGTTTTGCATAAGAATTTATCCTCCAATTTTCTTTGATATCAGATTAGACCTCTTGAAGATAAGTTTTTAAAACATTTAACGCCCTACGTTCATGCTGAGGGAATTTGTTACTTTAGTAAAGCTTTTCTGTGCGTCACAAAATAAATCTGATTTAGTTTATTCTGTCAAGACTAATCAATTTATCTCATTCATCAGCACTATAAGAAGACCGATCAGAGAGGTTTGTTTCCCTCACCACGCGATAAAATAAATTACGATGCTTAAAAACTCAGAGGAAAACGAATTAGCCATTCATTACGATGGCGTCCCGTTAAACTTCATAACGAGAAATAGTGGAATAATTCCGAGTTATTTTCATTGCGTGCTTCGTACACGTAAATCTAGAAAGGATATCGTATCACAAACGCACGTAGATGCACTCCTTGAGCTAATTTTGCCAATTCCCTTATCAGATTAACTGCGATTACTCCAAAATAGAACCTAAGATACCTAAGATAATATTTCAGGTAACAATTATTAGGCCTATCACAAAGTTATCTCTTCCTTCCCCACTTTCCAAAGTCTCCTAATGGGAAATATCTGAGTTGTAAATCAGAATTATCTTGTTTGTCGAAGGAATACACCAAACAATTAGCGGGGAGTCATGTAGAGATTGAAGATAAGACAAAAACCCATTAAGATATAAATCATGTAAATCAAACAATATCCGTGCCATTATTTACCGGAAAACAAATTTCATTATCCAAACCACAGAACATGTTCAAATAAAAATATCCTATTTGAAAGCAACGCACCTAGGCTACCCAATTTTCACGTCACGTACATAATCGTGTTTTTCCTTTTATTTTAATTTTTTATTTGTCATGACAAAAGTAAAGATCCTTGCGCTGATTTCTTCGGTTTAAACTTAATAATTTTCTGAGTTGCTACGATGAAATACTTTGTCTACATACAGATTACAAAATAAAAACAAAACAACAAAAAGCAAATCACAGGCTGACGTTGAGGCGCAAAACTTAACAAAGAAAACAATTTTTCTCCCATAAAGGGATTTAATATGTTCGAAAAGGGTTACAAGGTTCCTAAGCTGGTGTGTATTCAAATTCTCGACATTTTCTAAACAGATGATATTATTTAATTTTGAAAAGGTCGAGGGTATAATCAAAACCCAGTGTTGACTTAATCCATAATAGCAACAGGATCAAACTGAATAATCCTTCTTGTACTCGGATGACACGCTACGATGTTGGACACGGATTCAAGAGTCACCTAGTTACCCACCTGCCCATAACAACCGTGCAAAATATTTTCACCTCTCAGCCTCAAGGTTCAATTAAATTAACCATAAAGTACTTTGTTCGGGCCAGACTAACAATTCAATTCAATTCACCATAACGTACTTTATTCTCGTCAAAACATGCCGACGAGTGTCATAAACCAGACTTGGATCTCATCGCATACAATTCACACAACAGCTAGAAAAATTCAGATTGTATTTGTTGTACATCTGAAATTCTCTTAGAAAAGCTTGTACTCAGCAAAATGCAACATAAAGCGTAATAAATGCTCCTTAGTCATTGGCACAATTTTCTTCTGAAGCGTAGAGGTTTAAATTTCCTTATTTTGCCTTAGTCAGCAGTTTAACACGTGCACAATTTGTATCTCATCTACCACCTACACCAGTGGTCGGAAGCATCCTTCAGTTTTTTATTTTCATCGGTCTTATAATATCACATAATCGTGCTGTTTGAGTTGTGCATCCTATCAATCCGCCTAATTGCCTTAAGATCAGTACAAGTCTGTGCAAATCTTTGAGCCCATTGAACAACACGAATTCCCAGTTCACGAAGGTCAACGCCATAAATAGGAAGACCATCTGAACATGCGCAAAGGTGTCCCATTATCAAAGCCGACTCCAGTGGAGAGGGAAATGAGAGATCCTGCAGAAAAAAAATAAAAATAAACAAATATCTGGCAGACTAAACTCATCAGGGATGTGCCACAGACGTTCTCTATTATCATACTTATTTAAGAAAAAAATGGATGAAGGGAATGAAACACAAAATTCACGGCGGATGTACCGAACCCGACACTCAAATCAACACGCTTTTTTCCCCGCTGCTCTTAGGAACCGGTCATTATTTATGAGAAGGGGGGAGGAGAGGATGGGGATTGGAGCATGTTTTTTTTTTTTTTGCGTCACGATAAAATCTACCTGATCCCCCATAAGATATTCTTAGGATTCATTCCTCATTCCCCTTCCCCTCCCCTCCCCTCCTCATTGGCAGTAAATTGGCAGTCAATATTCTCCAGTGCTTCCTCTATACTCTGTTGGCCACGACTAATGCCCCTCTGTCGTCTCCCCCCCCCCTTCCCGGCTGTGATCTGTGATCTAAAAATAAGGAAAACGGCATAAGTTATGAAGAACATCGACCAGACTCAACGACGTACAATAGTTACACAAAAAATTATAATGTCACAAACCTTAAATTCAAGCTCCTCGAGCTCGTTTAAGGCTCGCTTTTCCTCCTCTATTAGAAACGCTAAAGTCGTTTCATTGGTTATGTATCTTAAATCGACTGGAAGTTTTCCATCTGAGGTTGAGAGTTTACCAGCAGTTGCCTCACTCGCTGAAATCGCTCCAAGCCCCTTACGTGCAGTACTCATTTCTTCGTCTCTGTGTGCTTCCTCATCCCTCACACTTCCCGAAAGACCATCGCCTCTTGGCTCTTTCTCAGTTTCCTCCGGCCGTGACTCTGAGTAGACAGTATCACCAAAACCAAACTCTTCATTTGATGTGGTCTGTGTAAACTCTCCAGGATCAACTGAACTACCCCTGCTGGTTGTCTCGCTTGTTAGATCCCCTTCACCACGGCTCGGCAAAAAGCCTTGCGGTTGACTGGAATGAGTAAGATGATCACTTGATGTTTTAATTTTCTTCTTCTTTTGGCTTACTTTGCTGTCAGTAGAAATCGCCTCCATGAGCTGTCTTGATCTCTTCAGTAATATCGCTTTTCGAATGTCAGTGAGAATCTCTCTCAGACAGTTTATTTTCATGTGTTGTTCTGATAGCAGAAAAGTTTTCAAGTTTTCTAAAGTGGTCATCATGTCTTGTTTCCGAGCTCGATTACGTTTCGTCGACGATAACAGTTCCTTTAATTCATACGCTCCGCTGCCGACGACGTCACCGATAGTACCATAAACGCCCCTTTCGGTAACTGATTCTTCCTTATTAGTTCGGTTATATTCGGAAATCACCGAAGAGTTCTCGAACATATTTAACGCACACTTCGGTAACAATGTCTTTGAAGAGTCTAAAGGCGCTTCGTTAGAGGCATGAGACCCATTTTCGGCATTGCTTGTGCATTCCCCATTTTCGACTGTTATATTGTCATTGCAAGTGAAAATACTCAATACATCAGGGTATCTATACCAGATTTCAATCAGTATAGCCTTGTAGTAGTACGCAAGGAAATGCCGAAACAGTTCCTGTACGTCTTCCTCCTTTTGTGGCTCATCGGAAGAATTTATATCCAAGTCTTGGCTCAAATGCTGCAAGTAGTTTAAAGATTCGCTCCCTTGTGGTAGCAACATGCAACACAATTGCCGTTGCAAGCCAAACAGGCAATTCTTGTTGCAATGAGAGAGCGCTTGCAACCAGTACTGACATGCCAGGTAAAGATTTCCGGTAATTGCCTTTAAGAGCCCAAGAGTGATCTCTAGGGAGATCCTGGCTAACATCTGCACAATAAAATACTACATTCAGTTCACGATAAAGGATATTTCCGAGATGGCCGAAGCCTCGTCGTTAAACGAGGTGAAGTGAGAGGCCTTTGATGCGAAATATTCTTAATTACTAAAAAATAATACTAGAGCGACTTTGCACCTTGCCAATTCAAAAAATTTGTACAAAAAAAAAAAGAAGAAGAAAAAAGAAAAAACCGAATAAAAAATTTCGTTCAGTGTAACTTTAAATAGGAAAGGGAGAGAGAGGTCAATTGAAAGTGCTGTAAGAGAGTTTTACCGGAAAAGTTAACTTATTTTTTATTCAAAAAAAATTTCTTTCAGCACTCAATGAATATAAATCAAGTACTATTAAAAAATACCTCAGGAATGGTATCAGCCCCAGTAGAGGTAGTTTCGTAGTAAGTTTTGATCGACTCACAAAGAACAGCAAATGATCCAGATTTTAATGCACCAGAAAGATGCCAGGCTTCTAAAACACACACAACAAACCACTTCCTGGGATGGTCATTAGCTATCCACGAAGACGTGCTGCAAGGGATATCGGTATATTTACCTGAAAGAATAAATGAGATGTTTTAAGAGTGGGGAATATTTCAAGAATTTCGAGACAATGAATGAATCCTAAAACGTCTAGTATTTAGAAAAAGTATTAGTATAATTGAGAACTGGAACATTCTAATAGGAGGATAACCAACAGAGGCGTTTATAGGATATAGAAATAGATTTCAATGAAAAAAAGGGAAGGGAAAATGAAAGAAAGAAAGAAAGGGATGGACAGGAAGAGATAGGAACAGAAGGGAAGGGGAGGAAAGGAAAGGATCGGGAGTAAAGGGAAGGGAAGTGAAGGAAGGGAAATGGAAGGAAAAGGAACAGTAGGGAAGAAAAGGGAAGGAGATGGAAAGTAAGGGGAGGCGGGAAAAAGGAAAGGAAAGGGAAGGGGAGGGAAGAGTAGGGAGTGAAGGGGAGAGAAGTGAAGGGAAGTAAAGGGAGGGCAGGGGAAAAAGGAAGAAAATACTGAGAAGTGGTAGACATCTAAGTAAATATACCAAATTCAGATTTACGAGATTCAATCGAGAAGCTCTCTAATAAGCCAAAATTCACCTACCCCATGGTCCACTGATACTCGTGCAACTGCTTAGAATATAACTTATATGGGTATGTGTGCCATCTTCCAAAGCGTTATCGAGATGGATTGTTTTCTCATCAGCAAGGGTCGCAAGCAAAAGCTCGTGAACACAAACATTCAACATGTGAGCCTAAAATAAAGTGAAAGAAGTGTGCAATCTAAAACTGTCATAAACTGCTAGATATTAAAGAAAGCAAAGTCCAAAGTCCAAAGTTTTATGTCAACTTAAGCGTCATAAAAGATTAGCTTTAACCTTTTCAATCCAAGGCTCGATTTCCGCCGCTCTCTCGTGTCTGGTCTTTTCCCCCCCCACCCCCCCCCGAGAGAGGGAGGAGCGTGGGCTCATATTCCAGAATAGCGGTCGGTAATCGTGCCAATCTCAATCCCAAGATTTACATGTAAATTCTCCTGCCTGTCTGCTATACATTACTTACAGTTTACCCTCTGAACCTTTTTATGTTTTGATATTATGGGGGGAAGGAAGGGTTGGGGGGGGGGGTTGGTGAGGGTCACTTATTTATCACACTCCCAGGGAATGAAAGGGCTAAATGGAGACAAATAGACAAATGTCAATGAATAAAAAGGACATACAAAAAGTCAGAAGTGAATGGATGGAAGAAAAAAGAAACAAGATTAGTTCCAATGGCGAAGATTCGCACTTATTCCAAAAACTGAACATGTAGAATTAGGTTCAATTTTGTAAAATTTTCAAACGATGCGCAGATTCAGACTAGGTTCCTTTAAATCCTTTTTTGAAGATAAAGGAGACAGTAAAAAAACCCATTATTTTCGTTGAAAGTCTTGATAAACGAGGATCGCATTTAAGACTCGTCAATTATTTATCCAAGACATTTCATGGCCATCAGTTTATTCTTATCCTTTAGAAAAACTTAACACATTTCAGTTCACAATCTCACCTCCACTTCAGGACAATCTTTCAGAACATCATGACAACCACGCCAGTCGGACGACAGCAAATAGGAATGTATGAGCCGAGGGGCAAGAGAGAGGACGAGATCCAACTCACCACAAATTATGGCAACCTTCAAAAACGAAGTATCCAAGAATGCAACTGTCACGAGTCAGAGTAAAAGGTTAGGCAAAGTCTTTACTCGGGTCAAATGCTTCATCCAACCGGAGTTTATACTGGTTTCTGTACATGAAGTGACTAAGAGAGAGTATCACTACTACCCCCCCCCCCCGCTTCCTCTGGATGGGATGCTAGTCCATCACAAGCTAAAAGTTATTATCTTCCTTCATCCATTTATTAAAAACAAAATAATAAAAAGTAGGTCGAGTTGAAAGACAGATAATTTGGTGACACTGCAACCGACCTAAAGCGCAGGAAACCTTAACCGACCACATGACTATTGGTTTGAGTACAACATCTGATTGGTAGAGTTTCGAGTTTCTCGACCAATCACAGAGCAACGAAAGGGAAACCAACGAAATCCTTGGTTACGTTCCACCTTAATTTACAAAATTCTCAAACCGGTTCGTGAAAACGATTTAGTACAAAACAGGGTAAATTCATAATTTAGGAATGTTAAAATGTCTAAATTATTGATCAATCAATGAATTTAGCTTTTAGATATTATAAAGGTCTGTCTAATTTACCTGAAGCGCTGTCTTCAAAGAAGGCTGATCGCCACGACGACACAGCACCCTTACAGCATCGGATGATGAATGCACCGCCAAGTAACTAAAAACACATAGTTTGCCGTTTATTATCTTTTGTATAATTTGAATAGCAATTTGCATATCTCTTCACTTGCTTTAACTATCAACTTACCATTTAGCTGCTTGTTCAAAGGCATTGTCTGTTTCTAGTTTCCTGGCCCACGTGCTATACAAGTCAAAAAGGACTGGGTCTGAAGGCGAAAGCCGCACCTTGGCCAATGCGATAGCTTCCCTGAAAAGAGCAAAAGGTTGAAAACTAACAAACCCGTGGTTTATAATCATATACCATTCTTGACAAACGACGTACCCTTTTATGCATACTTATAAGATATAGAACAAAAAATGCGTTTAAATCATGTGAGAGATAACTAGCCTAAGTTAACAACCCACTCTCCAAGAAATTCTTTTCAAACTTATGTTTATGTTCCTAGACCTTATCAAAAACTGACAGCATTCAAACTTTTAATACTACTCAGAGCAGTTGTTGAGAGGAGATGGAGCGGCGACCTGGGGCAAGTGTCTTCACGCTCATTGTCCTTAGGTAACTTTTATAGGCTGAAGAAGCTACACTTGCATCATTTTTGAGAATTTTGTTTACTTTTCAAAAACTCCACGAGAATATAGGTCAGGTATAGGAAATATTAGAAAACACCATACAAAAGGTAACGCCTGCCTTAGTGCATCTTCATGTCACGTTCCATAAAACTCAATGTATGTGTGCATAATGGGTAAAGTTAATATTTCTTGAAATAAGAAAAAAACTGCCGTGTTACGTCGGCGGGAAACAAAACACTTCATCGGTCATTCATCCAAAGATGATAAATTGACAAAAGATCGTTGTTAAACCGCCGGTCATTCATTCAAAGATGATAAATTGACAAAAGATCGTTGTTAAACCGCCGGTCATTCATTCAAAGATGATAAATTGTCAAAAGATCGTTGTTAAACCGCCATGGCGAATTCAAAACATTTGAGGTTTCGAACGGGAGGCGCTGTCATTTCGAAATTAGCATTTATATCCAAAACCCGCATCAATAATCTCGCTCTGTGGGGGGCACTTTCATTATGGACAGTTCACGCTTGGCCCACCTAAGTAACCAATATAGCAAGATTCTTTCTATTCTAATTGCATCAAAACCATTCTAGTAATTGTTCTTGAGCAGTGAAATGTCAGCTCGAAAAGACTAATGACCACTAATCGGCTAAACGCGGAAACAGTTATATTGTCTTCATTTTACAAACTGTCTATCTGCTACCCAAAGACAGAAACAGTTGCCAAAGCCTAGTGAAACGTTTTATGCCAGGATGTTAGGTAGGAACACAAGATCCCAAGAACCCATCATCCTAGATATGGGAGATCGTGACCCTACGGGTATAAACTCCTATTTAAAGGTAAATTTGTTGTTTCCTTTCGTCTACTTTAGAGTAACTTGCAGATCCAACGAATTATCTAAGATAATTCGCCAGAATGTTGTGGTTACATACATGGAAGAAAGTCGCAATAGGATGTAGCAAATACTTAACTAGAGTCCTGCGATTCCAATAAGGGCAGGGAGGAGGGGGGGGGGGGGAGTGAAGTCTTGATAAACTCCATAAAAGCACTGTTCACCGGCTCTAATAAAATCTGCTAGAAATCTGAAGTTTACATTTTGGTTTATTCATGGGTTTGCACCATTCGATACGTACTCAGCAATTCAACGCTACCTTTATCATGAAGTAGAATTTCAAATAGAGCGCGATTTGTTTGTTTTTGCCATATGAAATTATAAGATGCGATTAGTTTCACTGAAAAATACAACTCTCCCTAGACACGAGTCAAGTGTTTGCCGCATTGCACCTGTCACGCTCTACACACTCCCCTCGTAGGCGCTGCGTGACAAACTCAACAACCTCTGCTAGAGAGACTAACGTATATCGTAACACCGGGATTATCATGAAAAAGCTTCAATAATTTATAAAAATTACATTACAGGAACTGCTATTAGTTACTTTGGCTTAAAATAACATTTTGAAAATCACAACCACTAGGAAACCAAGGATTCTACGGCAATTCTAGCGACGACAGGGCTCTAATAGGGAAGTTTGTGCACTTTTTCATTAAATTTCTTTTACTGAAAAAGTTCTTAATTTTTTCCGTAGGTGGATTTCATGGATTTGATAGCTGAACCTGAAGGATTTCAATCCCACAAGAACCTGCACAAGTGCGCCTTTAGAACGTACAACTTCACTAAAAACTGCTGCTACTTTGGGTTGACGCTCATCTTTGGGGGTCCACTGGCATTCTGTTTTGGCTGCTACTTTGCCTGTATCGGGTTCGAGTACGTTTGGTGTGTGATACCTTGTGTTAAGGCGTGGCTGATAAGATTGGAGTGCTTCGGCAGGATCTTTGCATACTGCATCAAGAATTTTTGTGACCCTTGTTTCTACTCAATTGGGAAAATCTTTTCTAGAATTCATGTCAAGACTGAAACGGTTTAGTAACTTGTTAACTTGGTAATGTTTTTGTAAGTTTCGTATGCAGACGTTTGCGACCCATCGGATAAATTGCCTCTTATGTTCCAGTTATCCACAACCTGATTAACTGTATTTCCTAAATAAATGCGCGTATATTCATAGAACCAATGACGCGAGTGAGCTTAAAATTGCGTAAAGAAGAGACAGTGTCAAATCATTCTGAACGAAAACATCCAAGTTACACAACAGGTCTGTGTACCCGTGATATTTAAAAGGAGTTCAAAACTTAAACTCTACAATAGCTCGTTAGGGGACAACCTTCAAGAATACTGTAAAAATTAGGGGGGAAGGGGGTAAGTCTCCCAGCTTATCCTCTCATAATGCAACCCGTTCCCTTGTACGATCTGGTAAACCAACCTACCTTGACTGCACATGCTCGGTAACTATTAGTATTAGACGGCCCGACACAAAAAAAAAAAAGAAGAAATAAAAACACACACTCACACAAATAAAACAAAACAACGACATAATTTTTTTTTATGTGCACTGTAAAGTGAACCAGTGCCAGTTAACACCGTGTGCTGTACCGACCTACCTATACATGTGCTGTTTCCTGAATACGTCAATAGCTTTGTACGTGTCATGGCACGCTAGGTAATACAAAACGGCACGCTGATACTGACCCTGCGATTCTAGCTGGTCAGCAAACGCTCGCGTTGTAGCCATCCACACTTCACGCCCACCTGAAAGTGAATTTTCGCTACAATATCGCAAATTTGCTTGACTTTAGAAGTTAGGTCAAGAAGTCAAAACATAATTATTTTTAACACACTTTTGCCAGCTTACACGATGAAAAAAAGACTAATAAATAAAGACCCCTCTAAGCTAGACAAGCCTAGCGAAATACTTAAAATAACTGGATTAGGATAGGCGGCCCGTTTCTATGAAGATGTTTCAGTTTCAGCGACGTGAGAGCAACACAATGCACAGAGTTGAGCCGGTTTTCAAAGTAAAGGATTTGCGCAAGACGAGTTGAAACGAAAATCAAATGTTGATATGATAGGGTACTGGTTGGATTATTTTTGGATAAAACCCAAATCGAGGGAAGGAAGCAAACACGTAATGAACCCTAAAGTATTCTTTACCTAGGGGACTGAGAGCCACAAGCCAGTCAGTAAGCTGGTTATTGTTATTCGCCATTTGCAAAGCTCCGCTAAGATTTCCTTTCCAGATCTCCAGCTGCAACTGGTAATCAAGGTTGCCGCCGTCTTTGTGATGTTCACCTACACAACAAAATCGAGGAAAACAACCGCGTCACCAACAAATCGTAAAAAAAACAACATCTCAAATTTGGCTAAATAAATCCAAATACCTTCCGTAGTAAACATCCTGTATGCGCTGCGCCTATCAGCAAACAACCCGAGGTTCACAAGCTCCTCTGATCCCGCTACTTCATGCGACGGCGAGTTACCGCAACTGGGTGTACCTTGTTCCTGACCTGTCAAACCAGTAAATATATCACAACCTTGCATCAGTGACTTGGAATCTCACGGTTACAGGGGCCCAAACCTTGAGGGAATTTATCTCAGAGTATTGTTACTTCGTCTGGAACTGGATGTTAGTCTATAGACCCGGACATTTCTTCACTAACAATTTGCAGTTACAAATTTATATTTTCTAAAAGGAGGGAAGCGAAAATCTTGTGCATTGCTACATCTACAACGGAATGACCAAGACCAGGACTCGAACCAGGATAACGTGAACCAAACCTCAGTGCAGAAGACGTTTGACTTTTGGCGCAATAGGCACGTTTTTGAGACGGAAACGGTGAACAAAACCAATCTGTTGCAAAGCCCGTACTTCAAAACTCTAAACAAAGCGCTACATTTAAGTACCAGCAATAAAATAGAAAACAAAGCTTCCCCCTGTAAGTTATGGGTGAGAAAACGAGTCAACCCTTTAACTCCAAAGATCTGATTGTTAATTCTCCCCTCTACCTGCTGCATATTTCAGTGTAAATAAGTTACGAGAATTTGGTGTTAGATCAAGATAAAAACTTCTACCTGATGCATTTGAGTATTCTCATTACCTGTTTGCTGAATAGTGCAGGGATATTGTAGGGAGAAGTTACTTGTTAATCACTTCTGGGAGTTAAAGGTTAAAGATGGTCTTGCCTACCATAGTTAATCTTCGCTAGTTCAATGCACTCCTCTCGTGTCACTGTTTTAGATTTGCTGTCCGCAACAGCCGAGAGCGGAAACATTGATTTGACTTTCCTCTTTTTCTTGGAAGATGATGTTGTTTCTAGTGAAACTGTAAAATCAAACGAAAACCACGGTGTTAGTTAATTAAAAATACAAGGGTATAACAAGTTACACGAACAAAACTGAAGTCGAAGCTTACACAAGTGGGCATCCTTGTGAAGCAAAGAAAATGTCTGCAACAGCTAAACAAGAGTGTAAGCACATGTATTTTATTGGGAAGGATTCACACAGTATTTTATCAAAGGTATTTTAAGAGTAAATTAAGTGGTCACCAAAGTATCCGTTAACAGAGCTTCAAGTGAATATTTAAATGACCCGAAAGACGTGTTTTTAAGATTCATCACACAATGAGAAACGAAGCGAACGATTGACAATTCGACAATTTTATAACGACTTATAACAAAAATGCTGCATAACATATTAACAAACATTTAAAAATTGAATCGCATCAACTTTCAACTCACAACAAAAAAGAAAGAAGATAACAGGTAACGTCCAACTTACCCTTAGATCTTAAGGGAATCACTTTCTCTTGTTTCAAAACAACATCAGGCCTCTTCTCCTCGGCCGAACAGCATGTATTGTAAATGTCCAACGACTCATTTTCTGCCACTACTCCCTCTTTCGACTCAGTTCTGCCATTACTGTATTGCGCTTCTTCTGTTTTCATCACCGGCTCTTTCCCAGCCGCTTCACTCTCGGAGCTAACGTTAGGTTTTTCTTCCTTTTCGTTTACTCGAGGTTTAGGTTCTGAAGTAGAGGTGGGTGAGATAATTTGCGGTTCCTGAGAATGATCACTGAAGCTGTCTGCTCTAGCTTGTTTTTCATGAGTGCTAGTGTGCTCAAGATTGGACGTTGGCTGGTGTCGCCATGTTTCCTTGTTGTCTGACGGAGTTTTCCCTTTTCCTTTTTGCTTGTTCTTCTTGCTTTTGGAGAACTTACTTGCTGAATGGCTCGTTTTCTTGTCTGCGTGAAAAATAAGTGACAATGATCGATATTAACCACAACATGTTCCACAACAACGGATATGAGAAGGTTAAAAAACCTTGGTATCTTAAACCCCTTTTTCTGGCTGCAGGAGGTTTGGAATGACGAGCTTCTTTTGTACTTTGGCGGACTCAAAACATACCACCGGCTTGAAGGATGGGACGTCAGAGGAAATGACTAGTGGCGAGTGGATAAGCGAAAAGTGGAAGAACAGCAGATAGCGGCCCAGATGAAAATAGCAAAGAAAAAGGCCTCTTTCGGAAAAATTTCAGCAAATTTCCATGAAACACCTCTGCCGGAATTCGGTTCGTATCTGTAAATCTGACATTGGGTGGCTCAGCCTCGGCGAGCCATTCCTAATCAGTGAAAACCTTTAGCAGCGCGCTGAATCTATAGACCTTGTCGGACAAATTCCGTCCACCTCCACCTACCCGAGACAGGTGGCTGCCGATGCTGCTGCAGTGAAGGTCTCCAAGGTCGCACAGTGCCGTCCTCTCCGCCACTGTATACCAAATCAGGATCCAGATAACTCCACACTACACACATCACACGGCTGCTATGGCCACGAAAATTGTACAAAGCTTCTTCTTTAACCGCATCCCAAACCTACGAACGGGAAGTACAAAAAATACTGACTTGGGAAGATGAGAAAAAACTATTTACAATTATTTTTATTACAACAATAACGAAAAATTGATGCATCGAACAAACTTTAAAGGTTTTCGGATCATGGTCAGTATCTAAGCAACTGTGGCACCTACCCGCCCCTAACTCAACAACAGTCAACTGATAACAAGTTAGGGTTAATGTTGAGTTAGGGGAAGGGTAGGTGCTTATTTGCTAACAAAACTGACATTGATCCAAGTTTCCATTAGTAACAGTGATATTTATGTCACCTGAGTGACACAAAGATCTTTCAAACTGTTGGTTAACAACGAGGTGAGACACATAATTATCGACTCCTGGAGTAGCAACTATCTTTGGCGACATATCGATTTTCCTACACACGGCATGATAAATAATTTGTATATGCAGAACCAGTCTGCTCTCATTATTGTACAGAGTCTGCAGACATACTAACCTGAATAACTTCATTTCTATGTACTACACATTAAGAACAGCCGAAGGAAAAACAAATCTCCTTATCTGGACGGTGAGACCAACTCTGCTCTTTGATACGGATCTGATCACGGGTCTCATTTACCTGAGCAGTTCCATCATACGACGAAGAAAGAAGTAGTTCCGACTGATGTGGACTCCAATTCAAATCAGTGATTCTTCCCGAATGACCCGACAGCTTGCGGAAACATTCGGTGATGGGAGCCGCGTGGGCGGTAGGACTGGACAAATCATCTATAGGAAGTAATGTCTTACGTTAGGAGAAAACGAGAGAAGAGGGAGCGAAGAGTTATTGTGATGAAGAGGCGGCAGGAGAGAAACATGTTGAATCAAGGGTTTGTCCTTTTCTTTCCAGTAGAGTAGTCTTTGCCTATTTCCTCTTCGTTTGTGTGGTCCACTGATAAAGGTGTCTTTCGATCAAGGATGGAGCGAGAAGACGGAAAATCCAACTTGATAATTCTAGCGTACGGTTAAATAGGACGGACGCTATTTTGAATAATGTTGATCACTCCATGTACTCAATTAAAAATTTGCGCGTTAGTACCACTTCCCATAAATATGAACAGATGACAATAGGACGACTTTGAGGAGTGGTACAGATCGTAGGGGAGGTCGGGGACAACGCGTTTACTGGATAAATTAGTTGTCTATCAAAATCAGAACGGAGTGAGTGAATCCAGACCTAAACCTCATAGTACAACCACGTCTATGGTTGGAATGCTTTGCAAAAAGGGAATAAATTTTGATCACGAAACAGCGAGTGAACGAAGAGACATAACAGACCATGCAATTTTTTCACTTCTGATAAAGTAACCCGCTACGTACCCAACATATTGCTGAGGTCATGGACATGAATGGTAGACTCATTAGATCCTGACGCTAACCAATACTTGCAACTAACACTACCTAGAAAGAAACACACGCGATTTTCTTTGAAATTCTCACTTCTGGGAGTTGGGACGATAGGCCTTTTCCGAATTAAAGTTGGCCTCATTTTCAAAACGAGTCCTGGTGCTCATCCTTTCATATGCTAATAAGTTTTCATTCACATGCAAATTAAATTCATTTTCATACGAATGGTTGAGCACCAGGCCTCATTTTGAAAAATAGACTAAAGGTAATTCGGAAATGACCTACTAGCGTTTCTATTGTCATTACCTGGCTGCTGGACAATGCAATGAAAATGTATGGAGAAGTTACATGTTAATCTCGTCTGGGAGTTATAGGGTTGATAACGTAAGTGTCAAGGTACTCAAATCACCTTATCAGACCATTTGACTATCGTATATCGCAAGTCACGTTTTTATTTTAATAATTTCTGATTTTCGCACCCATTAAATTTTTCACTTGGGTAAAACACACGCAAACAGCACACGGGTGGCCATAAGAATGTCCTATTCCTCTCTTACTTTAACTGAATCACGTGCTTGTACTACCTGATAACACGGGTACCAATAACTTCAATACAGACATAACAAATAATTCCTGACTTATGTATCCCACTCTAAAGGGGTAATGCAATCAGTATCACGGTCTGACGATTACACAAACCAGGTTAAGCCTCGGTAGAGATGCGAGAATGTCTCATCTGACTTTACCAACAATACACGCAAGCATGAAAATGAAGACTTTAGTTTACCTTTGCCATTTACTGCTGCAGTTAGTTCGCCGTGACCATGATGCCACATAAGAGTAGTGATGCTCTTTTTGTGCGTGATAATCATCCCAACTTGTTGCAAGTCCGGTGGAACATACACTTCAATTGAACTAAAAAGTGAATGACAATGATAATAATCATAAAAATTACTATGTGACGCATTTTATTTAGGGCTTTCGTTTATAATTGTAATGCGACTATTTAAAATTACATCGTAATTGTTATAACATTTTTAATTATCATCATTGAAATTCGTACTGTACAGCGCATTTAATGTAGAGTACCATGAACAATCAATGAAAATGGCGCCACTTGAAGATAGATTTATCAAATGAATGTATTTTTCAGGATTAGGATTAGGAACAGCTTCTGCCTCAGCATCAGCTTTGTCTTAAGCGTTTTTCAAGGGATATTAATTCATGCCTGACTCACCCATCTTCATTTCCTAAAGCCATCACGGAACCATCTGGATTCCATGAAACATCCGTTCTACCAAACGGCTTGTGCTGTAAGTGAAAATAAAAAAAAACCCAATATTTTCGCCAGAATAAAACATATTACAATAGAAACACAAACAGCTATCCAAACGTGCTCTTCTCTTTAGTTTGACAAACAAGACCACTAGTCCAACATCGTTCATTTTGCATCAAAATCAACGGACACACGGACCTTTGAAGTTGTGTTTTACTAGTATCACAATTAACCTCTAGCGGAAGAAGCAGTGAAATGTTTCAATCCACGCATACCTTGAGGTTATTTGTTTTTAGTATTAAAGCATTCACATCTACTGCATCATCCATAAAATGTCCTGTTTTGTGCTCAAGGACACTTCCGTCTCCTGCACAGCTGTACAGGTTTAGTGTGTCACCATCACCTACGATAAAAAGAAAAAGAGAAAAACATTTTCAGAAATTGGCCACACAAGATGCTCGCTCTTCAATCATTTCTGCAGAAATCAAACCGGAAGATATATATCTAAACCTTACTTCAACGCAAGTCTCAGAAAATTTCAGTTTGGCTTAGTAGATGTAAAAATATAAACTCCTTAGAATTTTAGCTTGGGCTTTCCAAACCAAACCGCACAATATAAATACAGCCGATGTTTGTTTAGGAGAAGATTTCTTGTCTCACCAATTTACAACCATTAAGCACCAGTTGTATCAATATATGTTTTGCTAAAGAAAGACGTGAAGCACTTGCAAGGAACAAGTGACGAAGAAAATATCTTGGTCCCCCGAACGGCTCTAAACCACAGCCATGCGATAAGCGGGCCAGTAGGCAACATAGCAGGCTCATAGATGACAAGAATCCTGTAGACTGTAAGAATAAGCCAAGTCGAAAGGATTCTTTTTGGAAATGATGATACATTTGGAGCAAAGTCGTAGACTAGAGAAAGTTTTTACATTTTTGTTAGGAGCGTAGAACTTAAAAGTATGATAAAATATTAAAGTAACCATACAAAAACAAAAAGGTACCTTCCGTGGGGCAGGGAGGGCCCCAAGACAGAGAATACACTGTCTTCTTGTGGTATGTTGAAGAGCTATCTAACCTGGAGGAAATTGAAGGAAGATACAGAAACATATTATAATAATTGTCTTATCAGCTATACCACAAGAGTTTTGAAGAGATGGGCCTAGACCCCGTTTGGCGTAAAGTGCGCTTTGGAGAAAAAACAAAAACAAAAGAAAACCAAGAGATCTGAAACTTAATACAGCGAGTTACGGTAAATGGAAGTTGAACGATTTTTACAAATTACTTCATTCAAATTTATGACAGTCTACTATCGAAGTTCGAAGATCACGCCAACAGCCTTGATTAGTTTGGTTTATAATAAAGTTTGAAAGATATTTCCTTTCTGTATATCTTGTATAAGCACGTACCAATATTAGTAGAAGCTAATTTTGTCACAGTAAAATAATGACCAGTGTCCAGTTACCCATACATAATGTAAAATTCGAGCCAGGAATTTCTATCCCTGTGCTTCAAGGAATTCCTTTTTGGAGAGAAAAGAGAATCTCCAACTCTAAGTTAGCCTGGTTCAAGTGTAAGTAGATTAACTGGGTGTGCATGAAGAGACCAGCAGAGAGAGGAAAACACACACAGAATGCCCAATCAACATGGATACACACTTTTTTGAAATTATATTATAAACCCCAACTTGTCCATCATCAGCTCCAAATGCTAACAAGCCTTCCTTGATTGGATGCCATTTGACCTGCAAAAACACAGAAATGGAATCACAACTAATCTCTCTCACAGGGGTGGTCCGGTCGTTGGTGCGCTCGATTCAGGCTGGAGCATGAGGTCTGGATTAAAGCCCCGACCCTGACCGTGGTATTGCGTTGTTACATTGAACACAGTAATCTCACAATGTCCCTCTCCACTCAGGGGCACATATGAATACTGGCCAACTGTTAGCAAAGCCTAATAAAACGTTAAGGGCGGTAGGATTACTTATGATAAACCAGCGTTGAAGAGCCCGGGGAAAAATACCCCCCAAACACCTGACCTTGCTCGCGTTCTGAGCATTGAAGATATGCAGAAAACGCCAGGCATAAAACTTCCCAACAGAGTTTAGTTTAAAAATACTTACCACCATCACTTTAGATTTGATCCCTTGCCAAACAGTCAAAGCTTCATAAGGTCCAGCAGATGAGGTTGTTTGCCAAACTCGAAGCATGTTGTCTCCTACTCCTATTCCAACAGTACCAGGATCCAGGGGGGAGATGCCCAGCGAGTAAGCAAAGCCACCAAGGGTAGGGAGGGTTTGCAAACTTCGTAGCTGTTGAGGATCCCAGATAACAATCTGAGGTATGGAGAGAAGTGAAAGATTAGTGTGGCCATGTGATAATTGTTGCTGTTTTTTACTTTTTCGCTTAGATGATGAACGAACTGGGCTGTGATGATGACTTTCAATCTCTGCCAGTTTTAAAGAGGAACAGAACTGTGTTTGACTACTGTGAATAATATGGTAGTCTTAAGACTACCATCATGTCCTCTGAATCAGTGGTTTCTACTGTCTAGGTTTGATTATCAATTTGCTGTACATAGTGCAAGACAATTTTCCTGTCTACCAACCATTTCTACTGAAGGATTTCTTTTTACATGATAGCAGGGCAACTTTTTCTTCCATGCGAATTCACGCTAGTATCCTAGCGTTAATCTGTTTTCGTTTACATAATAGCACCACAAAATAATGGACTGTGCCGAGAAACCAAAGCGTAATTTTCGTCAATCCATGAAGAGAGCGTCACGTTGGACGCGAGACGAGGAGAAGACAGACGCATTTGTACACGCGATTTGGAACTCGCGCCCGTTCTAGTTTTACCGATTTAACACCCCCTGGTAAGGAAGAATTAGGTAGATATACCCTAGACAGAAAAACAAGCGTCATTTCTTTTTTTGCGTTTTCTAGGTGACCGGCGATAGGCATGAGGTGGGCGCACAGGCGATTCGCGAAGGGCAAGGGGCTCTGTTATATTTCCTCCCTCTTCCTTACGCGTATGACTCGTGCTTTGCCTTTGCCTTGTAGTAATAACACTATATTAGTGATAACAATAATATCAACAATAATAATGATGATGAGAATATAATAATGATGATGACAATATGATGACAATACACCTGTTTTACGAGCTATGTACACCCTTTACCACGTGAAGTCTAAAAACTTACATTTATGGTAAAAGACAATTAGAGACAGCAATGTATTACACCAGTGATATAAAATGAGTACTGTACCTGTCTGTCCATGGAGGCAGTCAGCACTCTTGTACCAGAAATGTCACAGCTGATATTAAACACAATTCTTGAGTGGCCCACGCCAAATGTTTGGCATTGTGCTCTTCCTTCATTCTTGCTGAGATCCCACAACAAAACTTCGCCACTATGCACCAGATTATGTAAAAACAAATTAAGGCATAGATAACAATTTTGTTTAACTTAACAATGCTGTGTCCCTGGGATTTGAACCCATGACCCCTGCCATATCGGTGTAGTGCTCTACTACCAACTGAGCTAACAAGATAACTGAAGTGGTGAACAGTCATTTATTTGAAATCTGTTTACCACAAGATCTTAGGCCAGGCAAACAAATAGGATCTAAGTTTCAGAAATACTTTTCATCATTTTCAAAATCTAGCATCATTATTAACAGCTGTTTAAGAGTTCACTCATTTCTCATGAAACTCATTACAGACTGGTTAGAAAGCCAGGCATACTTTTCAACACATTTTTCCAGTTTCTTATGCATAACTATCACCTGCATCAAATTTTCTTTCTTTCAAAGGATTTCCTCCTGCTCACTGATTCTGCAAACTAACTTACCCATGACTGCTAGAAATAACATGGCCTGGTGATGCAGCAGGCCAGCAAACACTGACCCACAATCTGTCTCTGGGGCCATAAGAATCATGTTTGTCCTTTCGTGATGATCTTTTAGGCAGTTGTTTAAAGGACAGAACTTTGCCTTGTGCTGCATTCCATAACCTGACTGTCTGATCCCTTGAACCTGACACTATCAAGTGTCCTTCAGCAGCTGAAACCTTGTCTTGTATAGGACCTTAAAATAATGCACGTCTTATAAACCCTCTAGTTAATACTATAACAAAATTCTCTAATGTGATTGGTAATCACCAGCCCAATTTGAGAACTAATAGGAAAGTATACACATCATGCTTGCAATAGGACAATGTAATAGGACAGTTGATGAGTCATACCTATGCAAGAGGACAGCGTGCATCATGAGCGAGTGCTGTTGTCACACATTATGCCATGTTAACTGATGCTTTTTTATGAAGACATATAACAGGTGTCTAGTTTCTTTTTCTCAAATTGTCATAATGTTGATTAACTAGTAACAGGGCTTTGTGTTGTCCAATTCTGTCAGTGATCATACTCATGATTAACAATTCGGACTCTTGCAGTGATAAACAAATTGGACTTCTGAAGTTGTCCAATTTTTTTTGGATCACTTGTATGATTACAGACAGAATTGGACTCCACTCAGTCCTACTACGATAATGATTATTAATTAAATATAATTTATTTAATAAATCCCCTCTGTAAAAATGTAAACTCGCAACTGCCAGGAAACCCATCAATAGGAATACTGCTGCCCCCTCTCTTCTCTGGGAATGAGATGCAACTCCACCTGTAGCAGGAATATTTTATTGATCTACACAATATACTGTATGGTTAATATAAAAATTTACCAAAGTCAATGTCTTCCTTAGGTGCTGGACACCAGGTTAGACTGTGAATTTCACTAGAATGTCCTTGCAGTTTGTGCACTAACGAAACACTCCTTCTGCTTGTATCAACATTCAAAACAGCTATCAGACCACTCTTGTACCTACAAGATAATAATAATCTGAAATTTACTAAAACTGTCTTTAATAAACCATTTTTTTAAAATGATCTCTGGCTAAAACATTTAAAAAGTTACAAGCTATCAACTGCCTGAACTGCAGTCTTCGACAGGTGAAATCAGAATGAAAAAAATTGGAAAAAATTTGAATAAAAAACCATGAAGTTGCGAAATTATTAAGCATGAATTATTTGCAGTTCAGGAGGTTCAAAGCTTGTAATATTCTAATTGTTTTACCCAGAGTTCGTTCTTAAAAAAAATTACCAACTGTCTGAAATCAGATGGAGTGTGCAAAAACAAACAGAACTTTCCTAAACTGAATGGAACTGTGCACAACAGGACATTCTTTAGAGGGTGAAGGATGAATGCAAAGGACCACTTTGACAGAGACTACTGCTTAAAATCTAAACTAGATTATGGTTTAAGAGACCAAGACAAAAAAAAAACCTGTGAAATTTTCTCCAATCTCTTTGAACTCACCCGACAGCTATTTCACTTTGCGAAATATAGGAAAGAGCCACAGAGAAAATATGATCTTGGACTGGACAAGCTTCAAAAAGATTTTCTTCTGTATACCTCCATGCTATGATGGAACCTTTTTCATCACCTGTAAGTAATGGTACAAAAACTTTCAAAACAGGGTGTCAACTGTATAGATCTTTGATATGAACTTCAAAAATATTGTATGTTTAACTGGGTCAGGTGTAGAAAGATATGGCTTAAGGAAACAGCAACACATGTGATTAATGAAAAAAAGTTATTGATGGCTCTGTCATCTACTTTTGACCAGATAATGCTGTAAAGTAGCCCAAAAATTCTTTGATCCCTGTTCCTGATTTACACCCTCTCTGCTTACAGGAACATAATTCAAGAACATATACATGTAAATGTGTTCAAGTTCAGGTGATTAAATCACAGAATCCAAGACCATTTGTGCACCAAGTATACAAGCAAACTCTGGGAAAATATTTATTGCCTCTCCCCCTCCCCTCTCCTTCCTTTTGACCATCATTCACTCTTTGAGTCTTTCTCTCCCCAGCCTTCTGCTGCTAAGATAAATCAAAGATGGCAGCTATAATTTTCACGAAGAAAATACTAAACACTTGCTCACCAAAATCATTGCTATTCTGTGAACTATTCTGTGAGCTATTCTGGTCAAATAGCAATGTTACCAATCTCTAAGGATTATTTACATTCAGCAAATTTTTTCAACACATTATATGTGCAGGATTCTCTTACCTGAGATAACAAGATCTGTAACAACAGGAGACCAAGCAAGGCACGTCACTTTAGCCTAAAAGATAAAGGAATACTGGATATTATCATCAATTAGATTGAGGAAAAAGATAATGTTTCTTAGAAGATTCTGGTATGCAGTTGTACATAACATCATGTCATCCATACATTTCTCATCTCATCTATTTATATATTAATGTCTACAGGCAGAGCTGAACAATGCAGGGCATAAAATTGCGCCTAATACAGGCACCAATGCGCCTAAATTTTTCACTTTGGCGACCAAATCCTGAAAGTTAATCGCCAAATTGGTGACTAGAATGTTTCATCATAACCTTACCAAGAGATATAGTGAATTAAAAAGATTTGCAAAGATAAATCCACGGCAAACTTCCTCTTTAAGTTTGTTTCCAAAACGTAGCACATGCATCTCGATCGATAACTAGACGCCATCTTGGATTAAGATGAGCCTGAATGTTGTATATCATCCATCCTAGTGTCCACTTTGTAGCACGTTAATTTTTTAGGGTCTATCTAGAACGCTGACAGCGTAAAGAAAGATTTTGTTTGTCTTTGAAAATGGCGACCAACTTTTTTTGAATTGGCTACCACTTTGAAGAATTTAGGAGCCAAGTGGCTATCAGAAAAAAAAGTTAATTTCACGCCCTGCAATGACATGTCACACAAGGTTTAAAATTCAGGGAATTTTCAAGAAAAAAAAAGGGCACTGGTATTTAAAATTTAGGCATTTTGTTGTTGAGAAATTTTTTTTAAAATATTGTTCTGTAAAAGAAAAACGGCAAGGAAAACAATGCCTAGAAGCAACAGAATGGAAAATCAAACTTTAAAAAAGATTCAAAATCTGTTTTTCACACCAAAGCCTGGCACAGATGCAGATGTTAACCCTTTACACCCACTGGTCAGTGTTCATATTCTCCATACTGTTCTTGGTACATATTTTATAATGCCAATAAGGAGAATTTGCCCAACAATCAAAAGCTTCTTAGTTGGTGATCATTTCTTTTATTCTTAACCTTTGTGTGTGATTCAAGGGTGATATTGTAAGGAGAAATTAGATGATAGTCACTCTTAGGGGTTAAGGGTTAAACAGCTATGCCCTGTCCACATAGAATCTAACTGTGAGAGTTAGCAAGGAGAAGAGAATGTGATGCAAGAAACAAGAGACATAGCTCTGGCTGTTTGATGGGGTAATGTTTCATCAAGCTTACATATCTCAATCCGAAAAATAAATAAACAAATAAATTAATATAAACATTGACCAAAATTCACAAGATACTAAGGAGGAAATTTGTTAGCTGTAAAAAAATAGCTTCTATAGTCACATTTGGGTCATATCGTTGTTCTGAAACTCAAGCTATGCCAGGAAAACAGGAAAGAAGCGAAGGTGAGTTTCAAGATCAATTCAGCTGAATGAATTCAGCTGTTCATGGAGTAAATCAAATCAGCCGTAATAAGTAGTACCAAATATATTACAGGATTATAATTTTGTGGAAATAAAAATACGTACGTTGTGCGCCTTATGTTCCATTAGTGCAAGCTTTGACCCTATGTCCCAAATTTTCACTGTTTTATCATCCGAACCGCTAGCAAGGAAACTCGGGTGAAGCTTGTGTTTGGAAAAACACACACTTGTCACACGCTCCACATGGCCGTCAAGTTGACCCTCAAAAACAGGCGACACCGAGCTGACGTCCAAAAGATAGACGCAATTTCTAGCACCAAACGCATAAACACTGTTCAAACTACAGTCTGCCACAGTACTACAATACCAGTTAGGGGATGCGAGAAGAACGAACTTCGACGCATCGTCAGCCATGTTGGAATAGAAACCGCGAAAATGCTGTAGAGAGACTGGCACTAATGGTGGTGCCACCAAAGATCGCGGGACCCTGGAACAGAGAGTTGTTTCAAGATGGCCGCGTCTAAAGGTACGTGTGGTATATACGATATCTTTTCGAGTTATGAGCTCATTTTGAAAGGACGTATGCCAATTTGAAACATGTTTTTATTTTTCTAATAGTCGAGGGGCTCCTTAGAGTTGTACAGTTTCAGCTAAGGTAAGTTTCTTACTGAAGGCCAAGGCTTGAGAAAGTCACAAAATAAGGCTCCTCTTTAAACCTGTCTCACCAGTTTTTATAGCATACCCTGGTGAAAATCTTTCAAGGATCTTTAAGGATCTTTCAAGATCTTCATGAGGACCTTTGAGGATCCTCTTGAGGATCTTCATGAGGATCTTCAAAATTCTTGTTAAGATCTTCAAGGATCCTTCATTTTCTTGTCAAGATCTTCAAGGATCTTTGATTTTCTTGCCAAGATCTTCAAGGATCTTTGATTTTCTTGCCAAGTTGATTTTCTTGCCAAGATCTTCAAGGATCTTTGATTTTCTTGCCAAGATCTTCGAGGATCTTTGACTTTCTTGCCAAGATCTTTAAGGATCTTTCATTTTCCTGTCAAGATCCTTGAAGATCTTGTCTGGATCTTCAAAGATCTTTACATGAACTTTGAAGATCCTTTAAAGATCTTTGAAAATTCTTTGAGGATCTTCCAAATTCTTGTTAAGATCTTTGAGGATCTCTAATTTTCTTGCCAAGATCTTCAAGGATCTTGTTGAAAATTTTGAAGATCCTTAAAGATCTTGGAAAGAAAATAAAAGACCCTTAAAGATCTTGGCAATAACTTGAAAGATCTTTGAAGATCTTGGCAAAAAAAAGAAAGATCCTTGAAGATTTTGACAGCCAAATTAAAGATCTTTGCAAGAGATTTGAAGATCCTTAAAGATCTTGACAAGAATGTCAGTGAACCTTGAAGATCCTGGCAAGGAAATGGAAGATCGTTGAAGATCTTAGCAAGAATGTTATAGAACCTTCGAAATTTTGACAAGAAAATAAGCATACTTAAATCCTCATACTAAGTTAAAAAGAAAAATTGAACCAAACATAAAAAAAATGAAGATAAAACTTTTTTTTATTGCTAAATGAGAATTACCCATCTTCTTCTAGTAGGACTACTTCTACACTATTTCTGCTCAGACTTTAGGTTAGTACTAAGATTTTCATTTTCCAAAAAATCTGGCAACAGTCCAGCTCAAAGATAAGAAGACCAAAATATATGTGTTAAACTTGTCTAGGACTAGACTATGACCAGACTCAGACTACTCTTACAGAGGGGTAAACATGAAAAAAAGGCAAACAAGAGTACTTCAATGACTATATTTCTAAACCATATTAACCTATATACCAAAAGAAAACTTTGGAATCACACATATTGAATATAACTAATATGTTGCCCTAAACCAATTTGTTATTTGACATCAGATCAATTTGTCCACCACATGGTGTGAAAAACCTAGGTATACTTGAGAAAAGATAACTGCACAAAGATTGCATGAAATCAAGTGTTTTTAGTGTTAAAACAAAGTACTAGGGTCGTTCTTTTGGATGAGCTAAGGAACTTTTGGAGTCGTTTATATTATGGGCACAGTGCCCGTTCAAAGTTCACCGTGATTATTAGGTGAGTTATTCCACAATATCTTACTTGAAATTCAGCTTATAGAGAAACTGTCAGCTTATCCACCTCAACTCAGTAAGAGGATACAGCCCTGAAAACCTCAGATTAATTGAACTAATACATCCTGAGGTACAAAATAAGTGTTTTCGGGAATTCATATGAAAACCTCTAAAAGAGCTTTTTAAGTTGGTTACACAGAACCAAGTAAATTCACACCTTCTTCAGAAACATGTCCTTCAGTGAGCGTCGAGGAGAATCTCTCTAGATCGATAAGCCTTTATCCTTGTCCCTGTAACACATCATTTGCATCCTCACTCTCCAAGAGCTCAGAGCAAGAATCATTAGGCGAGGATGGCATCTTCATTTTCTTTCCAGAAGTACCAATGAATTCTTTTCATTCAGCCTCAGAGTCAGAGCAATCGCGAGACCTGCTTGGAGTTTGATTGACGATTTCGGTTGTTTCTGTCTCTCTTTTCGCTTGTTTCTGAAACCCAGAAAACGCCTTTCCTTTACCTGTACATTTTTCCTTTAGTTCCGACCATTGTCGATGATATTTGCCGTAATTTCTTATGTTTTTTGTTTCTCGGCGCGTATAAATTCTATCCCATAATGCAAAACCCTTTGTCATGTAAGTAGTCACAAAGTTTCTGAAACTCGAGCATGGCGTTGCTAAAACCTTCGCCTTTCACAATAATTTTTGCGAAAATTCCTTGTTGTGTTTAAATTTAAAACAGTGAGCCCTCAATTTACAATTTTTTTGTTTGAAATTACTTGAGGATTTCAAAGGAACCTAATTCCAGAGATTGGTAGAGATCTTGACAAAGTTGCCTTTGAGATCCACATCAAATTCAAAAAGGATCCTTACAAAGAGCTGCACAAAATCATGAAATGAATCTTTTAAAGATATTTGGAAGCTTGAGGATCTTGAAGGATTGTAGAACAGATCATGCAAAGATCTTAGCAGGATATAAAGGTTCTTTTGAAGGTCTTAAAAGATCCCATTAAATCCTTGAGGATCCTGAAGGATCCTTGAAAAATCCCAAAGATCTTGACTTAAGGATTTAAGATCCTGATCAAATTCTAAGGATCCTGGCAAAGATCTTTACAGGATCCTTGAAAAGGATCTTTTGTAGGTCTTTAAAAGATCCTCAATAAATCCTTGAGGATCTTGAAGGATCCTTGAAAAGATCTTGCAAAGATCTTGAGTAGGATCCTTGTAAGATCCTGATCAAATCCTTAAGGATCCTTGCAAAGATCTTAATAGGATCCTTGAAAGGATCTTTGGAAGGTCTTTAAAAGATCCTCATTAAATCCTTGAGGATCTTGAAAGATCCTCAAAAAGATCCTGCAAAAGATCTTGACTAGGATCCTTGCAAGATCCTGATTAAATTTAAGGATCCTTACAAAGATCTTGAAAAGGATCCTTGAAAGGATCTTTTGAGGGTCTTTGAAAGATCCTTGATAAATCCTTGAGGATCTTGAAGGATCCTTGAAAATAACTTTTGCGAGGATCCTTATGAGGATCTTTGTAATATCCTTTGAGGATCTTTATCAAATCCTTGAGGATCTTAACAAACGTTTTTTGCTTACAAAAGATCTTTGAGGATCTTTTACAGATCCTTTTAAAAGATTTTATTGCACTTTGTCAATCCTTGAAGATCCTCAAAGATCCTGTGAGGTTTTTCACCAGGGTATTGCACTCAGACTTTAACTTAAATTCCACATTCTAGAAAATCAGGAGCATTAGTGATGTATCATGTAGCTTACTGGGATATCACTCGGATAAACGTATTTAGAGAAAACTAAAACAGCGGATAACGGTGAAGGCGTGCTTTGATTGGCTACTCAGACTCCGAATATCTTTTGCTATTCACGTTCGAGCAACTCGTGTGGGATATGTGCCTGAAAAAACTGAAATCGGCGCAAGGATAAATGAGTTAAAATCACCTTTTTGTGCTCTATTTTCTTAATGTTTTAGTTTTTATTAAAACAACTATTCACCTCAGTCTCAGTGGCCAGCAGTGTCCACCAGTAAATATTTACCATTAGCCACCTCCACTTTGGTAAATAGTTGTTATAATTATTTAGATCTATTTGTTTTTATGAAAAGTTCAACATCTTACTTAACATTTTCTCTTTGTATTTAAGAAACCTGTCCCTGCGGCCAGTTTTGTGCTCAAAGCTGCACACCTGTGCATTGCGACCTGCTACTTTTTCAATTACCAGAGCACTATGGGGGAAAACACTGGCTGAAATTGAAGAGGAAAAGGGAATTCCAGAACCCCCACGAGAGGTATGCCTAACTTCAAATTAGTATTGATAGGTTGTGGAGCTCGATATTGGGATATATGCTCTCATGAAATACTTCACAGGTATAGAATTCAATATAGAAGCTTGCCCTTAAATTATGGCAGATGCACATGTGATTTTTCCTTTCTTGCCGTACATTTCACACTTTTTAGGAAAATCACCTTTAGAAGTGCAAGATCTGATCAAGTTCTGCCTTACCTTGTAGACTGGTACAAAAGGCATTTACGAGAAACAGGGTATTTGTTAAGATTACTTTGCAGTGCAAATTACCAGTGCCCTGTGTCTGAAGGTGATTGAAATAACCATTTGAGCAGCATTTTATCGGGGCAGTAAAATCAATCTCCAGATTGAATGTTTAAATGTGGAAGTGAGAGCCATAACTTGCCCTAACAGAGAGCAAGTGCTCAACACCATGATGATTGATTTTCCTTTATGATAAGCTAATTGTTTTCTCTTCAGTATAATTGACAAATAACACCTTAAAGTAAGCATATTCTCCATAGTGTTCCCTAAAGATTTCCTAAGGCGCAGACAGGAAGAATCTGTTTGACAATCATAAGTTTTTTTGTTTAATTTCCTTTATTCTCTTGTCCTAAATGTGTTTTTTTAAGGGTTAAAGGGTTAATGTTCTCTATTTATCAAACTATGACAGGGTGGCATGTCAAAGTCTCTTAGTTAAAAATCAGTAATTTTTTTCTTTGTAGACTATTCACCATGTTAGAAGAGAGATCAAAGGAAGCCCAACTAAGTTTAATGCAGTAGCAAAACAGGTGATTAGTTTTCTTCCATTTTGATGGTGTAAAAGAAGAAAACTAAAAGAATATTTGAAAGGTTTGCTTAATATACATCAATTCAAGCCCTGCACCCATTTTTCCATTCATTTGTAAAGTTACAAATGACACTGTAACTCTTGATATCCTTGTTTTCCCTTAGTTACCTAATATTAACTCTTTAACTCCCAGAAGTGATTAACATAAAACTTCTCCCTACAATATCCTTACATTCTTCAGCAAACAGGTAATGAGAATATTCAAACTTATCAGGTAGAAGCTGCTAACTTGATCTAGCACCAAGTTCCCATAACTAATTTACAAGGAAATGTGTAGCAGCTACAGAGGAGAATTAACAATCAGATCTTGGGAGTTAAAGGGTTAAGTTAACAAACTACCATTAACTGAATGCATGTAGCATTCAATTCATACAGTTTTTACTCCTGCAACCAACAAACCTGTGAAATTTAAGCTCTTTTTAGAGCTTTCAAGAGCTTTCTTGCACGCTGGTGAAATTAGAACTGAAAGGATCAGGGTTTGAACTCAATTTTCAGTGGATGCTCAGGTCACATCCACAGTCAACGTTTAAGTTGAGAGTTTGTTTTGTGAGCATCATTTTATGGGCTGGATTTAGTATGCTGAAGTCTGTGGTTTCAGTTTGTGCCCTTGATGGTTTTATTGTGCTGGTGTCACTGGTTTAAATAGATGTACATGTCTTGTAAAGTAATGTTTGTTTATTCTTGTGTGTTTGTTTTTTTTTTTTTGCACAGATCAGGGGACTGCAGATTGAAGAAGCTATTAAACAGATGACATTTTCACCCAAAAGACCAGCAGAAATTATTAAACAAGTAGGTATTACCTAGAGAATATAGGAGGATTTGTATTCTAACAGATTGCTATATCTTGAATTTAGGAATAATACATACAGCTAAAGAAAGCAACATTTCTCAGTCTATCATGCAGTTGGTGATTTAAATAACAGCTAGTCAGTCCACTCTCTTAGATCCATGTCTAATGAGAACCAAATTAATTTATTCCTTGCAGAACTTAATGGTAAAAAATGTCACATAATTTTTTTTTCTCAAGGTAATCCTAGAAGCACAAGGAAAAGCTCAAAAGGAGCATGATGTAGAGGACAAGACACACTTGTGGGTTGGTAAGTATTTACCAAACAAGTGTAGAATTACAGTGAGTAACAATGATTCATGCTGTGCTGCCCTTACAGAAAAGATTATCAGAAAACTCCACAAGCCACAACTGTGTTTTTACTATGCTAGGAAGTAATCAGTAGTCTGTGACTAAACAGTACAGGAAGATTTGGGGTTTAACCTGTTAGGTGGCTGAAGGTGTAGGGTTACAATATTGAATTTAAGGTATTTTGAGCACTGAACCAAAACTGAAGTGTAATATGTGCCTAAGTGTTCTGTGACAGTAATAAACATCTTCACCCATGACACTGGGTGAGCTCTGTCATAACAACTGTTACAAGTTACGGCCCTCTTTGAAAGGCATGGTGACTGGTGGTGTTGGATATTGGTTGTCACTGTGTTGAGATAATAGCAAACTGGCCTCATATCCTCTGGAATGAGTCTATGTTCCTGAGAGTTTCATCTCTTAGCTGCAATTTTTCTTGCTCTCAGTCATTCCATCTACATTGTCTTCTCTTACAGCTCAGTCTTATGCTAGCAAAGGACATTACATCAAGAGAATGAGGTATCATGCAATGGGTCGCTTTGGCATCAGGCATATAAAATACTGTAATTACTTTGTTGTCTTGAAAGAAGGAACAGCCAGGCCAAGAAACAAGAAGAGACGAAGGAGACACATGAGTGAGTTAGAACTTGTGCAAAGGCATCCACGACACATTCGGAACTCTCTATCATGGTGGTGAAGAAGGCTTGACCTTGATCATTATGGCTGTGGAAAATGTAAATCCTCTCTAAAACACCTGTACACAGCCAACCTGGCTGTTATGAATAAAGGAAGGATATCAATTTTATCAGATACTGTCCTTTTAATGTTCTTGAATATGCACTTGAAGTAACTTCTGTTTCTAATAGGGACGGAACAACGTGAAAATAACAAAACAAAACCAAACGAACCAAGTGGGACCTGGAACGGCTAACGTGATGACAAAATAAACAAGAATGATAATCTCTCGTTTTTATTATAAAGAGCATATATAAAAAAACTATGTAATTTTATTTACATTCCAACAATATTACTAACAACGTTAGATAATTTTTATGGGCAGTCCACAACGCCAAACAGTAAAAACCAAAATGGCATCTTTTCTCTTCATTGCTAAATTCTTTGAAACTTGCCTTCTTTAATAGCGCTACACCAAGCATCACTGAATGGACACTTTTCTTAAAGGAAAAGGTTTTAAAATTGTGGTTACCATACAAGTAGACAAACATGCACGATCTAGTACAAATTTTTAGTCCTATCCCATTGTCCTCACGCAAGCTTCTAACTGAAAGCCTTTGAAAAGTAACCTCTTCACGGACACGGAATACCCCGATATGCTAAAGTACAGGATTTCTTTGAGGCATCAATGCCACACGTGAAGACGACAACTGCCTGCCACATGTACGGGCGCGAAAAATTACGAATTGCCGCAAGTTAGGGCGGTTAGAAAATTCAAAATTCTTTCTAAACCTTACTTTCAATTACAAAATAGGAGAAAAAATATCCCTCTCTCAGTAGCTGAACCTTATCTCTGCATTAATTAAATGTTGTACATCGCTTAACATTTCAAAATGGATCCAGTAGCAAATTCAGATCATATCGGTGAAACAAAAGCCTGATGAATTGGCGGCTGAAAGCAGCGGACATGTTCAACAGGACCGTCTGAGGACTTGAGGTGCTTGTTGAGTACCGCGAATATCTGGTCGTTTAGTACTTTGAAGTGACGTGCTCGGCTAACAAGCCGCTTGAGATCCTGAAACGAATGTAAGATAATATTCTTCTTAGCCACGTCTGTTTCTGATACTAGGATGTCAATAGTAAAATGAATGGAACTAATTCTAGCCTCTTCGACGCTAACAAATCGACTGGAACGACGTCGTTCAGCATTTTCAACCAAAATGTGCTGACCAAAAAGCTATGGTGAGCACAAGGAATAATAAACTTTCCACTAGGCTTCCGTCTGCGTCTCAAAAACATTTGCGCTTTACCTCTCTATTTAAATGTGACCGGTCCAGGGTGGGGAGAGGAAACACAAATTAAATTTGATAAGAACCCTCTTTGAAGCACTTTCCTCTCGACCACGCCCTTGACAAAGGAACTGAAGAAATTTTGCCCCAAATGAATCTGCGCAGGGTACATACCACGCCTCCAATCACTTCGTCCCGCGAATCCACCTCGTAAACTTTGACGATATGATAACAGAAATCCAACGCTTCAAAACGATTTTCTTGTCCTAGCAGAGCAATGAAGGTACATCCGGCCCAGTTGAGGCCTTCACCAAAGCACTGCCTGAAATAAGCGAAGAGAGCAACATGAGGAAAGCCTTGCATAACAGGTTAGTTCATATCACAGTATCATACGAGTGATAACGTGAGCTTAAGAACAGATGGACTGATCTTATTAGCAACTTCAAATTGCTGATAGGGTTTGAAATATTGCCGTGGTTTGTCAGTGGCAATGAGATTTATCAATAGCCAAAGTCGAGCTTTAGAAGAAAGCGTGTAACCAAATCGCGATTGGTTTCAGTTTTGCATTTCATTGGTTGAGAGGCTGGCAGGGGTATTCTAGACCAATCAAAAATTGACGTAAAGCAAACCATTCAAAATACTAGACTTTAAATAATAAGCTGAATTATACACGTCTTTTGGTTGGTTATTGCTGATGATCTATTGGAGGATAGACACAAAAATGAAGTCACCATTAACAGTATATTGCTTTTTATCAAACAGAGAGAGAGTCAAATAGAAAGTGTTGTAAATACAAAGTAACACTTACTCGACAGTGAGTTCATTTTGCCGCAGCGGCTGGCAGTAGTTGAACTGGATGGCACTCCACAGGCGGTGAAACTCTCTACACTCGTCAATGTTCATCACTCCATTGGATGGTGGTATCTCTTGCCATATTTCATGAACCAGGAACTTTTTTATCCTTTTCAACACCACCTCAAAGATGGAAAGTCCACAGCAAAGTCTTTCTTTCGTCAACACGTCGCCTTCTTTAGCGTTGACTATTTGCTGCAAAGAGAACAGCCATCCCTAGTCAACGACGCAAATATGAAGGTACAGTTCGTGACAAGTCACACAATGGCGCAATAGCGTTGCGTGACGAGCTTCGTCAAGACCTTAAGATACTAGACCGGGAATATACCTCTTTGGTTCCAAGCTTGGTGATGGTTGACAACACTTGCAAAGAGTTGTACTGTTTTTCGAGTTTCTCCATTTTGGCCTGGAGTTTTTCACCCTCTGCCATTGACAAAAAGAAAACAAAGGAAAACTGTCAGACGTAAAAAAGAACAGCTTCCGTTTCGTGCTGCTGTACTGCCTAAATGTTTCTCTTGTTTTTTCTTGAATTCGTGAGTACCCAAGTTTATTCTCTCCTCCAGCTTCTACACATTTCCTTGTGAACTAGTTACGAGATTTGGTGTGAGATAAAGATAACAACTCCCACCTGATAAGTTTGAGTATTCTCATTGCCTGTCTGCTGAATAATGTATGGATATTAAAGGGAGAGGTTACATTTCGTTGCGAGTTTATAAGAAGGAAATGGGGTGAGGCGGACGTAGACGGGATTTTTTAAAAAGAGGTACTGTTGATAGTCTACATTAGACCCAAACTGAATCTCAACTGTAATACAAAAGAAAAAAAAGGATATTCTCGATAAAAATTAAGTAGTGACAGTTCTTAAATGGTAACAGACTAATCACTAAGTGACAGAGCGCAGCCAGAGAGCTGACTTCAAGGCGATCACCGAAAATTAAAAAATGTAGCGAGTGACAAGAGAACTGACACGAAGACAAGATCACTACTTGAATATAAGTCCCAGTGCCCAAACCACTCGGTTTACTCTGTCTGACTTCATAATAAGCTTCAATATTCTAGTCACCAATCAAGTTACCTTTCAGATAAGGCCTGGGGATAATTCCTTGGAATGGAGCTGCATGTAACAGATCAATAATCTCTTCTTGGGACTAAAAAATTAAATTAAAAAAATTAAGGAACAATTACAAGGAACAAAGTTTCCAAGTTGTGGCCAGTTATGTTACTTACATTGGTGAAGTTCTCACTTCTCAAAATTCAAAAGAGCATTAGCTCGCCAACGACCTACCAAGGCCGCAACGATTACTTGGAACTAAAGTAAACTTTACTCACAAGGAAGCCCTCAAGTTGTACACAGAACAGTATGGCATTGCCGATCTCTCTAAATCCCTGGAACACGTCTGTCCTCAAGTATGGGTACTGCATGATCGGTTCCAGGCTAGCATGATAGTATTCCAGAACACCTTTTGAAGGAAGAAAGAGAAAAAATTGAACCATGCTATAAAAAAAGAACAAGTAGAGCAAAACGCTATGCCTTTTATTTTGGTCTGAGTTACCTTGAAATTACCGTACTATTAATACAAGTCTTTAACAGGCCTGAATGCTGTTTTCAAACTAGTTGTTTGCGATGTAGGCTTTTATATTACGATCAGTGTCTGAAGCCCAAAACTAAAGTAATAACTGACAACGACCGATCACACGATCACACGATCAAAACAAAGGATAACATCTTATGGAGCAAATGTCGACCCAGGGTAAATTGATGTAATTGGCCTAATGTGCACAAAAAAATACGCAAGTGGCCAAGTTGGGGATAGCTTTGGTTGTGGGTCTGATTGATTGAGGTTGCCCCAGAGCAAAGTAAAACCAATGAAATCCCAGATTACTTTCGGGATAGAATATTTGCCAAAAACTCTCATTTCACTTGCCGCCAAAGGTTTAGTCATACATGCGCGCATTACAAATAACTACCGACTCCAGCAAGATTTCCCTCCGTCTTTGAGAGTAAGTATATTACCTGTTGATCCGTACTCAAAGCGAGGAAGGCCACATTTCTTTGGCATCCCTTCGATGAGCTGTGCTATGTACAGCTGAAGCTGACCTTGAAGCTACAGATCAAAAAGTTAAAATTACTAAAGTTGTGTTTACAAGCCCTCAGCTGATTTAGGTTACAAAGGTGTTTTACGATGGGCAAAACGCGGGTTTACCGTGTCGTGTTCCGGATCAAAGGCCTGGGTTCGAGCCCCTGTCATGTCGATGGGTTGTGTCCTTGGAGCAACCCACTCGGCATCGACGGAAGACTCATGAAGTGCCATAGGGGAAGAGGGGGAACAATCTTAATTGGACAAGCATCCGCTCAGGAGGAAGGGGCATATTATTAGTCGCTTTACATGACAGAAATCGTGTTCCGGCTCTAACAGCCATGCGAGTCAGGGATGTACGTAGATTTTTCTTTTTTAGCTAAATCAGGAAAGTAGGAGAAGGGGAAATCGGGTTTAAGGCGAGAAATACAGAATTCGTCAGCAGAAGAAGCACGAGATTACATGGATCGTGACAACTACTGATTAAGTTACCACATCTATCAAAATAAGGTCACTCCAGTGTGTACCAAGATTTTTGACACTCATTTTTGTGTAAGATAGTTCTTAAATAGCTTACCACACTCTTGATAATCTTAAGAAGTTCCTCGATCACTACAGCAATTCCTTGATAACCAAGCAAGCGAGACATGCAAGCAAAATGAATATCTCCGACAAAGTTGCTGTACAGTGATCCAATGGCATTGAACACTGAGTTTTGAAGCTACAAGGAAAACAATATATAAACAAACACAAGAACACAAATTGAAGTTAATTTCGAGCAGCACTAACAATTCAGTCATGACAGGATAATTAACCCATTAACTCCCGAGATCTCTTTAGTAATTTTCTTTAACGCCTGCTATATAACTCTCGAGGTGTAAGTTTGGATAACCTGGCATTGGATCAAGTAACAATCTCCTAATTGATATCTTTCGCTATATTATATTGATATTGTAAGAAGATACTCTGTCTAATCACTCATGAGAGTTACACGGTTAATAATGAAGATGAAGCCCGAATGAATGTTAAGGAGCAGCACTGGCCAGCCGTACAATCACATTTTGCGAAGAAAGTTTTGAAATTACCTTAGTGCCAAAGAAGTAATGATGTGCTTGTTTTGGAGCTTGTTCTCTGGAAACCTTTTCCACCAAAGAAAGCGACGTGGGGACAAATCTGTAAACAAAATAAAGTATCGTAATTTATTGAAAAAACTCTCGGTGACTTCTGAAGAAATGGAATATAGCATTTATGTGACTTGTTCATAGAGCACTTTTGGATTGAGTGTCTTAAAAACAAAACTAAAGTACCCACAATGGTCAGTCAGAAGAAAGGAAAGTAACCAGCAAAGCGAAACAAATAGAACAAGCGGAACAAGAGGAGCAAGAGACCAAGTCGTGACTGGTTTTAGTTAGGTGAGCATGTGATTGGTTGAGAGGGTGACGCGAGTCTTCTGGACCAATCACAGAGCAAAATGAAGAAAAACCAATTTCATCCCCAGTTACTTTCGAAACTCAATCGAAAATTGCTCAAACAAATAATCAAAACTCTAAATTGAGAGCTAGACAGGTGGGCGTTTATATGAGTAAGGGTTTTTTTTGTATTAGAGTATTCACAATAACTTTCCTCACCTGTTCGTGGACGAGTTGTAGCAGTAGTTTGGAAGAAAATCGAAGTTGAGTTCCCAGAACACATGAAGGGTGATCCTTCCATAAGGCGCAGACACCGAATGGTTGGCCTCACCCAACATGTTCTTAAACGGAATCAGCTTTACGCACTTGGACAACAACTGATGCGTCATTCGGTTCACTTCAATAAGGTTCTCCAAGTCCTACAAAACACGAGTCACTAAGAAACTATTTGTACGTCAAAAAAGAGTGGATCTTTCACTATGAACATCAATGTAACTTAAAACCAATATCAAGAAAGGGAAGAGTTTTAAAAAACATACCACAACACCACAGATATCTCCACTCTCAAACCGCGCGATTGCACAGTCCAAAGACTTTATCATGGCGTTGTTCAGACGCTGCGTGATGAGCTTGTTCAGGTCGATTGACCGGCCTAGAAGCTGAGAGAAAAGGAGGCTGTTAAATGAAATGGCCGACAATCGTCTTGGCACCACCTCCAGATTCAACCACACCATCATCTCCCCAACCCCCCCTCCCCCCGCCAGTCCCCTTCCAAAAGAAAAGAAAGAGTGAACAGCATCAAAATTTTGGCAGTGCATTGATTGTGGGGAGAGCATTGGCTCCGCTCGTAGGATGAGGAAGTTAACATAATAAGACAAGGCTTTTCCCTTCCTCCCCTCCCCACGCCAAACCCAGGATAAGTTGCAAATGATCTAGGTGAGACTGAAATTTTAAGCTACTTATTAATAAAGTTATCATATTCTGTGTCTTGTTCTGGTTTCAATTTTCGTAATTCTTTTCCTGCACCGATACGATTTTTCCCAGTCAAGAAAATTCCATACTTACCTGCACATGCCTCTGTCTAAGAAGAGTCTCATATCTGTTGGATCGGGTCCCCAGTTTCGCAGCTGCCTCAGCATTCAAACGGACCAGCTCCGATTTGAACTTCTTGTCCAGTAACATACTACAGAAACAACAACAAAGCACGATTGAACTCTTCCATGAGTGACCAGGACAGAATTTCTCCTCACAATGTAAATATACATGTAACTCTTTATTATGTACCACACAAGTAAATGGTGTTTTTCGCAGGCGCTGATTGGCTACTTGGGAAGTGAGCAGCCGACGAGACAAAATCGTGCGTCGAGACCCTAATTACTGACCATTTTTCGGTATATTGAAAAAAAAAATTATCATTTTTTAGTATTCTTGTATATTCAACTCAGTTTTGGCGAAAGTGGTAGATGTTTACCTTTACTTCGTTGAATAATGAAGGGAAGGGGGAGGGGAGCAGATACTTTTAACCTGTCCCACGCCTATTCTCCCCGTTCCCCACCCCCAAGAAAAAAACTTGTCACGCCGGATGTTAACCCCATCGCTCTCAAGATCTAAGACCTAATTTTCCAAACCGGCATCCATTTATTTCCTTTATTGCGATATTGTGAATCTATCCTAACGTGGAAAATTTTCTTAAAACTCTGCTTGACCGGGTGCATAATCTTGCGGGTAGGATTTGCATCCTGACAAGAATTACCACACAGCAGTTACCTGCAGGCCTGTGCCTTGTAGTAGGAAAATATCTGATCGCTTAGTTTGTACACAAACTGGTCAAAGCACAGGTTCACCTGTCGGAAGAGCGAAGGATATGAATAAAAAATCCAACGAAAAGTATCCCTGACTGAACAAAAAAGGCGTACAACTCTCAAGATGAAAATTCAAAACATTTCTTCGTCGCTCACCTCTGCCTCAATTTCATCGTACAGATACTGCTTTTTAAATACAGTCATGGCGTAATGAGCGCTGTCGTTATAAAGATCCAGCGGGTACAACACATACCTACACCACGGAATAGCAAAGAGGTCAGTTTTTAACAACTTCCTTTGCGTTAATTTTACAAATCCTTGGTATTCATATTAACTAGTTCTTAGAAACTGCCTCTAAGTTTTGACATGCTCTGACCACGAATTATTTTTAACTAGCATTTTTCGCAAAATATGGGAAATTCGGTGGAATTCGGGTCACTCAATTGTTTCACAACATGAGCGGCAAAAACGCCCTAACTACTACCCCTTTTCAACTAGAAGTTAGTTTTGTGTGTCTGATTGCTGAGTTAGTTTTCAGATTTCCTAAAGGTTTAATTCGCACTTAAGGAGATCCTTTAAATGATAGATATCATTAGTCGATAGGGATTCTAACATATGTTGTTTCTGCCATCATACTTTGGTCAATAAAATTAAACACAAAAACAAACCGCCTGGTGAGACAAAACTGCAACAATAACACGCCGGTATTAAAAAATACCTCATCTCCATGTTTGATACAAATACTCACTCCATCATGCTTGGATTTTTGCTCTCTAGAATGTGATTTGTCAAGATCCACGGCATCGACATCTCAATTGGAAACTACGAACAAAAAACCAAAAATCAGCAGGTTAAAAAACAACAGCAACAAGGGAAAGAAAGAAAAGAGGAAAGGAAAAGGGGAAACTCAGAAATTTCCTTTGCTCCACGCTCGTAACCAATATTTTAAATCCTTAGAGCTTACTGTTATTTGAGGAGAAAAGGCAATCATAAAAACACATGGTTATAGTGCATGCACTTTGCTACAACTACTGCAGCTTGTGTATGGGTCAAGTTCAATCAAAGCTGGGGTGAACTCCGACAGGCGGAAAAAAATCTCGCAGGCTGTGGGCAAGCGTGATGCAGTAGTCGAACCCAGGACAACCAACAAAACAAATCCAGTCTGTGGCCACAGTAGGACCACGCGCTGCTTCCCTTTAGTAACAGTTAATGCACGCCACCGAGTCATGTGTAACTCGGAAGACAGGGCATCGGACCGAGAAGGTCCTGTGAAAAGTCTTACACTTTCCTCAACCCTTTCACTGCTATGATCTCATTTTAGTGGATCTCCTTACTGTCTGCCATACAATTCGTATGATGTTAGTTCGGAGAGTTTGGTATTGGATCATTTAATGATCCCCAAATTGATATTTTTCTTTATTCACATCACTTGTCTACATTATACTGTAGTTATATTGTAAGGAAAGATTCTATCTTGATCACTAATGCGAGTTTATGGGTTAATGCCGGTAAGTCGTTTTTTAGCAGTTCTAACCTGAATTCTGGCACCCATTGTCAACTCCAGATAAAATTCTCTAAACCACAGTTGAGAAAGGTCACAGCACTCCCTCAAAACTTCATTAAAACGAAGCATTTGTTCAAAGAAGAAAGACTTCTTCAAGAACTCTTCAATCTGCTCCACTGATTCTTTCTCCAGTTCTTTGCGCATGACCTTTTTGCCTCCTTTCTCAGAAATTAAGGATTCCAGCATGGTGCGGACCATGTACAACTATTAAAAGGAAAAACAATTGCTATAATGTCACCAAAAAAATCTCAAAAGACAGGTAAAGCTTGGAGAATTAGAGCAATTTTCCGAAAGGAATCTAGGAGTGCTTTGTTTTTGGCTTATTTTGTTACGTAAAGAAAAGTCGCGCTGCGGCCCTCTCAACCAGTCAGGTTCAAATCTAAAACCAATCACGACTTGGTCACTCGCGTTTTCCCGCGCTTAAGGCAGTTTCTCATTTTAACTTCGAGTTCTCGTTGACTCCCGCAATATTTTCCTTTTTTCTGATTGCTTTAGTGATTACTTTGGTTTTGGTTTGGTGACATTTAGTCAAAAAGCACGTTAAAAATTATGAGCAAAGTGAGCCAATTCAGAGTTAAATTTTACAGACTGCCGTTTATTTTGGTGTATAAGCTCACCACTTTGTCGCTCTACTCGTTAAAATGAAGACAAATCATCTATACCACAAAATAAAGAGAAATAAGGGCAACCTATGCCTGTGTGCTTCCCACCAAGTCAGCTTTAAACAGATCTAAACGGAAAACCAAGTTGAACTGTATACGTGGTCGAGTTTTCATTTTAGCCTGCTCGTTAATTTAATCTCTTACATTACTGGAGCCCTTACGCTGTTCAAAAAGTGCACATTGTTACCTGTGTACTAGAGGGTCCCACGCCCCTTTCTGGTATCTTAATATTGGGCCCTGCTTTAGGGTCCTTTTCTCCCTTCAGAATAGGGTCCCCTCTTCCATGCTGCCCATCGGCCCAGTCTCCCCCGGTCTCCCGAATGGACAACAGAATTCTGAAGTGAAAACACAAAATGTATGTTGCTGGGTGACATGTGACATTTAACTAAAAAGAGAGACTAACAATACATTGAAATACATACATCTGCTACACGAGAATTTGGTTTTTGTTTTTGTAACATCTGCTAAGGAAGCATCAATTTTTCAATGTCACCGTTTTGCAAGTTGTAAGAATTTAACGATTATTTCAATAAAACTCTTTCATTCGCAACTAAATTGACGAGAATGAGTTGGAAACAAATGCAAAGAACAGTTTGAAACAAAAATACAACAACCATAAATTGTCCTCAACATCTACACTCACGTTTTCAGAAGAGTAGCCTTTTTGCTCTTGACAGCTTTTCTCAGTGGCTCTCGCAGGTTCACCTGAATAAACTGCTGCACTTCTGTGTGTACGGAGTGTTTGATCACTTCTGAAAACATTGGTTCAAGTCGCACTATCTGACCATAAAGACCTTTGATCATGGCAATCACCTGACAGAATAGCAGAAAAGTATTTGTTAAGTTCCAAATTTTTCATTTCCTCTCTCTCTCTCTCTTCTCCATCAAAATTCTACTCTTTAAGCCAATTCAATTTTTCTACTTTTCCTTCTTTCAGAATTTTAACGTAACTTTTAAATCATGTTTCGCAAAGGCGTTTACCTCAACAAGTGAAAACTTTTCTTCGCTGTTGTAGTTGTACCTTGTAGCCTAAAAGTAATACAAAGAAAAAGTTGTGTTAGGAATCATTTAATAGGGTTAAAACTAATACTAAAGATATTTCCATGCAATTTACTTGCCACAAATATAACTCGCCATATTTATCAGCAACAAGAAGGAGAAATATAAAAAGGAACTCATTAACCAGTGGGAGACCCCTTGTCTAAAGATAAACATGAAAGTCCTCTTTTCCTTTTCTCAGAGATCAAAAAATGTTTTACAAGCACTTTAAAAACAGGAAAACCAAATTTAACTGATCATTAATAGTTTTACTCACTCTTTCGTATTCTTCAGCATTATCAGGACATTGAGGATTGCCATATCTGTCTGTAGGATGTAGAAGTTTCCAAGAGTACTGTGCAAAAACCAAAATAATTATTCCGATAAATTACACACCATTGACTTTCAACTTGAGTTCATTTAAAATCCCCTCCATTCAAAGGAAAGATACTGAGAATCATTTCATGGGGTAACTAAGTAACAATAGCCTTCAATAATGCCCCTTAATGGATCCATTTATTGACAGATTTGCTCTTATCTAATTTATCCCTTTCATTTCTATATCCAGTGCTCAAAGCTCAACTAATTTCATAGTCACCATTTGGCAACCTTGAGTCATAGAATTGTCACAAGAAATAACATTTTGGTCCATAAAAATAAAAAGGATTGGATATTCACCAAACATCTCCAGGCTTATCCTGCAGGAGACAAGGAAATGGGGCCATGATTTTCAGAAGAATATTACCAAACATAACTAAAAATTATTTTATCATAAAAAGACAATTTGTCCCACAGACAGGTGATGTAAATAGAAAAACTTATCAATGAGAGCCAGGGTTTTATCTAGACATAGTACAAAATCTCTACAGTAGGTTACAATAGAAAGTGTAGTAGCTGGAAAGGAGAATCTCAAGTTAGATCTGGGAAGTTTAAGGGTTACATCTATGACACATGCACATGTATGAGCCTACCAGTTCCATCACTTGGGCAGTCCATGAGGACAGTAACCTTAATCCTCTGAGAGCCAGATTTGTCAGCTCCTTGCACTGTGCATCACTTCTTGGATTAGCGCTAGAGGTGATCATCTGCAGTAATTGTTAATTGACAAGGTTAGAAGAAGATCTTCAACATCATATTGCTGAATATCACCCAGAGCCTCAATTATACAACATTCTCACAGCTGATAACCTGTCATGAGGCACATATAGCCTAAGTTGAAGGTAGCAAGAAGTTAAAGGTATCCCAAAATTTGAAGGCTGGGCTGAAGTCTCAGCTTGCAAATATAACCCCTCTTGGCATCAACAAATAGTACAAACAATGTGCTGCACAAAAATAAAGCAAAGTGGTGCCTCATGGTATTACTTAAAATGACTGCAAAGCAGTTATCAATATGCTCTATAACAAGCCTGGTGATAAGCACTGGGGTTGCTTTTTAGTTAAAAAGAAGAAGTAAACAAAAACAGGACTGTCTCCCAGTGACGCAAATTAACTTTGAAAAAACTACTCTTCCTAAATAAGAACAACATTGTCTCATTCAAAAAATAAAACAATGTACCTATCCACACACTAAACCTGGATTTTTCAATCCAGAATCCATTCCCTGGATTTTTCAATCAAGAATCCATTCCCTGGATTATTTGTACGATAGCATATCACCCAGCAGTCACCTTGAATATAAGGGATGTAAAGAAAAGGGTTGGGAGAGGGAGGTTGGTCATTACATTACAAAACCTGACTCAAAACCCTGATAATACTGTGATCCAAAATCAAACTATGGTAAGAAATTAAATTCATCATAAATACATACTTCATTATTATAGCGAGCAAGTTCACTGATAAACTTCACATGCTCCTCCCTGATGCTGTCCATATTTCCAAGGAGATTGTACTGTCCAACAACTTTTTCATCAGCACCTTCTGCAGCTGAAGTCCATTTCTCTCTCATTGTGTCAAAGTTTGGGCACATTTTCAAGTAGGTCACAAGAGCAACTTGGACATCTCCAAACAGAGGTACCACTGGAAATTGCTATGGCAAGGAAGGAAAAAAATTTAGCAATCATTTGCTAATCACTTTCTTCACCTACTTCACTATGACAAAGGGTTAACATCAAAAAGTCAGCTTTAGAAACTCTCTATGGTGGCCAATTTACATTATCAAATCAGTTAACAAAATTAAATTATCTCAGAATAACCCCCAACAAAGCAGCATCACTGACAATTTCATTAGAAACTTACCTCCTTTATTCATGTTTTATATGCAAATAAAACATTAATAGATCATTAAAAATCATAGAAGTGTAAATAGGAAGATTGCTTTTTTCTGCAAGATATACTTGAACACTGTATTTTTTAGTAAAGATAAGATCAGTTTTTTGTATTATGGCCTCGTTCTATCCATTCCCAAATAGTTTTGCTGGCAGCTGGAGCTTCAGTGACCACCCTACCATAGTTCCATGAAAATTACCCACACCCAATAAATCAGATTAGACTATGAACAGTTACCATTGGGTTCCAGCTAAGTTATATTATTTATGAGATTCTGTTCACCTTAAAGATCTTGTCGATCTTACTGATGCTGATCCTTTTCTTCTGATCCATCTTTAGCACACTAGTATTGTCCTTAACTTCCTTACCATCCTTAACATCCATCAGAAAAATCATAAATCCCATAACCTATAAAGTAGAAGGCAAAAAAATTCCACAACTCTCCTAGTCATTAACTTGTTTGGAACTGTTGATTAACTTGGAATTTTTACCTTAGAATTCTTATTCTATGATAAAGCACTTTTCATTATTGGGTGTTAAGGAACCCATGATTAAACTGGGGTCACTTTCCTTCCAAAAAAAAAACATAATCTTCATCGCTTACATTTTCCCATGCTGAGGAACTTTGCTTGTTTTTAACATGACTTTTCATTAAGCTAAGCTCAAATTGAGAATTTCTGTGGTTCTAGATGCTTTTGCAAGTAGTTAACCCTTTCACTCCCAAGATCTGTTCTGTAATTCTTCTTTACTGTCTGCCACACATTGCTTACAACATCAGTTCTGGGGATTAAGTATTGGATCAAATGATAATCCCCTAATTGATAACTTTTTATATCCTCATCACTTGTTTTCATGATATTGTAATGTTATTGTAATGAGAAAGCATGTCTTGGTCACTGCTTGGTGAGTTAGCTTTGGTTTCATGATACTTTCTTTAGAATCGCTCAAGAAAACAAGACAATTGATCACCCCAGACCATGAACAGTGAACATGCTATCATTAACCCTCTACACCTGAACATCAGCATGCATAGTCTCCATACCATTCTGTATACATTTCCTAAGGTGCTGATAAGGAGAATGTGTTTGACAATCAAGAGCTTCTTTAGATGGTGATCTGTTCCTTTATTCTCATAACCTTGATATTTGATTCAGGAGTGATATTGTAAGGAGAAATTAGATGCTTCTCACCGTTTTTAGGGGTAAAATTACCTTTAAAAGAACATATTTATCATTTGGTGTTATGTACATGTGGCCTTCGTACAGTTTGACACATAGGTTCAACACATCAGCCAAAACATCTTCATATCCTGGAATTTTCACCAGGTCATCTTTAAGCATGTGTGTGATCTTGTGTTGATTAGCCAAAAACAGTGAAAGATTCTGTGATTCTTCAATCATTGATACATCACCAGTTCCTCGACGTAGGAAGGTGTCAGCTCTAGAAAGGTAGAAGGAACATCAAAAACAACATGATGACCATGTTTGTAGCATTTTTTTTCTGCTTTCTCTTCTTCTTTTTTTTTCTGTTATTGTTTCATCTGTTTTCTGTACCATTGAAGTTTATAAGGAAAATACAAAATCAAAGATTCTAGACTGACTTTTGGTGCCTAAAGATAATACTATTATTACTAAAGATAATAGTAATAATAGTGATAGTTATAACAATGTTAGTGATAATACTAATTATAATTGTTATCATAACATCATGTTGAAAATGATGACAGTCATGGTAGCAACACATTATTTGGAAAGGGTGAAAATCTCTGCTAGTGGCTCAAAATCTTGAGTAGCTGTTCTCCCTATAAAAAATTAAGGAAAAATTATACATTCACACTTGTATTATAATTAGCATTTTGCGATACTGACCTTTTAAAAAATGCATAGTCATTGTTCAGACATGCCTTCATATTCTTCAAGGCATCCAGGACTGCAAACATGTTGACAAATTTTCCAAGGGTCAACAGATATCTCTCAGATATAAAATCCTTCCTCCTCTCTGGGTGACTCAGGGTCTTCACCTCCTTGCAGAATCTAGCAACGGCATCTTTAGCAAAGTGCATGAAGCCCTTAAGTTTGCGTATCTCAGGTTCTAGAACTTCAACTGTCTTCTCATAAATTTCAATTCTGTTTGGTTGGTCATCACTTTTAACCTAGAGACCAAAGAATATTGCAACATTGTAACAGCTCAAGGTAACCTACTATGAAAGACTCAATAGAAACATCTTACAGAAGGAACAGCTCGTGAACAACTCCTCCAAGTGTACAACATCACAGCATACTGTGCACCCTCTTCAAGCATTTCATTCTGTCAAAAGTGAATAAAGTTTATAGGTAAACAAGCCTTCCACATCAAATGATCAATTTACCTCCTTTTCATAGAAAAAATATAAATTTAAAAAAGAATTTTGATAAAATAATTCAGTTAGATGTACACATAGAAAATGCCTTGAAAAATTAAAGGATATAACACGAAGGGTATTACTAAAATGATTCAAAGATTTTGTGCAAAAAAGAAAATCAGTAACTACCACCATCAGTTATTCAAACCATACACTGTATACCCATGAATTGCTCCCTTTACATTTATCGACACAAATTAACCCTTTACATCCTAACATCAGTATTAATATTCTCCATACTGTTCTCTGTACATTTAGTAAGGTGCTGGAAAGGAGAATTTGTTTAACAATCAAGAGTTTCTTTAGTTGGTGATCATTTCTTTTATTCTCATGACCTTAATGTATAATTCAGTGATGATATTGTAAGGAGAAATTAGATGCTAGTCACTCTTTGGTTTTAAACAGTTAAGGAGCAGTTGATTTTGGTCTTTTCACCATGCATTACTTTAACCGACAGAATTCTCCTCTGCTCAAACTGTCCGGGTACCTCAAGTAAGCAATCACATTCTGGACCAAAATATCTTACAGACGCCACTGGGGTTTGAGTTAGTAAAACTCCAATATCATACTTTCAATTTATCAAACCCAGGCCTTCTATTTTTTTATTCTTTATTTATTACAGTCTATGGTCAAAAAGGCCAAAGGATAATCTACAAAGGAGTTCGAAACCCCAAATAAAAACAGATCACCTATGAACTAATATAAATACACTAAGGATAATAAATTCAAGAAATGTATTTATGAAAAGGAAAAATACTAATAAGAATCACTAATAAATTTCTTAACTCTTGACTTAAAAATATTTACATTAACAGAGTAAAAACAGATCACTTATGGACTAATATAAATACACTGAAGATAATAAATTCAAGAAATGCATTTATGAAAAGAAAAAATATTTAAGAATCACTAATAAATTTCTTAACTCTAGACTGAAAAATATTTACATTATCAGAATAATGAATATCGAAAGGTAATTGATTCCACATGTCAATTATTCGATGGAAAAAACTATACTTCAAGACATTAGTTCTGGCATATTTCTTCTTTAAAGTTAAAAAGTCCTTAGACCTAAGTGAAAAGCAGTCTGCTTCAGAGTGGAAATCTAAAATTTTACTGACGTCAATATTTATGTTGCCAGCATTTACTTTATATAAGAATGTCACATCAGTCAGTAATCTTCCCTTCTCCAGAGACATGAGGTTTTAAATGTCATAGGGATCATAAATCTTTAAGATAAATTTAGTTGCTCTTCTCTGTACCCTTTCCAGCTTATCAGTATTTATTTTAGTATAGGGAGACCACAGAACTGAACAATATGTGGAAATCAATGATCAGAAAAACTATGCAGATTGAATATATCTTAATGACAATCAGTAAACACAAAAAATTTTGCAACCTATTGCCCATGGATTACCAATATCAACTGATTACACTGACACTGACTACAGTTGAACCTCGATTATCCGGACTCGGTGAGACTAGGGTAAATAGTCCGGATAATCGAGAGTCCGGATAATCGAAAATATGAATATTAATGAGACAATGTAAACAAAAGAAATAAAGATAACACATTTTTAATTCTAAAAGTTTGCTTCAACAGATCGTTTTTGCTTCGTGGACATGTTGTCTTTTTGAGTTATGATCGTCTCGTGTGTTTACATAACCCACGCTCAGCTTAGCAACAAAACAATACTGAACAAATCAAAATTCAGCTGAATGCATTAGAATACTTCTTGTCTCTTTTTGTCTTCGAGCACTTGATCTTTCGAAAGCGGAGCGTGTAATGCACTGTTTTAAACGCAATTGTCCTGACTTTTAACATAATTTCTGAATTTTTTTACCTCCTTAAGTTTTTAACATCTAAGGTCATTAACATTCATGAAAAAAACGGGACCAGAGAAAAAGTCCAGATAATTGAAAAGTCCGGTTAATCGATTTCCGGATAATCGAGTTTCGACTGTGCCATCGATTGTCATCGATCATTGACTTAATCGATTGTACGTATGTTAGAACCCTGATCAACCGAATAAAAACATACACAGCGTATCACGAATGTAACCGTTCAGTAATCTTATTTCTATTGCCTTTCCATAAGATTGTAAGAAAAAGGGTAATCTAGATCACAAGGATCAGCAACTCTGTTCGGTTCAAAACAATCAAATATTTCAAAGTTATCATCCATGGCTGATGTGAAACTATCGAAGTTGTGCATGTATGCATGAGAAGATAACAGCACGAGTTTGATGATAACTTTATATCGTTTTCTTTCATGAAAGAGAAGACAGAGTGTTTCTGATGGGCATGATCACAAGTAGTTAGGCATTTTTTAAAAAGCTTCCTAAAATTTCGTTCAACATATACTCACACTCTCAGCAAATAAAGTGATCGTGATTACCAGTGCTGAAAAATCGACCGAGAGCTCAGAATTTACCGACTATATCCCTCCAGAGAGATTATACTCGGCAAACGTTGATACTGCAAGATTCTGTCGAATCAAGCGCTACTGGAGGCTAAATTATTTATTTCCTTATGAAGGTCTGCGCAACTAATCATGATAAGTCACACCTACCAAGCCTTTGTGTACATCCGCCTCTTCCAGATACTTGCTGATACATGTGATGAACGCTTTGCTGTCCTCGAAGTTGGTATCAAAGTTGGAAATGTAAGTGACAGAAGCCGGAGGTGCTTCTATTTGTGGCTGTTCGTCGGGAAGGGAAATGGTTTGAAGTTGTTGCACATTACAAATAGCATCGTCCAGGGTCGCCATCTTGCTTGGTGTCCCAGCGACCTTTGAGGGCTTCACTGAAAATGTCAGGTCCTACCCTACCCTAGACGTCACACATACAAAGACGATGATATCATTTTCTGCTTTTGAAGAAGTTTTTCTCTTTCTTTTTTTCAGAGTGAGAGGCATTTAACACGTCAGTGAAATGTTCGACTGATTTAAAAGTTTTAATTTATCCTTTAATTTTTTAAGGCAATTTGAAAAATAATTTTTTTTCTCACTGAAAGCTTCAAAGATGAAATTACCTCTGACACACTTTTTCCTTTAACAAACCTTGTCTGGTCTTTTGAAACTTTGGAATTAAACGGCTGAGAACGCTCATCTGAAACCACTGAGATCAGAATGACCTCTGTAAAACCATGACCCAGTTCTTAAAAATGCATTCTTGAAATATTTTTGTCATCGTTCCAATGACAAAGAACTATTGAATAACTACCATTCAAGGATCCCATTTAAAGAAGTCACTCTATACTTTAATTGCATAACTGACAAAAATGAAAGAATGAAATGAATGCAGATGGGAAATAAATTATCAAAGGTGATAAAAGGAATGCAAGGGACGAGGTGGAAAAGAAAAGGGAATATGGCAGATTCATCCCAATTTTGTTCTTTCAAGTTATTGACAGACCCAGCTGGTTGACACTCTCTCCTCTACATGGCAATAGCTACCAGTAGGCAAGAGCCACAGCCAAGTCATTGTGTTGTGGTCTTAAGGAAGATATATCACTCTCACAATTGCCTCCCTTCACTCTGGCCTAGATTGTAGAAGTTGGATAATATTATCTACTAGAGAAATCTCTCTCTTGTGGATACCGCTGAATGATTCTTTACCACTTATCCACTGGATAGCAATTTATCCATTGTACTGCAGAGTCCCTCCTTTGAACAACTGCACTGACTGGGCCCCAGAGAAAAAGTGACCATGACAAACTGACCAGTTAACTGAAAAAATACTGAGGGGATCAAAGGAGGTGTAATTGGTAAAAGCCTGGCATCCCAAACATCCCCACTCTTTCAGGTGTATGAACAAGTACCAGTGAACTGACAAAATATTAGCTTGAGACCGGGGGGGAGAAAGGTGGTTATGAGTGATGAATAAGTATCTCTATTGTACCACATTTATAAAATAGGAAATGAATCACATGCACATAACAACTCATCATATATTTAATTCTTTTTTTTAAGGGCATGTGACATATAAATATTAGAAATGCTTCTCTCAACACCCTTCAGATGCTCAGTAATTACAATAACTATGAATGATTACAGATGAAAAACACCATATAAAAGTTAATTGCAAGAAGATTTTGTAAGGAATTTTTCTTCAATTACAAAAACATATCAGTGTTTATCACCCAGATGTATTCCATTTCACACACAGGCTAACAGGCAGAAATACTTAATTGTTAGATCATATAAATATTCAGCTGTTTACAAAATAATTGCAAGATGTACATATCATACTGTAATATACAAAGTTTTAAGAAATAATCAACATATATCAAATCAGGAATCCCTTCTGACTTTTCAAAACAGATGGGAAGTAGAGTATTGTAATAGCTGCAATTTTTCTGCCTATGCAACAAGCATTTAACCTTTTAAACCCTAAGAGAAACCAGTATCTAATTTCTTTTTTCAGTAATACTGTTAAATCTTTCATCAAGATAATGACAATAAGGGTAATGACCACCAACCAAAGAAGCTTTGATTGTTAACCCTTTAACTCCCATGAGTGACTGAGTCAGAATTTCTCTTTACAATATCAATAAAATATAAATCGGACGAGTGATGAGAATAAAGAAATATATCAACAGGGGATTATTAATATATCAAATATTTAATTCTCCAAACTAACATCATAAGAATTGTATGGCAGAAAGTGAGAAGAATTATCGATGAGATATGGTAGTGAAGGGGTTGGATAAATTCTACTTGTCAATACCAAAGTAAATGTATTGTGAAGAGTATAGAAAATATCGATATTGATGTTAGAGTGTAAAAGGTTATTTTCTCAACTGCAGGAAATCAGTCACCATGTGGTGTTTTACGAGCCCTAGAAGTTTGACTAACTACTTTTGAATCTGTTCTTGATTGATATGTGAAAATAAAACATTTTCATGGCTTCAAAACATCCTTCCAAAGGGAAAACTTAAAAATTCTTATGCAATATACACATTGGATCAAAGTGCTTCTTCCATCAAACATATAAATACTGCACCAGAGGCCATGTTTTCATAGAAAAAGAATTTTCTAAAAAGCTGTATACATAATAATTTCTGTTAATTATATTATTGCCCAATTCTGTAAAATGAAACTGCCAGCAGTAAAATAAAATAATAATAATAAAATAAATTAGCTCTGGTGGGCCTAAAATGTGAAAAAAGGGGAAAAAAGGACACTATTCAAAAAGGCTATCTCAGAGAAATGGTACCTACAATTGCTATTTTGTGATACAAAAGCAAAACAACAATATCAGGCTAGCAAAGTGTTTGGCCAACATCAATCCTCAATAATAAATCAACATGGAATCATTTGTCTCCTGATTTAGATTTATAAATTGCACAGCTGTACTATTGATTGAAGATTGTGAGGTTTGACTGATACACTGTTGCCTAGCAAGAATTAGCAGTATATCAGTCTTACTGTTGAACTCTTCAGTTAAAGGTTTGTCTCTGTAATTGATCATGATTTTAAATTGAGAGGCCAATGGTTGAATCTCTTATTTTTTCCTCATCATCAAAACAACAAATAACAAACAGATCTTTTTCGAAAATTTCAATCTTCCACCACCAAGTGGCTTTGCCATTATTTTTTTTTTCTTTCCTAGCCTTCTAATGGTTGAGGCAGTAAACATGCAATTTTAGTTTGATGATTCTTCAATAAGTTTGTCAGTTCTGAAATGTCTTCAAACTTCGAGGCATAACACCTTGCAAGCACAGTTCTAAGAAATACTCGATTCACTGTCTAGTTTTAACGCAAGGCAATGCTAAAGGAAACCCCCTCCCCACTCAGCCCCCCTAACCAATGCAAAGTTAACCCCACAGGAGACCTACAGGCGTTGACTGGATTCTAAAAATTATATACATATTCACATGAAGACGTCACCTACCAACCTTGCAAAAGATGATCAACATCGCATTGAAATCGGCATGCTGTACAATTTTAGATTTCCGGAAAACTCGTGAATCCGGCACGCTCTGAGTTCCCGATCGAATCTAAAGAAAAACTTCACAATGCCACTTACGAAGCGGATGAGAACGGGTAAAGAAAAGAAACGTAATTTATACGTGATTCTACAAATCTCTATGTAAACAAATTACCATGCATGAATTCCATGGATTTCGCAAACATGGGAAATTTGCATACATCAACCACAGCCACGCCAATCAGCTGTTCCCGGGCTGTTCAACATCCGAGTAAACTTTCAAACAAGATTTCAAACTATGAGCCTTCTCGAAGCGTTTTCCGCACTAGAAGGGCCGTTCGTGACAGCTTCAGTTTTACACTTTGTAGGGGTTTCGAGAAGTTCAGGTTTGTCCCCTTCTAAATGTTTGATTGCCTGAACGATCGTATCCAAATTTTGACGAGAAGTCGTCAGTGATTTTGGCGATTTGTCGTTTGACTTCGACCTAGCGTCCGCTAGATCTAATTCGAGCTGTCTCTTCTTCTCCTCCACGCTGATCCGTAGTCTCCTTTCACGTTCTAGTTGGCACCTTAGTTCAATGAGCTCCTTTTGTATTTCCTCGACGTAATCATCACTTTGTAAAACGTTGTTGTTTTCATCGTCCTTGCTATGTTCCTGTGCACGTGCTTCTTGATCAATTTTAGACTTTTTCGGCGGAGATCTCTTCAGATCCGAGCTGTTCGTTCCCTCTCGATCGCACTGGCTCAATATTCGCTTTAGAGTCGTGTTCTGTTGCAAAAGACGGGTCTTGTCTTGCTCCAAAGCAAAAATATGCTCAGCTGTTTGTTGAAGTATCGCGGCCTGTTCGTAAAATCAGTGAGTATTAGAGGTCAGTGCGAGGACTTCACTTCTTGCAGGGATTTCAAACCAGCTTAACTCAATCACTAAAATGAATGCAACATAAATGTAACAGGAAATACCTTGCTTAGTTTTTCGCCTTCGCTGTGTGGAATCAGCAATCTCAGTGCTTGGAAACCGGAGTTAATGCTTTGCATACGTCGTCTTTCGTTTGAGTTTGCAATTTCCCGCCGCAGTTTTCGCTCCCGCTCACGATTATCCACCACTTCAACTTTAAATCTGCAACAAATTAAGACAACGAAGGTGCAAAATGAAATGGCATGAGCTATTTGATGTGAAAATAAAACACACAGATCATGAAATACACTAGCTGAATTTCCAATATTTTTACCTGTTATCGTCATCCTCGTATAGCTCGTCCGCCTCGTAAGATTTACGTTTCTCTGTCGTTCGCGCATAAAATGACATCGCATTGACCTCTCAAAAGCACGCAATTTAGATGACGACCTAGTCTCTTAAGCTGAAGCCGAGGATTGAGAAAAGCGTGAAGCTTTTCTGCAATTCAAGCCAAACAAGCGAACGAGTATCAGTCTTAGAAGACCACCAAATCGGCGGGAAACAGCTGGCTTTAGTGATCAGGTGACCGAGACCTAAAGCAGAAAATTTGAATGCGGCACAGCAGAGGAATGTCATTTGATAAGCTATTAAGAAGATATTGTTTGATCATAATTACATTTTCAAAAGTTTTAATTTACAAGCCAGCAAACCAAGGTTCTGATAAAAATAAGTATTTTCCTACAACAGACTTACTGTCACTTTATTTCCAATTTTTCAGAAGTACCTCATACGAATAATGTAAGTATAAAATCCACACAGACTCTGAAATTGAAAAGAATTTCTTGTTAAGTCTTTGAAACAATGCACAACACTCCCTGACCAATCAGGGCTAACTTCAAAATACAATATCTATAAGTATACATAATCATTCAGCCGGGACCGAAAAACAACATTCCCTCAAAATTTCATTGGTTTCCAAAGGGCATCATCAGCTGGGGATGAGGGATATAATCAGCTGTTTTTCGTTCTTTGCTTCAGCAAAACAGCCAAATCCTGTTATTTCGAAGATGAAACATTTCATATTTACAAGTTTCATTACAAGACAGCTGAACTCGTAATGCAAAACTAGAGATCTCAATTGCATCTACATAATTTCTTGCCTATTCCAATCTTAAGTTAGTACATAAATGATGATGCTGTATAAATTGAGGAAAGAGGGAAGTGGAGGTTGCCGGTTGGAACAATTCGTTTTTTTCTTAAGATCAATATTTTGTGGAAGAAATAAAAAAAATGAAATAAGAAAGAAGAAAACCCCCTGTATCATTTTGCCAGATTACTACTCTCTTGATTGTGGAGAGTAGGGGTGGATCCTCGAGTTAAAGGCATGAAGCAGAAACAATGCAGTCATATTCTTGTATGCTACCTCTTCTTAGGCGTCTCTTTTTTCAGGGTATTACTTGCTTCCGCTCAACATCGTAACGCGATTGAACAAACACGCATTGCGAGGACATCCAAAACAGTTGCGTGGGAAGCCCGCACGTGATTTTTTCGAGGCGCGGTTGCCAAGCCACAGACTTCACAATGATGAGTTCTTCGACTTCGATTATTCAAGCGAAGGACCATACTTCAAGTATCTACCGGAAGAAATCCTCAAGAAGTAAGTCTTTTTTCTCGCCAAAGACTATCTTAAGTATTATGTTTACAGTAGGGTTCAAAGTAACCCCATTTTTGAACATCTTGTCGTGCGTGATCAAGTGGTACACATCCACAGCATCATGTGATACATTTCATTAGATGAATTTCGTATGTTTGATTCGATAACAAATTCTCCACGGACCGTTTTGTACAATACTTCTAACGTTGGTAACAAGTAATCTTAAACATTTCAATCGCTTAAGTCGAGTCCGTTGGAGAGAAAGACAGAGCGAAGAACTTTCAGACCTTTATTATCACCGCAAGGCCAATAACTGCGAAATGGTTAGGATTGTGTGTTGTAAACATAATCACGAACTTCAAAATTTGTTCGAAATATCCATGAAGTTAAATTTAATTCCGTCTCATACAAATACTTTAAAAGTTTTGCAGTGTTATGTTTTGTTGAATTTATGCTGTAGCGATTTGATCTTAATGAGATGTCTACTGTAAGTATTGACAGAACGTCTGATTTCGTGTTGTTTTGAGATTTTAAGCCAGAACTGCGTCTCTGATGCTAATACATAATTCTTTTCAGCTCTGCTTCATCAGATGAGACAATTTCTTCTCAATCACTATCCATTATGGCTTTTAAACAGCACACAGACTTGACACACAAAATCATGGTCTGCATTTTGCTCATCTTGTTGAAAACCAATGTCTTTTCCAATCATAGATCTCATTTAGCTGCAGTACTGTACTTATCTTTACAAATTGATTTTCTTAAAGAGCCCCTCAGATAGCCAAAAATTTCTGTGATCAAATTTTCTGGTGAAATTTAGGGTATAATTTAAAGAATGTATCCATGTAAATGATAATGCAGCTCCTTATGTCAAATGTCTTCTTTGGAATCCTTTGGCCTTAAAGTTATTTGACATTCACCTGGTGGTTAGCCTTAGTAACTGACACTCCAGTGAGTGAGTGAGTGACAGAGATTTTAACTTTAGGAAAATAAAAAGGCAGGTTTTTAGTTTCACAAAGCTGCAGCCTTAAGGACTAAAGGGAGGAAAACATAGAAATGTCATCTGGCATTTACGATGAAAATTTTGTCAACAAAGGCCTCCAAGATTTCATTTCCTGTATTTTGAATTCACCCTTGTATGAAGAGGAGGTAATCCATAGCATAGACCAAAGCACAGACTTATTCCAGTATGCTCCTTTGTGCAAAAGTTAAAAATCTTAAGGTGGCACAGAAAGATGATAGAGAATCATATTAAAAAGACTGTTGAAAGAAGGAAAACACTTTTACTCCTTTTCTAGAGGAAGGTTTCAACGAGGAGAAAGTTGTATGAAAACTTGAGGCCAGAAATGAAAGAAAAGAGTAGGTCTCTCTGCAAGGGTTGAAATCTCTAGAGTGAGCAGTACTGAATAGATGTTAAATTTCAATGGATTTCAAATCAAAATGGTTTTAGACCAGTTTGATCAGTATTGTACTATATCCCAGTTACATCACCATAATCCTGAAACATTGAAAATCACAGACCAAACCAGTCTGATTTCATTTGGAGATGAAATAATTCTAAGCTAAATCATTTGTGCAAGGGGTTATTCACTTCTCAGCTTTCATAACTGCATCTAAGACTTGCACTGAAAATCCTAATAACTACTCATTAAATATAACATTCTTTCTCCCTTGAGTAATAGATGTCAGAGGAAAATGATCAGGAAAGTTCAAAATTACATCTAAAAGAGGAAGCACAAAAGGAAGTTCATGGCAACTTGCAGCTAGACAAATGCACCAGTGACTTAACTGTGGTATCTACTGTCTCAGAAATGCTAGATCAGGGGGATGTAACGTCAGTCATGACAGATCTTTCAGCAGAGGATTCTGTTCTGCATGGGTCATCAGTTCTCAATGAAACAGAAGCAATTGCTTCTTCTAGTGACTTGGAAAGTTCTCCCTGCCTCTCAGATACGCCAGTTTCAGCAGATTTGCTTTCAGACTCTTCAGTCATAAACTCAACTGTAGGGCTACTACAACAGCCTGTTGTGTTGACGTCGTCTGTGTTGCCATGTGTGCTGACTCATGTGCAAGGAACTTCAGAGCTCCTTGCTGGTGAACTACAAGAGAGAGGGGAGGCTCAGGAGGAACTGTTAATGGTAAAAAGGGATGACAGAGAGGTCCTGGAACCTTGTGTTGTGGTAAGTCCTTTTAAAGGTCAAAATGAATCATATCCAAGTTGTGAATGTGAACTTAAATATCTATAATGATAGTTGTCTTTAATATATTTGCTTCCTTAGATAGTTTTTGTAGGTAACCAGAACATGATTATGAGTATGGAAGAGAATTTAGTTCATTTAACCCTTTCACTCCCCAGATCTCATTAGTAATTCTTATCACCATCTGCCCTACAATTCCTAGAAAGTTGGCTTTGGAAATTTATATTATCAACTATGTTGTTCAAACCAAATTATCTTGTTTATGAGCCCCAAACCAACACAGAAAATAAAAAATTACCCCCTTTATTCTCATGATCCTAGTTTGTAGAAGTCAGTATTGGATCAAATGATAATTCTGTAATTTATATTTTTCTTTATTCTCATCACTTGTCTGCTGGATATTGTACTGATATTAAATAGAATAAGAAAGATGGTTAGTTTTGAGTTTGGTTAAGAAATAGAGAAAGATGTTTTTGCTTAGGGTTAGGGCTTAGGTTTAGGTTTAGGATCCCATGAGGAATTGAACATTAGGCCTTTGGATTCTTTGCTTTGATGCTCTACCACTGAGCCACAGAGACTCTATGGTGGGCAAGGCCCATTACAAATATCATATATGACAAGAGTCCTGCATACTGCTTGGATTGGCTATGTTGATAGCCTCGTGCATTATATATGAGGCTGAGGTTTAATTCCTCATGGGGAATTTTTTCTTTGTTGCATGCTTGTGACAAAGACAAAAAACATCTTTCTCTGTACTGATATTGGTAGGGGAAATTCTGTCATGGTCACTCATGGTAGTTCAAGGATTAGATTTGAGACCTGAAACACTTAGGAGCTCACCATTATTTAGAACTTAGAAGCCAGTTGTTTTCAATCACCAAAGGAACTGAATACCTTATTTGTTTGAATTGTCATCCTCTAGAATTTTAAAACTTATTGAGGAAAACTACAAAAACACCACCAAAGTTTGCAGTCACAGCAAGTAAATACTTCAGATTAATCGAATAAAGTAAACAAGTGAAAATATTAAATAAATATGATTGATTGGATGCTGAAGTTTAAAGAGATAAGACAAAAATTAATTTTTTTTTTTCATGATTTCTTTCCACTTGCACAACGGTAATGACTAGGAAAGAGTGGCTAGTTGCATTCTTAGCACTCTGTTATGGCCCAATAACAACTTTATCTTATCAGAGAACTAATATTGAACACAAACTTTGTGTTTGATGACTACAAGTACCTCACTGTGGTAAATTCCTCTGAAAACTTTGCTAATTGACTCATGAGATTGCAAAGTGCAGTGGTGCACTTTACATTACATTCACTTAGGATTTGATTTGCTGAATGTAACTTTTTATGGTTAATGCAGTGGGTACAAATTCAGAGGGTTTTTTTTTTTTTAATTGTTGTAACCCAAGATAATAATCACTCAGAAGCAATGGAAAATATTACAAGGATTCAATTGGAGGTCAGACTGAACAAAGGCAAGGCAATCACAGACAGTATTTTTATACTAAGGGACCTGACCAGAGAAGGGAATCAGACGATTTTGGTTGTGTCACAATTTCATATTTACTTGATCTACCCATAAGGCTCTATAATATTCTCGAGAATTTCCTTCCCCCCCTCCCCACTACCACCACCACCACCACCACCACCACCACCACCTCATTGCAGTTAATTAGCAGTCAATTTTTTATATGGGCCCCCTGCTTTGTATGACTGACCCCCCCTCTATTACCCCTGAAAACCATGTGATCCCCCAAAAATCCTCTGATTTTTTTCCCTCCCCCCCCTCCTCAGACCATCAATGATGACTGTTCCCTTCGTTCATATTTCTTTTTCTCATTTTCTAAGTTTTTGTTCTTTTCTTTATTTAGTTTACAACATCAGAAGCATTGCAGAGCACCAGTGCTTCAGAATCACTCAGCTCCTCCTCAGCAACAGATGTTGTAGTCACAGCACACCCATCTAGCTTGACCTACCTGCGGCAGATCTTTGAACAGGACCAAGTTAGTCCACAGGGTCAAATTGTATCCGTCTTGCCTCATGGCATTACATCACCTCTGTCGCCGACCTTACCGGAACTTCACCAGTGCAAATGGGACAACTGCTGCGAACATTTCTTGTCTCTAGAGGATTTGGTTGCGCATGTCAATGAATACCACATTAGAACTGAAGCAAGTGAATATAGCTGCCTTTGGCAGGGCTGCGCGCGCAACGGAAAGGGCTTCAATGCCCGGTACAAAATGTTGATACATATGAGAACACATACCGGAGAAAGGCCCCACCGTTGCAATCATGATTCTTGCGGAAAGAGCTTCTCACGGCTCGAGAATTTAAAAATACACACCAGGTCTCATACGGGAGAAAAACCGTACGTTTGTCCCGTGGCGGGTTGTAATAAGCGGTACTCCAATTCAAGTGATAGGTACAAACACACACGGACCCACTCAGAGACCAAACCTTACCACTGCAAAGTGGCCAACTGTTACAAAAGGTACACAGATCCGAGTTCATTGAGAAAACATTACAAAACGATCCACGGGAAAGACATAATTAGTGAAGAGCAAGATTAATGAATGATGACCCACTTACAATTACAGTTAGATTGCATCGTACTTTTTTTCTACTCTCTTAATATATTTTTTCCACAATTTTTGAACGACTGTGTTTTGGACAGAACCCTCTTGAAATAGCAGCTGAAAAATGAAACCACTTATTGTCGTATGAAAAAAAATCTGGCGGGGAATGATTTGGGAATACCTAAACAACACACTTCAATTTAGCACCCGCACAAAGTTTCAACCAGGGAGCTGTTGTTTGATGCAAGCGAGAAAATGTCCTAGATTTGAGACAACCAGCGAGAGAACCACAGTTAAAGGTATATGATATTTAAGTATAATTTATATATTTTTTCCATATTTTTAGGGGTAATGAAGTGAAATTTTCCTTTTTTATCTTGCTATTTGGGCCTGGAGCTCGTTTCTCGAAGTCCCCAAATAACCTAACGGGTTTGTTTGGTTTAAGATACGGGATTCAAAACAGATATGAGCTGGTTAGGGTTCTAGAACCTACTCCTCGATTCTTTAAACTCTGATTTTAAAATAAGGCTTCGGGCTCGTTAGGTTACCAGGAGTTTCGGGAAACGAGGTTTCGGTGCATTTTTTTTTCGGTTGAGTGGAAAATTTTTTTCCATGCGGTAATTTGTTCTAATTTCAGCCTGTTTACTGGGTTGTCAATCAAAACGTAGGTTTCTTCAATGCCATGGCAACGAAGACGTTGGGCTTGTCACAAACTCCCAAGTCACGTCAAGTCACGTTTCCATGCTCAAGGCGTTCTTATATGTTAGTTCCGATTGCTGGTACATATTTCGATGTAACAAAGATGAATCAGACGATTTAATTTTGATTGATTGAATTAGAAATATTGTTAACAGTTCTATTAGGAGCACGATATTTGTGTCGCAATCGATGGAGTTATGCTCGAATTAACTATTTACGTATAAAAAACGAGAGCAAATAATCTAATTGTTTGAGAGTAAAGCAATTTTCGATTGAGTGTCGAAAGTAACCCGGAATTGGATTGGTTTTACTTTATTTCACAATGTGATTGGTCCAGAAAACTCGCGCCACTCTTTCAACCAATCAAATGCCAAACTAACGCCAATCACGAGTTGGTCAGCCGCGTTTCCCGCGTTTCCCGCGCTTTGGGCGGTTTGCTTGTTTTTACCTTGAGTTCTCATTGGCTCTCCAGAAAATGTTCCCTACTTCTGATTGGCCGATGTAATTACCTCAGTTTCGGTTTTATGACACTCAATCAAAAAGAGCTCTAAAGCTACTATTCGTTCAAAACTCAGAGAAAAGACAGGCTTGGGATTTCATTTTACTTTATTTACAATCTCACGCTTTGTAACTGTCGCGAAATAGATAGCGTGAAGCTTATTCGATCAGATGGCAGCATTTGAGATAGAATGTTAGTGGAATTTAACTGAATGTACAAGTGTATATTTGAAAGATATTAGTAAAGAAAATTGAAAGGGTAATAAAAGTTTACCGATTGATATGTATTTGTTCGAGTGTTTGTGTAAACCTGAAATTTAAAGATAGTCTCGTTCGCTCAAATTCCTGCGTCCAGTCTAACTAAAGTCCATCCTAAAACACACAGTTACACTCAAATTTGCGCAGCTAAGTCCGACTTACTACAATTATGTACGATTCCGATCGATTTCGGACGATTCACTGTCTGATTTCGAAACGTTAAGCCCTTTCGAAGGATTCTATCTAATTTTCGACGGTCCCGTCCGATTTCGGACGTTCATGTCCAGTTTTAGATGGTTCCATATTGTTCCGGACGATACAGTCGGATTTCGTATAGTTCAGAATTACTAAGTCGATCCCCTCCCACTTCAGACAGATATCTGTAAATCTAGGAAATTATCTATTACAAAAGTTTGATGGGTTCCGATTAATCTTGTTCGGGTAATTTAAACTGAAGCTGCCTATGATTCTTCAGTTAATACAGTGAGAGGGTTCTAATAAATTGGTTACCTGCTGCGGATTTCTTTTTAAAATACCTACTTGAAAAACTCTGGGTTTTACTCTGAGAGGGTAACCGATTTGGCACTTACAATTACTATTAGAAATATTTAACCTTTTTTTTTTTTTTTTCTGTTCCAATTGTTTTAAATAGTCCTGCCATTTTTTGCATTTCTTCCATTTGGAGAACACATCTATTCACAGTAAACTTCGGGAGAGACGCACAAATACCCCCTGAAAAGATGTTCCATGCACTTTAGGGGGGTCAGTTTTCCGTTTTCCATTTTGGAAGTTCCGGTAAAACACTTAACAATTGAGTATAGAAAGTAATCGGGAATTTTATTGTTTTTTTTCCTTTTCTTAGCTCTGTTACTGGTCCAGGAGACTCGCGCCATCCTCTAAAACCAATCCGACTTGGTCAATCGCGGTCTACCGAGCTTTAGACAGTTTGCTTGCTTTTACATTGAGTTCTCATTGGCTCCTTGTGGTATTTTTCTGTGCCCTGATTGGCTGTTTCTCTTTTTTACTTTAGCACTATTTTTGGTTTCACGGAAATCAACTGAAAATCACTCAAAGAAAATGTACAAATTTCGTATTGTTACAAATAACCGCAGAAAAAAAGTATTCCAAGTACACAGAAAAAAATAAGTCGAAAGTTCGCCATTTTGCTGAACCGATATCGATCCTCAGCAGTGTTTTAAAAGTTCCTCTGTCTCATCGTTGTCTTCGTAACTTTCATACCCAGGCGACCTCTGATCTGTCGGATTAATGATATTACCAGACTTTCAAACGATGTAAAGTGGTTTTGTTACTGTTGCTTGAGGGGAAGTGATCCACCATATTGACTACAAAAAAGAAAGACAAAGTCAATTTAGGCATAGAACGGTAAACGTCATTTTAATGATGTGGCTTATTTTGAGCAAATTCTTTGTGATCTTATGTCTTATATTAATTTGGCAACAAAGACTGATCGTTTTGAAAACAATTCCTTACCAGGTCTATGCCGAAAAGGTGTCTGTGAAATTTCTTCTTGATAAGTGGTCTGGTTGAGTCCGATGAGTTGACCAAAGTTTCCGTTCATTCTTGAATTGCATTTTCTTGAGGGAGGGGTGCGGTCAATACGTCTCTGAGGGACGGGTGGGAGAGAACAACTGGAAGTTTGGTCTTCTGGTATCCAAACCATGTATGTTTGAAGCTGAAGGGAAACAAGAACAACCATGACGCTTACATACATTCAGACTCCCTTTAAGCACACGTCGGTTTACACCATGAACAATGAGCTCTTGTTCACACACAATGTTACCGTTCCACAGAAAGACACCCAGTTCAAGACCCTAACTAGAAACATTTTTACACCCTGCATAAGATGAAAGGCCCTGGATACCCGGCATACCCTGTTTAGCGGAACCTACCCAATAGGACCAAATTAATAACAGAATGTTTCCTTAACTACCCCACCCCTACTCTCTTCTTAGGGCTTTACAGTTCGGTTGCCATGGTCGCTTATTAAATCAAAGTATAAAAATATTTATCTTTAATTATTTTTTTGTTTCTTACCCTATCACCAGTTTGAAACGGAAAGAATATCCTTGGATGAGGTTTGTTTCTGTTCACGTGACTTAAAATAGTCCTCCTTTCCATTCCGGCGTTCTGAGACTTCCGGCGCGCATAGGCTTCAGCGGGATCTCCGCTGTTCAGGTAGAAAACATAATTAATGTAAGATTGATGTATTATGTAAGCTTTTACGAAACTTTGAAGGGAAAGGGAGTGTCAGAGAAATCTTTACGTCTCCATCGAAATATTCCGTTTGAGTTTGATTTTCAGAATCATGAGCTGTTTCCAAGAAAAACGAAAAACAATGGATCTTTCAGCGCTCGATTTTTTATCCCAATTTAAAATCCTTTTCCTATGACCATTCTACTTCACCTTTTTTTTGTTTTGTTTTACTTGAAATAATGATGAAAATTAATCACTTTTGCCTCTAAGAGGTATTTTCCTTTCTTTTCTACTTTGCAACGCCAGCTTTTCTTTTCCGTGCTATCGCGTCTTTCCATACCATGACCTAAAACTTCGTTGGGGTACCTCTTGTTGAAAACTGGAAATTAAGGATAAATATAATATCGACATAAAAAGAAAACTGATAGAGAACGGAAAGTCTTATTTTTTGTGACGAAGAACGTCAAAGATTCCTTTAAATACTCATTGTAACCGAAAATTCTGACCAGATGCCTGTCTTAGCAGTGGACAGAACCTAAGTACAACACAAGCTTTGTTGCTATGAGGGACGTACAGCACTATTGTTTAGGAGTTCACGGGAAGAACTGGAAGAAGATTTTGGCTTTTATCGTGAAAAAAGACTTACCCGAAGATGTTAGCCATCGTAGGTTTCTTCAAAGCATTCTCGAAGTAGTTCTTCAAATTTGGCGGTAAACTAACAGAAATTTGACGCGCTCTGGCATCCTTCACTACCAAAAATATTCAAACAAGGATCATTGTAAAGAGTAAAAAACAAATTAGTAGAAATTTTACATTCGCGTAAATGTATGATTAACTGTGACTAAAAGAGCCGAAAAAATAAGGAAGTACTTAGAAAACGGCTTCTCCAACCTGTAGTTGCCCAGTCTTTGTAAGGTATGCTTCTACCACTGCTCTTTGATACAGGAATTTCATCCCTCATTCTCTTGAAGTTTGGTACGGAGTGCACTAAGACCGACAAAAAATTATTTCTGTGCAAAAACCTGGACCGACTTCCGAACTGAGATCACCTCTTGTAAGATGAAAATATGATATTTTTTTCGTGCTTTGTCAATGTCAGCTTGCGTAAGAATATTTGGCAAGGCTTCACGACCATAGGAAAACTTGCATGCAAGACACACAAACTCAACCGCGCGTTTGGCACTTGAGCCTAAGTATTTGTTTAACAGATAAGGACATCTGCAAGAGCCATTGTCAGAGGGATTAACGCTTTCATGAAAGAAGTAAATTAGCTCTCACCACGGTCTGGTTACCCTTTGTTGGACACAGAAATTAACATTCCAGCTTGAATCGCTGGATTCTTTCCGTGAAAACAGTTCTTAAAGGCTTGATCGGTTAATAAGCGCCAGTCCATAAATCATGATATTTTGCGTAGCACTTACTCAACGTCTCGTATTTGAGTTGGTAATGAAGTGGCGAGTAACTGTTTACCGGGTAATAATGAATAATTCAATATTTATCGCATCTCGTTTACTTGTTTAACAGTCTTTTGAGAAACCAGTGGTTTATTTGCATGTAGATTAAAATGCTTCGAACCTACACAAACACTCTATTCAACGTGGTGTTAATATCTCTTTTATCCGGGCAGCTGAAATCAAATTGCACGATGCCCAAAAGTGCGCGCGAGACTCACATAACAGGCTTGGAAGTAAAGTTGAACATGGTACCTAAAGTTACTACCACTGTAATTTGCTTTTAAAATCAAATGTGCTGCCTGATCAGATTATTCAAGGATTAGAACATATTTGCGGCACCTTTTCTTCTTCATTTACGCTTCGTCACATAACATACACGGCTTAATTAACCTAATGCAAGGTCGAGCGTAGGAATGAATTAGTGAAAATGTTATATATTGAATGAAAGCCATCTTAGAAGTATCATGTAACAGGCGACTCAGTTCACGCTTCGGTCGGTACCAGCTCCTGATCCTGGCCATGGTTGAGGATGACGATCAAAGTAGATGAATGAATCCGCTGGGAGGCTGGAATAGAGCCGCTGCTTGTCCTAAGGTCATAGGAGGTAATTGAAGGTCATAATAACCAAACCATCGACGGTGGACGAAAAATTCCATTCCTTTCCGAATTAATCTGCACAAAGAACCCGTACCAGCCTTAAAGTAAGCTCCCTTATGACTCTATAGATTGCAAAGTTTCATCCAGACGTAAAGGTATTGTTTTCGGTAAGACAATGCAATTCCAAATTTGTAGAATATTGGTTATAGAGGCTTCAGTGGTTTCAGAACATATTCCATTCTCTCATTTAAAAGTCAGTAAACTTGAAACCTCCTTACCTTTTCGATAATTTGACTTAATTGATTACTTCTTTTCAACCGTGCTCTTGCTAACGCAAGAGCCAGTTGCCTTTGTTGACAGCAAGTCTATTCGCATATGGGTAATAGGACCATCAGGTACTTTGATATTGGGCAACAGATGAGTAAGCACAGCTCTGAATTCTCTTTTCTTTAATTGTTTGACTTATACATAATTAGAATGGAATGTTTCAATAGTGACCATCCTTTCTGACAACCTTAACTTGGAAACGAAAATGACTTGTTTCCTCTGTGTTATTCATAATTTAAAGCTTCCCTTTTTTGTTCGGATCTGTTTCTTAATCAATAGCATATCGAGAAGAAATAAATCTCTTGCGCATAAAAAATACACTATAAGTGTCATAATACAAGTATTGACTTTTTTTTTTTGACATTTATTGTAAATACTACACTTGTGCTTAGTGGCTTAGATGCGGTGAAATAATTCTAGATAACTCTCTCGGCTCACGATCCTCTAAGAAGATGTTAAGTTAACTTTACGGTTTTCTCTCGCCAGTTCATTCTACTTGATTACCATTGCTCTAGATATCATTGATATACGACTATAAGAGACTGATATAACTTAGTTAAAAGAGTCTTGGTCGCGGACTTTTAGCTTGAAAGAAAATTGCTTTAAATTTCTTTCGTTATTTCGTTAAGTCAATAGCAAACAAGTAATATACTTCAGGTTTACGAAAACGCACAAATCCGAAGAATCTAAAGGGCATGAATCTTTTCCAATGCTTAATTCTCCATTTGCTTTTCCCTCTTGCCGAATGAATACAAGCTCGCTGACAAACAAGGCAGAACTACGGTAAGACGCACGGAAACTCGTGACTGTAACCTCCTCTCCCCCCCCCCAGGGAAAATTCTGGTTACACCCTTGTTGGTTTCCCTGTCAACCTTCTTTATTCCTTACCGCCTCAGTCTCCTTCGTAGCTGTTCGCTAGATCGCTGTTCTCAGGGGTATCACGCAAATGCTCCCCAAGGGGGATGAGGAGGGAGTGTAACATGATACTCCGAGGAGCTGCTGCAAATGAAAACCTGCACAACTTCCTCTTTCACGTTTACCTTTTATTTTTTAGCGTTTGCCTACCAACCCTGGAAAACGGATGATTATTTTAAGGCTTATTTACTCGTTAATTCTCTGTGGCGCTTAAATTAGAATGACCCAAGGTAGAGTGACGTATCCCTAATCATAACTCTTCAAAACACATTTTGAAGTTACTTTATTAGCTGTGATCATCAGTCAGAGTTATTGAAATTTTATTGGTTGCAGTCTGTGTGGCCATACCCAATAACCCTGAAAAGCAGGAAAAAAATTCATTAAAACTATAACTTGATTTAAGGCACAATTAAGAGGGCTTTGTATTTCGGGATGACAGAATAGGAGACAAAAAAAGTTAGGTTAATTCAGTCAGTGGCGTCTCTCTGCTAAAAAAGTACGTTGAAAGTGACCGATCATGTTTGCAGCTGACCACGAAAGTTGGTTTAAGCCTTGTTATAGGCCTCACCAGTCTGGTGAACAAAGGGTGTCCTCATGTTCTCCAGATATGGTAAATATGGCGTACATTGACCCTGCTGGTATACGATGTAGAAAATGAAATACCTAGCTTCTTAACCCTCCAAAAAAAAAAAGAAATAGCCTTGATAGCCCAATACTCTTTACATCGTATGCTAGATATTAGTTTAGGAGGGGGGGGGGGGTAGGGCCAGGTCGGAAGATTTTGGTTGGGTCAGGATAAAATTTACTTGATCCCCCATAAAACTAAGTAATATCAAGAGAGTATAAACTGGTTATATTATCTCAGTAATATTCTAATCATCCCCCTCTCCTAAATGGCAGTTAATTTGCAGTCAATTTTCTAAAGTTGCACCTCTACTCTGTTGGCCTCGATTGTTCCCCCATCCTTCCCCTCTGAAAACCATGTAATTCCCCTCTCTCCACCCCAAGAGAAAGAAATCCTCCGTTTCAGCTAGAGAAAAACTTACCCTGTTCGGGTAATTAAACGCATTGGTCATGGTTTTTGGGTGTGGATTGTTTTTCCGCAGTGGTGAAGTGGGGTGAGGACCTTGTCTTGGAAAGTTGGTCTCTCTAAAATTCGCCTTGTAAGTCGATACCCCAATAGGGTCCTCTGAAGGGTAGTCGTATGGGGGTGGCCTGGGGAGGAGAAAAAAATCAGAATGTTTAAACCACAACTTTTTTTCCAAAATGGAGAATAAGAAATTATCTCTCAAATGTTGCAATAAAATGGCAACAGACAAAAAAAATAAAAGACCAGGAAAGGACAAAAGAAGAAGAAGTATCAGTATCAGTATTCAAGTACTCATTCTTTGTTTGATAATCTTACAACAGTTGGTTCAGGCACTGACCGGCCATTTCAGACAAATAGAAAGCGACAGCCAATGCAAGTAAATGAGATTAAGAGATAAAGATGAATGCCATAAAATTTGTTATGAAAATTACTTGGCGCTCGGAGCTGCTGGCCCAAAAGTTCCTTGGTACTCGTCCCTGTACTTGGTTGATTTGCTTACATTACGATAATTTGAATAGTTAATCGGAGCTGAAAAACAAATGAATACATTTTAATTCAGTAACGTTGACAGTTTCCGTTGAGCTCGTAAAAAGTTAATGGTACAGCTATAACAAGCTATGACTTATAACAAACGACTGATGTAGCCTTTTTGTTTGAATTTTGAAACTATATCTCACTCTTCCTTCCAAAAAAATAACTTCATAAAAAATTGTTTTTTTTCAAAAATAAAGCGTATCCGGTTATACTCACGTAAGTTGCTGATAGATCTGAATTTAAAGGATTTTGGGGGCTCCACTGACTGACTGACGTAGTCCTTCTGATATGTTGTCTGAATTGGAGTTGCTAAAAAATGATAAGGTACAGAAAAGTAGGGCTAAGAGACACAGAGAAAGAAGGAGAGAGAGATGAAACAAATGCTCTACCCAAATGTTTAAATGTTCGTAGTTGTTAGTGAAGATTCACAGAAAGATTTATCGAGCTTTCATTGCACTTCTTTCATGCACCAGTCTGGAAAAGCATGATCAAAATGTTGCCTGCAAGGTAACCCTTCGCGAGCATCTTTACCCACGACACTTCTCTAAAAACAACGAACAAAAGTAAGTAAATAATGAGATTTATTTACCTATGGGAGGTAGATATCTCCCGCCTTGGTATGGCATGGCAGTTGACAACTGAATGCAAGCCAATCCAGATCACTTTGTCAAAAATTTAACTACTTCTCATGACGATCTCGTCGTTCCTGCATAAAAATTAGTCAGTAAACATTTAATTAATTAGTCTCATTTGTACTGGCTGACTAATTACTAAGAAAAACGGATCTGCCATAAAAAATATAAAAGATCTTCGTTTCGCGTCTAACGTTATTGCATAAAATGTTATGATTCCTCATGCATACTTTTCAACCACTTTAGTGACCTCTGCATGTGAAGCATTTAAAAAAAACTGATTTTGCAATGAAATCTTCGTTTCAAGTACACGAGTGATTCAATCTATCATGAAAACAATAGACAGAAAACTCCTAAGCGAAAAACAGCACTAATGCAGTGTTTAGAGAAACTCAGATATAATGTACACTACTTCTTCTTTTGTTTAATAGACGTGGTTATATAAATCAAACAATTTCAACAGAATCGCACCATGATAAAGGCTACTATTTGGATGTCAGATCTCTTGAAAAAGAAGAACGAACAACTTCCCGTAACTTACCATGAAAGAAAGATTCAAATGGAAAATGTTTTCAAGCGCAAAATTGCAGTTTAGCAATGATGTGTTTCCACGGTTTCCACAACTGAATGTATTCCCCTGATAACTGCATAACTGTGATTGGCTGCACAGCTCCACAAAGATGACCATTCATTGTTTCAAGAGTGTACTCGCTGCCACGAAATCAAACAGTTAATCAGAAGATCATCAACAAAGCTATCACAATGTTTGAATTATCTTTTTTGTGCGACTATCAGTTCCCTATACAAAAATGTAATTATGTGTTATCTACATAAACTTGAGTTATAAGCGCATCAAGCGGTATCAGATATCGCCGTATTTACTTTCAGAGTAATAACACTCACTTAATTAGTTTGTAAGACCCCATTTTTACAAATTCCCAAGAGGAAACAGTCAAACAAACAGCCACAAATATTTGTAAGTTCGTTTGCTTTATTTCATATTCAACTGAAGAGACAAAAGGCTCTATTATCGTCCTTGACAGCTCTGTTTTACGTCATTGTTTAAAGACTTGAACAAATACAAATATGATGATTCATACTCAAAAGTAATTCATAACAAAGCTGTTACTGAAAATGATCCTTTTTGAACAATGACTCAACATGAAAGGTGAGTCATGACCCTGTGCAATTTGTGTTTTGATCACCAATTGGAATCTACGGTAAAACACGTCAAGGCTCCGGCTTGAACGCATTGAAAACTACCAATATCGTGTTTGATGGTGGATAAAAAGATGTATTTGTTGGCAAAACGAAAAAGAGTTAAAAAAAGAGAGTCTGATACAACTGTTTACCAAAATATAAGTATGGTGTGTTGCCTGTAAAAGAACCGTTTCAAATGCACGTTAGTGTTTCTTTTGTTTCAGTACACAGTTGAGTCGGGCATTCTGATTACAGAAAGACGTGTTAGTCTCAGTTTTACTGAAACTCCGTTGACTTAACGGAGTTTCAGCAAAAGTGAGAGGGAAAGGACAGAGGCATGTCAATTTTTTTCTTTTATTAAAGTTACATATTTCTCTTTTACCATAATATTTGCATTTTCAAATGAATATTTCTTCATTTCATGGCGATCAAAACTTTTCAGCGTGTTATCTCTCTTGATCTAATCCTTGGCCTTCAGAGCCATTGTTTGTAGAGGGAAGATCTAAAAATTAAAAAAAAAAATAGATAAATAAATGAATTTGATTAAAAAAAAATATTTAAACTGTAAAGTGAAATGGTGTCTGTCACTGCTCAGAGAAAAGCATTCGATTGGCTCCTTTTGATCGTACTCACTTTAAAGGAACTTCAATCCTACCTTGAATATGAGGGACATAATCCTGTTGATAAGTCGACCGAGTCTTGTCCTGGCACACTTTTTTAAGGAGCTCAGAGCTAGTGGAGGATTCTGTCCCTTTAGAATTAACTGGGGGAAGCTTTCGGTAATGGGACCACACGAAATAATCCTTTGAAAATGAAGAGAAAGTGCGAAGTCATTTTAATATCTTAAACTTTAATCTCTCTTATTCATTCATGTTTTTTGATGCTGTAGAATAGAAGTGAGACAAGCTGAACACAAAATTCCTTTGAATAAACAAGTCAAAGATTTATTTGGAATGCATGATAATTCTTAGTTTACCCACACAACCGTCCTCTATCAAGGGAAAAAGAGAGTGACCTGGTGGCGATAGGTTTTGGTTTTTGCATCTGACTGTTCGAGGGAACAGTGTAAGTTTGCGAGACCAATCACAGGGAATAATTTATCAAATTTGCTTCAGTTTACTTTACTTACTTTAATCGGATGTGCGAACACCTGCTCCATATTATGAGGGTGAGGGTTATTGCTCCTGTCTCCAGAGGATGTTCCATAAGGCATTTTAATTGTAGGTTTTCCCTGGTGACTTAGGAAATCGGTCCTATACGTGGAGTCAACTGATGGTTGTCCTGGAGGGTAGAAACGCGAAGTTCGCACTCTAAAAAGTTGTGAGAAAAGAATTTTCATTGATAAAAAGGTTCAAAATTAGAATGGATGAGGAGAATAAAAGAGAACAGAAACTCAATAGCTAAGAGATCAAAGCCAGAGGAATTTTCTGTAACTGTCATTTGTCGAAACAATAGGCAAACAAAACTAAATTACTTACGCCAGGTCAGACTTGGCGAGAGAGAGGAAACTGGAGAAGTTAATTTAAAGAAATTTCCATTTTCCCTTTCGTTTACTTTTGAAGAGGGAATAAATAGAAGCCACTTATGACTTTAATTTGTTTTGTGCAAAACGCTTATGGGCTGCTAGTTAAGTGATTTATAACCAAACGATCTGTGTTGTGCATGCCGCCATCAGGAAAATTTTACCTTGCATCTGGCGCTGGTGGACCAAAAGAACCTTTATATTCCCTGTTGTATGTTGATAAAAAGGCGGATGGAAGAGAACGTGAGCTGTCCTTGGAACTTTCAAATGATGATTCTATAATGCATATAGACAACAAAGTATTACAATTCCTTTACATGAGTGTGAACTGGATCTCTTTGGTATGATTGGACTGAATGGAATTGCTCAATCTTGACGGCTTTTAGATTCGATGCGCAAATTTGCATTGCTTAGAAAATTAGAATTAAACCTTAACCCGTAAGAGTGACTGACTTCTATTTCTCTTTAAGTTATCACCCTAATCAAATGTAAAGGTCATGAAAATAAAGGAAATTATCACCAATTCAAGAAGCCCCTGATTTTCACTCAAATTCTTCTTGTCAGTACCAAAGGAAATATGGAGAAAAGTTGGGAGAATATAAATACTCATGCTAGAGTGCAAAGGGTTAAATAGAAATTTTGGTTGACTGTTTACATCGTGTCATACTTGATTAATGCGAAATAACAAATTAACTCTTTGGAAGCCAAAGCAAGTTGCATCTTAGCACTTAAATACAAGTTTCCTTTCTTTCGAGCAAATTAGTGGTAAGTAAAATATGAAAACATGTTAATTCCACTCAGAGAAATGGCCTGACTTAAAAATTAATCTGTTGACGGTCATCTCTTTCACGCTCGGGCAAGATTTCACTCGTTTGGTGATTCCCTCAGTTTTTGGGTCCGTGAAAATAATAGGCGAAGTTACTATCCAACAACACTGAACTTACCTACGCCTGGTGTCGTTACACTACTCATAGCGGCGTTAGCAGGAATAGAAACACGCCAGACTCAACCAAATGATTCAATCGATAGGAATGCTAATTCCTCGCGCTTTGTGATTCTTTACAGCTCAAAATGTTGACGATCCAAAGATCCTCTGGGTGGTAAAATAATACCTCCGTCTACCAAGAATTCAACGCGTTTGTGATGAAAAGAATTGCTCTTTTGCTGGAAATACAGAAGTCTGAGGCGCACGACGAAAAATCTGAAATTGTGTTGCTATGCGTTCAGCATCTATGCCCGAACAGAATTGGTTGTCAAGTATTGAAATACAATATTGACCCCTCAACCTTTTACAAGAGAAACAAACAGTTGAAACAGAACCTGGATTAACTCTTTGTTTTTGATTTACCTAAGGAACAAAAACACTCGCGCCGTGCAAACAATGTGTTTAAAAAAATCCTAATCAAGTAACGCGAGGCTTTCGTTGATGGAGAAGAAATGAATTTTCAATCAATCCTTTTTTTTTTAGGGAACCCATCGCACATTTTATCTCCCCAGAAGATTTACCAAGAACGCTCTAATAAATCTTTCCCGCCCCCTTTTTAATGAGCACCTACACTATCAGCTCCCCAGTCTAGATGCTCTATAGCTAACCATGTCCTTTAAGAGCTTATTAGAGCGTTCGTGGTAAAAGTTCAATTATATTCTAGCATTCACCTGGACATGTAAATTTTAGTAGGAAGAGTATGCTAAAAAGTGCTCTTAGTTTGTGGTTAGGAAATGATTAATTTCTCTTGCACAGATAAATTTATAAATGAACTTTCCATTTAGGTGGCTGTCAGTTTTCGTCTTTAAAGCAGTAGGAAGATAAAAAGAGACCCTTTAATATCGCGAAAATAAAGGTTCCTTATACATTTCAATCAATGTAACGAAGATATAAATACACATTCAATTTACAAACGAGTTGTAATGTACAGTTTAAAAAGTACTTTTACGAACGAGTTCAAGTTGTTTTCTTCTTGAACTGCATTATCAACAATAATTTATATAAAGAGAAAATAGTATTTCCCTTGTTTATATACAATGTCTTATAACATATGGAAAGAAACGTCATCGTCATAAGCTAGAAAGGAATGCAGAACGTTCAAGAGGTCCTACTTGGATGATGATGCAACGTAGTTCACTCGCTTCTACACTTTAAACGTCATTTACAAGAGCCCAGAAGATCGCTGAACTTCTCTCAAAACAGGAGGAGTCCTGGGACTCAGAGATAGGCCTGATCAGAACTGTGACGGATGGGGCAATTTTTGGTGGGAAAAGACTACAGCTGGCGAGGCGTGGGAAGCTGTTTCCCAGCAAACATTAACAGTAACACGACGGGCGAGGTTTCCTAGGTTGTTAGGAAAGGACCAGTTCTGAGGAGGCGGCACGCTACGGACAACAAGCGGTTTACCATCTAGGTTTACAAGCTTCCGCATTGTCTATAATCTCGATAGTCAAGGAGCAGTATTGAGTCATTATTTAAGAAATAACACGTATTGCAGTAAAGCAATGGAGTTTAACGTGGAAATATCAGCTAGCACCGTCTGTAACGAGAAACGAAGAAAGAATAAATACAAAATGCATCATCATTAAACCACCTTATACAACTATTAATAGTCCACACCGTTAATAAAAATTGTCACTCGTTTACGAACAGTTTCAAGCGTTACTGAAGTTCCAGTTTGAGTGCTGGAATGAGTGAAGAATAACCCTAAGCTCCCAATAATGATAAACATGTATCTTCTCCCTATAACATCCATACATTATCCAGTAAACAGATAATGAGAATGCTCAAACGTATCAAGTAGATTTTGTTATCTTGATCCAACACCAAATTCTCGTAGCTAATTTAGAGGGAAATGTGTGCCATTTAGAGGGGAGAATTAACAAACAGATCTTGGGAGCAATTTCACTTCTACTCTGTGATCTCTTGCCTTCCCAACTCTATTTTCCCTCCGCTATCTTATGTTCCAGATTTCCGTGTGCCCTACCTTCGCCGATGAACAAATCTGTTATCACAAAATTTCTTTACAGAAATATAGAAAACACGTCGTAATTTAAAATTCTCATATCAACGAAATGTAAGTCATTTAGTGGAGAGAGTTCACAATATGAGCATACAAACCTGAGCTGCCTGTAGGCTAGTGACTTCCAAGAGATTTGCGCGACGATAGGACAGGACTGCCATGGCGAGAACTGAAAGGAAATCAAACAAAGATTTAGAGGTTCCCAGTAATTTCTCCCACAACTTGCGAAGAGGTTTTAAACGTGGTCTGTCGTTTCTGCGTTTGTCAGCTTAAACAGGAATAGTGGCTCATTCACGCCGTTGTGTATCCCGAACTCTGAAGCATGAAAGGACATGGAGTACTGCTCATCTACGCCTATCACAAATAGCCTTCCACCTCCCCCACTTCTAAGCGTTTCACACCATGGGCCGTCTCAGCCACAATTATCATCACTTTTCCGGGGGTTGTGGCGCACTTTGGGGGCTAAAATGGAGGAGATTTTGGCTTTAAGCCTGCAAGCGCTCGCATGATAGTTCAGAATGTTTAGTTGCCATTTTTTCAGTGTATTTTCTTAATGCCCTCAAAAATAGCAATAATAGTAATATAATTCATGTCATTGAGCATAAATATGTCATTTTAATCCTCGCCCAGCGGTTCGGGCTAAACTGACTTTTAGTTGTGCTTAAGCATTTTCATGTCTGCCGCCATACACTTAATTGTTTTAATCTATAGAATTCTTGAGGCTCACAATTCCTCTTTAGTAACTAAACTACATCAGTGATATACTGTGTTTTAAGAAGTCGCCATACCTGCTAATAACTCCATTGAGTCGTAAGCAAATATCCTGTCCCACAAAAGGAGCAGCTGTTGACAAGACCACAGATGAATCACTTGTTTATTGACGGTCACAATTTGAATTCCAGCACAAAAATGTAACAAAAGTGATGTCGAACGCATTCAAATTGTGCAGAAAAGCCAAAATTCCTGAGCTAATTTAGCGCTTGGTTTAAAAATTTGAATCTCTTTAAGAAATAGTTGTACTGAAGATAACAATATGATAGCGGGGTAGAAGCTCGACAGCTAATGTTGCTGTGTAACATAATCACATCAAAACATCATGAAACGGTGCTGACGAAAAGTAGAATTTGTTTAATAATCAAGAGCTTCTTTTTTTCATTGTCGCAACCTTAACGTTTGATCCAGGGGTGATATTGCATGGATAAATTAGATACTAGTCACTCTTAGGAGTTTGAGGGCATCATTGACATCACTGATAACCACCACGAAAAGAAAACCAAAAACAACAACATCAACAACAAGAAAACAGTCAACATCTACAACGTAAAGAATAACAACAGGAACAAAAATAAAAACAACAAAAACAACAATCACTACTACGATAACAGATAAAAATGATTGTTTCCATTTTGTACCTGCTCTGTCTCCAAATAACCAGCAAATGCGTATATTAACCAGTTAAAGACTAAACGGAGCCTGAAAAAAACCAAACAGAGACTGAAAATCACAACTATTCCCGTGCCTTATTAAAAAGAAAAAAAAAGATAGGAAAACCTGACATGGCTCCGTACTTACGGGTGAGCACCAACTTCTTTTAAATGGTAAAACAGGGCAGGCTCGTGAGTTTGAAGAAGATTTTCGAACAACACACACAGTGACATAATTCCCTGTAAAATAATAAAAGAAGAGGTTAAAATCTACTAAATTGCAGAAATTATCTTTCGTATTTCAGAAACATACCACCCAATCAAAAGGCTGTGCAGCAATTGCGAACTACGTACTTGATATAGCTATATTTCACATCAAGAAGGGTTGCGTATGTCAAAACTTCAGATCAGTATTTCCCGCGCAAATTAGCCACGTATGCTGTCCTTCAAGAAGAGCATTGATTTGATATGCCCCACGGTATACCTCTGATAACTAATGACTATGCAGTTAGTGCTACAGCACCACATAGTTGCTTTATTACATCGGTTGTAACAGATTACACACACTACATTACCTGAGGGTGCGAGGACATGCCGTGAAGACGAAAAAAGTATCTACAAAAAAATTAAAAACGTTTCGGTAAACTTGAACTTGTACGAAACTATTAATATTAAGTTCGCACGAGGGAAATTTCATCTCAAGTACAAAAAAAAAAACTATGATTTTCAAACAGGTGCCATAAAATTCCAAATCTAAATCAAAACATGTCCACAGGTCCTCCATCGAGATAAACTCAATTCTCACCTGGTGTAAATTCGTCGAAAGAGAAAGTAAAGTTGTGGAGCTTCAGCACAAATATAACCTAGAGGAGACGCTATGAAATAAAATAAAGAGCAGGTCAACGGTGCCAGGAAGTAAATCGTTTAATTTCAAGTACCAACGATTAAGGTTTGAGAAAAAAAAGCTTCATTTTTGTTCGAATGGATTGGAAAGCGCTACGTAACATTGCTACAAACCATGTGAACCCGCGATATTCCGGCGGTTTGGGTTAGGAATACGAACGTTGAGGGCTCACGTGGTTTGAAGCAATGTTACTTGGTGCTTTCCATACGGATCACCAGAAGTGATAGACGCAGCGACCCTCTGGTCAGCGGCCCTATCAGCGCACTGATCTTTAGATCAAAAGGCCTGGGTTTGAGCCATGGCCAGGTCGTTGCGTTGCGTTGCGTTGCGTTGTTGGGTAAGCCAATTTACTCTCACCGAGACTCTCTCCATCCAGGAGTATGAATGATTATCGACGAATCGTCATAGATCTAGGTAGAATAGCAATGCTCCAAATCGCTTCGTGCAACGGAAAGCGGGATAAGTTTTGAATATTTCTTCGAAGTTTTAGGTTTTTTTTCCGATAAGAAAAAAGAAGTAATGAGCTCACCATACATAGAAAAGCCGTGGAAGGGTATGATACCTGTTGATGGAGAAACAAGAAGGTAATGAAAAACGTGGTACTTGTAGTGTAGTCATGTGGCGTTATGAAGAATATTTTTTCCATTTTGCAACGAAGAAAACATGAAATATAAAAAAAATGAGTGAAACGGTCTAGCTTCTTGACACAGTAACGAAAAAGTATTCGAGCTCACGCAGACGTTCGCGCAGGACACCCCTCTCTGTCTAAAAAGGGTGCCTGTGGCAAATCTTCACGATCAACTCGATACGTTAACTTAATTTTGTAAGATTGTAGCTCTTTCTCTTTGAGCCTTGCAGCATTTTTGTGAAGTTACACCTACCATTTGGGGGATAAACGACAGCATAGTCTTGAACACCCAGTTTGCCTGGAAGAAAAGAAAGCACAGATGTTTTTTTCACACGAGAATTGTTGTTGTAGCAAAGCGATCTTCAAGCATCCTATCATAGGGAAGAAGGAACACTTTTTGTGGTTTCATGTTCGAGGAAACCAGGACAAACTCCAACAAAATTAAGCTGGTCAATTTTTTCTCATAGAAATCTACGCTTGACGAACAAATTACCTCGAATGTAAGATTTTGGGGGCGTGGCACTGGAATGCTCGAAATGCTCCAGGATGGACGTATCTCGACTGAAAACAAGAAGAGCCTGAAAAAAAAATTCAATTTCATCAAATCAACAGCTCGCCTAAAATCTCAACATCAACACAATTGTGCATTTTCAAACACTACACTTACTTGGCACAGAACATCTTCAAACACAAAGTAATCATCATCGTTCGAGGATGTGAGCTTGATGTCCTGTAAAGATAAGGAACAGTAATGAAGACTGAGTAAATATTTCAAACTACATATTCGCCCTTCAGTGGATACAGCTCTTGATTGACAAAGAGAATTTGTTTGACGATCAAGAGCTGTATAAGTTCGTGATCATTTTACTTAATTCTCACGACCTTAACGTTTGAAATTTTTTTGTGTCACAAGAACAAGATCAACAAAAAAACCACGAAAACAAAGTTTACAGAATGACCGATAACTACCGGCGCTGCATGTGATGAAACACGCACCTGGCACATAATGAAGGGTACACTACGAGACTACGAGTTACGAGCAGCGCATTAACATCTCTTTTTATTTTTCACATTTTTTCCTTTTTTGTTCTTTGACTCGCGCGCTGCACTGCGTCAAGAAAGAGGGACTGCTCGTGGTCTAAATGAATGGAGATGGGTGAGTATGCCATTCGGAAATCCAGAACACGCCGTGGAGTGAAAACGTGTAACCAGTAACAAGTGCGGGGCGGAAAAATTAGAAATCAGGCCCGAAAAAGGCGATGAGAGCGAGAACTGAGCTTATTTGTAACTGGTGTAAAAAGTATTTTAGGATCGAACGTATAAGAACCCAATGCGTGAATTTTATGGAGCACGAGAGAACTTGAAATATTTCTGCGTGTTCGGAAGCGATAACGAAAATCTCCTAAATGCGACTAAAACTGAAAAAACACAAGCGGTAACGAAAATCTCCCAAATGCGACTAAAACTGCGAAAACACACACACGAGAAATCTTACGCGTAACTTGCTTACGAACTGATTAACGTTAAATGTCTCAGCGCGCGCGCTAATTGCACTACACGCCAGTCAGGTACTTTCTTCTTAACAGTGCGCCTTTTCATGAACAGATTTACCTTAGAGACTGTACGATAAAGAGCATAATATCGAAGACAAATCGACGCGTGCGCAACGCAAGGCCTGACGGTCTGAATTGTAATACACACGTAACAATTATAACGAAGTCATCGTTTACCGTTCGAAGGTTTGACAAGAAAGACTTCACACTAATAGTTAGATTTTTTCACGTGCTGAATAGAGCCAGTTGGAAACAGGTTTTTTTCGCATATTGTAAGCCAATTTAATTGTGGTTCCCAAGCGCAGGTAAGAAGGAATAGAGTTACACTGCACCAACGCTTGATTGGAACGATCTCAACTAAGTGTAGAAAGTAATTTACGGTGGTATTGTTCTACTACGCTAGTCAGTTATGCCCTTGGCGCCTCCTGAAGTATAGGCCATCGATGATCTCTCTCCTCCTCCGATTCGTCCTATCCTGGACTAGCTTTCGAGTGTGGTCCAGGTTTGGCCCCTGGGCTATCTTGTGTGTTCCAGGTTTGGCCCCAATTCTTCATCACAGCCTGAACATCTCGTCGCTAGGTGTTTTTGCGCGTCTTCGTCTCTGTTTTCACTGGGGATTCTATTTCAAGGGTTGCCTGGTAACACTGTCAAGATGTTTCCTCAAGGTGTAGCCTATCCATCTTTATTTCCTCTGACTGATTTGTATTTGAATGGTCACCTGACCTGATCTCTCCCATACCTTTTCTTTTTTTCAGTCTGTCTGACCAAGTTATCAGTTTCAGAATTCTTCCCAGACAGTTGTTGACAAATGATTGTACCTTGTTAGGCTACGCTTCACGATCTATGACAAAAACGTGCTCCACCCACAAAGCTGAAAATAACCATTCGCATTTTCCCGGTGCTTTCTACGGTTTGCTAATAAGTGAAGAATGATCCACGCCCGAGTGCTACATGCAATTTACGCAGTAAATGGTGAACAGTATGCTTGGTTTTATGACATTTAGTAGAAAGGCGCTCCAAGGAAAAACAGCTGTCAGCCATCGAAATACGTAGTTCCTCAAAAAACGTCAAGGTTCCTTAAACATTAACACTCTAACGGTGTCTCTTTTTATTTTCAACAGGGGTGGCTCACTCGCAATGATTGAGGTCGAGAATGTTGACTTCCTCTTGCCAAATTGGTTCCCTTCTGCCAGTCTTCGAGCTGTGGAAAAACGCGCAGAGGACCTTCAATGCCAAGTCTTGGGAAGAATTCGACGAGTAAAAGATTTTGCCGAAAGACACCCAGTCATTGCAATGTTCTTGGCAATTGTATTAGTTCTTGGTTTCTTACCAATGTTCGTTTTCCTGACGTTTCTTTCCGTCTCGCTGATCGTCATATTCACTACTGCCTCAGCAGTATTCCTTGGTGTCATCTTGGTGTCTACGATCCCGTTCCTTTCAATTCTGATTCCGATTCTCACATTCGGAGGTACTGCAGTCGTTTTTACCTACTTTACATACCGTTCTTTCGTTAAGATACTTCAAGTTGTACCGCGATGGAAAAAAATGGTGATGTCGCTACGGTTTGGAACAGGCCCACCTGTATCGGAGAAAGTTGATTTCTACGAGGACATCGTTCCCACAGACGAAGAATTATTCGACGAAGAATTTTATTATGGCTCAGATTCAGAATAATTTTCGTGTATATAGTGATTTTAAATGACTCTCAGTTTAGATAAGTATCATTGCTCTCTGTGCAATGCTTTGACCTACAACGTTATACTTTCTCATTAGACAAAAAAAACTTTAAGTTCAAAAACAAAATAAGAAAAACAATTATAAAGTGTGCAACAACTTTCTGATAATTGATTAACATATCTTTAAATATCAATCAGAGCACTATTCTCAACACGTTGCAAGAATATTTCCTATCAAATATATTTGAGTATAATACATGTACCCAGCTGAATTAAAAAGCTACAAAAACCAACAAAAAGCAAAAAAGAAGTTTCAAAAATTTGTAAAAAGGTAAAATGTACAATGAGGGCATTCACTCTTCGATGAAAACTTTAATGTAAAAAGCTCTTTTTCCAGTTGATGTAATGAATAAAAATTTGTATTTAATGAGTGCGGCACTTTTCCATTCACTTCTTCGTAATCAGCTACAAGCTCTAAGTCAGTCTAGATAAGCTTATGGGCAGACGAGAAAGAAATAGCGGCTACAGAGAAACGGCTAGGTAACCCCAACTGTTTTTCGCGAGCCCACTTGTCAGCTCCAGCACTAGACACAAGGTTATTTCCTTATTTCTGAATGCATTGACGTAACAAATCCTACGCTTGGCAGAAATAATGCTCGATGTGTGTAGGAAACAACAAATACACTGTTAGTGACACATAAGGCCATCGTTGTTGGCTGATTGATTGATTGATTGATTGACATAAACAAAAGGCATTGTCATTGAATGAGGTTTACGATCATGTTACCTTCGTTATCAGGCTGTCAACCAGCATATCATACTCGATAACATATTGTTTTAGCTGCTGGAAATATAACAGGTCCTACAAACAAAAATAAACACATTAAACAGACGAAAACAAAACAAACAACTGAACTAATACCAATCTCGCGATGGCCTTAGGACTAGCAAATAGATCTCTGGGCTCCGGATCAAAAGCTCTGAGTCCAGTCGTTCAAAGTACGCATAAAGCTATCCTACGGATAAATCACTGTCAAGCGGATGAGTGTTAACAAAACTTACTGCGCTACCCACCGGATAGAGATTTATCCAGTGGATAGCGTTATCCACCTTTCGAAAAAAAAGCCTTTTTACCGTGGCATTCTCAGACAAAACACTTTACTCCCCCACGTCTCCTCTACACCGTAGGTGGTGACCCAGGAGTATAATTAACAAATATGTTCCATGTTGCCGCGCGTCTCTTCTGGTGAACAATAGATCACAAATGACGTCAAATGTAATAAGAACACACGAGGTGCAGCCAAGTGTGTCACTGATCTTCTTAACACATTTTGACGTCATCTGTGATCTACAAAGGCGACATGTTGTGAATAATGACGTCACCTATGCATCTGTCCTCCGATAGATCATGAGTAAGAACCAGTCAAAAATGCGTGTATAATACCTAAATGGGTATTTAAAACTGGTCTGGGAAGCCTAGCAAATGGTTTAGAGATAATATGACAAGTATAAACATCCCATTAAGGAGATGCAACACTAGTTACTTCATATTACAGAGAGCAAAGATAAGTCCAGAACAGTAACCACAGGTATGGACTTCTAGGCCCTACCATGGCATGGTTAGGTCAAAAGAATCAAGACATCAAAATGACATCTGCAATCTTAGTGACACCAAACCAAGTCATTGAGCGCTACACACCACGAGAGGTCTATTCATTGAAGTTTGCCTGTCATTAGCATTTATAATTAATTATTTACATGTACAGTAACCCTTCAACTCCTGTGAGTGACCAAGATAGAACCTCTCCTTACAATATCAAGCAGACAAGCAATGAGGCTAACAAAAATATAAATTAAGGGATTATAAATTGATCCAATATCAAATTCTCTGAACTACATTGCAACATCATTAGAATAGTATGGCAAATAGTCAGGAGAATTATTAATGAGACCATGAGAGTGACATACCACATCATCAACCTCCAGCCCCAGTATAAGACACCAGACCTCCCTTCTCAGCCCAGGAGGGCAGCCATACTTGGCATACTGTCGGGCAACTGGAGCACTTCCATGTTGAATTACTATTAAAAAAAAAAACCATGTTGAAGATTAACTTTCAGTAATAATTTTCTGCTGTGTGGCACAGTTATGGACAACATACATGGTTTTAAGGCAGTGAAATTGCATATGCACAAATAAGTTGAGCTCACATTCATGTATAGCTATACTGGAGCTTGTGCAGAACTCTGAGTTATTTGAAGAAATGTTGATGCAAGCGGACTCAGAGGTTTCCAAGATTTTAAATCATGGTGAATCTCTCAGGACTAATTTTGTGTGCACTGACTTTTTTTAGTGTATGTGATGAAGATTGCCCTCTCAAATTTGAAAGACATCTTTAAAGAGTTGTTGCCAGTGTATCAAATGCCATATCATCATTCTTCTGGGATGAGAGGATAATCATGAGTCTTTCTCACAAGAGTATGTGTATTATGAAAAAGTTAATAGCTCTGATTTAATCAAGACCTAGATAAAGATGAAGCTTAAAGATAATTCAGTTTACTATAGTAAATTAGTAAAAATCAGAGGCAAGAATTCCTGGAAATGTTTGAAGCTTGGTGAATTAACCCATTTACAATGCAACCCAAAAGAAAATGCTTGCAAACCTTTCCTTCCAATCTTGTTCCAATCCGTTGAAAATGATTCTAGAAGACAAATAATTAAAAGGAATAAGTAAGAAAAAGTAAGGCAAGTAAGAATGAATTAACCTTTTACAACCTAACATCAGTATTCATATTCTCCACTCTGTCCTAGATACATTTCTTAAGGTGCTGACAAGGAGAATTTGTTCAACAATCAAGAGCTTCTTTAGTTGGTAATCATTTCCTTAATTCTCATGACCTAAATATGTGATTCAGGGATGATACTGTAAGGAGAAATTAGATGAAAGTCACTTAAAAGTGTAGTCAGTAGCATCTGTATATACAGGCTTGCAATACTCTTAAGGGCCATGTGCTAGGAAGCAAGAGGAATGAGAGGATGAAGGCTGAGGATAAGAAAGAAAATAAAATTTGGGAGCAAAGAGAATAATTTCGTAGAAAAGGTTGTGGTTATTCATCACAGTGAATAACGATAAAAAGCTAAGTTTTTTGTTCGTCTCACGATGTAGTCATGTGTGATGTAGATCACAATGTTTCGACTGCATACTGCTAAAGAGAATAATGATACGTATTGCAAAAGAGAATAATGATAAGTATGACAATCAGGAAGAGAGAGAGAAAGTGGGAATCAGATGGAAAGGGGAGAGGAGAGGAAGGAGAGGGTGCAAATCTAAAAATTTAAAACAACTTACCACATGAGATACTTTCAAGTAAGGCGTCATCCACTCCACTGTGAGAATTTCCTGGGTCAAGTTCTTTGTAGACAACTTTCTGGCAAACACACATACAAAAAGATTTCATAAGTAAACTATACAGCTACTCATTACAAATAAAGTATGTTATCCCAATCAACATGGGACTGTTTTGAAGTGACTGGTAGTCTATTGTCTGAACAACTGGCCTCATGAAAAAAAATTAACAACCTTCTACAGATAATAAAGACCAGCGAAAATATCAACAATGATGTTGATGACAAGTTGAAAGAACACACCATATCTTGAAGGGATTTGGTGTAAAGCTGAACTTTCATTAAACCCCATCCTTTGATTGACCTGTAGTCACAAAATAAAGGATAAAATATAAACTGTCAAATACCAATTCAAAGATTCAAACATGGAGTCACACACACAGTATCTCAGATATGAATCTAACTGACTATTGCAATGTACAATATTTCAGCCACATTAACCCTTAAACTCCCAAGACCTGATTGTTATATAACACACCAGTTTAATCTGATTTCTAGAATTCTAAATAGCATTATAAAATAAATTTCATGTTTCAAAATGCATTTAGTACTTTTAGATATAGAGCTTTTATCAAAGAAAGCTGTAATCAAGGACCAAATTTAACAAATTACAGAGGTTATCCTGAGCACTCCAATTCAAATCTTTCATACCTTGGGATCTTGCAAAGTGGTGTAAAGCTTGGATTTTCTATACTTATCAGGGCCTGGAAGGCAGAACAATGATTGCAATAAAAAGTGCACAAATTTGCTAGCAAAGCTTGATAAAAAATTTTTATAAATAGAATAAACAATCATTATAGGGGATGTGGTGACTCTGGCATTTAGTGTATTGAATTCTGGAAAAGCTCTGATTGCTTTGCAAATCAGTCTTGTATGCCAACTTAATACCATATATGATATACCTATTCAAGTGGATTAGATCCTGTAGTGACTCTTGTCAGGGGATCTTGTAAGATCTTTCAAAATCTTGTTGGCATCTTGTGATAACAGTCTTACAAGATCTTGTGATATATACTTTAGGGATTTTGAAAGAATCTCATAGGAATCTTACATATATACTTTACAATTGTAGAATCTTACAAGATCTTGTAAGATTTTTTAAGAATATGGTAAGAATCCTGTGACAAGATCTTGCAAGATCTCACAATATTCTCAACTAAGAATCTCAGTAAGAATCCCTGTAAGAACCTTTTAAGAATCTTGATAAGATCTTAAAAAGATTTCTGAGTGGATATGGATATACCTTATCCTTATTCACCTGAGACCTCACCTCAAAGAAGTCCTTTGGAGCATAGACTGGTTTGATCTTTTCCATTTCTGTAGTCAAAAGAGAAAAAGGTAACATCTTACAAAAGCTGGAGTCACAGAGCATGTATGACATTATACTGCATTGAAGATGGATTACAAAAAAGAGCACCTAATCATTGTATTTCTGTTGACTACTTTATACACAAAACAGTACCAATGCAAAAAATGAGCTTACCAAGCCATGTTCAATTAACTTACGTTTTTCATCCAGTTCACCACCTAAAACTTCAAACTTTGATGACATGACACTCTGGTCTGCTGCTGACCTCTGAATGAAAGAAAGTTGATATTTTGAAGCATAAGGTACGTCTATTAAGGTTAACAAAAGACTCTCCCATGTATCTACATTCTAATGTATTACATCTTCCCTTTTGATTATTGTATTATTGTGAAGAATTACATCAAGAACTGTTCAACTAGTAACAGTGTCTCTCTGTCTATCACTAAGTACCCACTGCAAAGTTGAGGCAAAAAGACAGTTTACACTTCAATCCTATGCCAGTTTCTGACCATTTCTTAACATGTTTAGTTTGGCACTATATAGCACACTATTTTGCCGCATAGAATGCTTAGGGTGGTAAATACTTTACTTTTCTTGCCAGAGGAAGTGATAGCTCTGTGCACATGCTGTTTATACTCTTGACAATTCTCTTCTCCCAGTTCATCTATTAAAAAAAATCATATTCATACAATGTATGAGAAGGGAAACTAAATATACATGTAATTTAACATGTACATGTACAAGGGGGTTGTCAAAAAGGCTGTGCGATTCACAAAAATACTCAGCAATACTTAACACCAAATCATCTAATAAGATAAAATTTTTGACAGCTCTTGATCTCATTGGTCTAATCCTAGCTATATAATCTAACTAATGTCCAAACAAAATGCATTTTCAGCAAGTCATTAAATGTGTCAAGAATATAAAATTTCTCAGTTGTCCAAAATGCAGGTTACCTTCAGATAAAGTTCCATGTCCAATCTCAAAAAAAAATTAAATAAATAAATACCTGTGCCTTACGAATGAATGCTAATGGCTCTTTCACTTGGTTCTGAGGAATGCCTTGTATCGAGGACATTGGTAAACTACAAAGAAATATCATTTTAAAAACTTACTATGTGCACTTTAAAAGGTATTATACCTTTTAAATAAAGACTATTATGTATCAGAATCTAAAAACAAAATATCTGAGCTAAACTGAAGCCAACAGTTGGATGTTGCTGCTTGTGTCAATAATGTCATCAGACAGAAAGCAGTATTAATAGCACACTGAGTTAAAGAAAAAAAAAGGAAACATTTCAACTTGATGTAAAAAGCAGATACAGGCCTTTTGAACAAAAAAAATTTCAAGAAACAAGTGGAAAGCAACCCAAAAACTTCCAGGCCATTTAAGCATTGGGTTGATTATGGAGGAAAAGTTTTGCAATATATTTGGACATCATTTTCTGAATTCACTTTGGCAGGCCATCTGTTGTTGTCACTCATTATTTATAGAAGCAATGACAGTTTGACATTGTTTGCCTTGCCCACAGAAGCTGCATAGAAGTTTCTCTTCTTTGCAAACTTGCATTTTTGTCTACATCAGCAGCAAAAAAGTCTGTCTTCCTTACCTCTTTAGCTGAAAATAAACTGCATTCTGTAGCTTGACCTCCCACCCTGAGTCTTTCAAATAATTTTGAATGCTCTTCTTCATGTCGGTCACATGGACGTGAGGTTTTGCGACCTCCTTCTATATCATCATCAAATCAAATCAAAACAATAATTATCAGTGAAACATCGGTCAGGATGAATTAAATCATGCATGTTTACAATTACAACATCTTCACAACAGCCTGTTTATCACCGACTGAGAATTGGTGAGGCGAATCATGCAAGGACTCCTTCAATTAGGAGTTTCAGTAACTTTTTCCATTAGAAGCTGCCGATGGTGTTGTTGGTGGCTATGCACGGAAAGGGACTCCAAGGAACCCAAACACGACAGCCTGCTCGAAGGCCAAACAGACCGCGGTAAGAGGTCTGATCTTACAGGCGGGATTAGACCTCTGCATTCAAGAGGCTTTATTTCACAAACAAGACAATAAAATATCTGTGAGACTACAAGTAACATATGACAAACTGGCAGGCTCTCGCTACCTCACTCGATGGTTATTTTGGTTTACATTTTACTCCAGTGTGTAACCATTTTTTGTTTCCTCGTAAATAAAATATGTGAGCATGAGTATATTATATGTCACTACATGCAATTGCTATGCCGTAAGAAACTCATCATAACTTGAAAATGCTCTGCCCTTGGTAAAAAAAAAAAAAAAAAAAGAGTAAAACTACTCTCTTTAACACCCTAAACTGGCCAGTCTCCCCCATTCCCTTGGAAGCCGCTGTGATTAGGGTTAGATAACTGAACCAATAATTAAAGCCTACCTGCAGATCTGCTTTCATGTCCAGAAAAAGCGGGCTATTTTGCAGCTTTTCGATGATTCTGCCCAAAACTTCATTCTTATCTTCTTCCTTTATCATTTTATGATGAAATATTCCGGGGTTACGTTCTTGGCACCACTTGATTGAGTTGAAGGAGGCTGTCCGCCATTTCGCGCGACAGAATGCTGTGACATATACACATACACATTTTATTGTCGAGGATGCTGAGCCTGCGATTGGAGGTCAACTTGGAAAAATTGGAACCAAGGATCGGACACCGTTTGGATCTTCCCAGATTTACACGCATTCCAGTGCAAGGAAAAATTGGACTTTTGTGCAGTGTGAGTGGTTCACACGTCCTACATGTACTGCTACCATCTTTTTTCTTCTGTTTTCTTTTTGCATTACTGACACTTCAATGGATACAGATTTGAGAAATCCTTGGAATGTGAGGCCTGATTTTTGAAGTGTCACCGCAGTGTTTTGAGTTTTTTGTTGTTGTTGTTGTTGTTGTTTCTGCGTTTATTTTTTACGTTTCTGTTTGTTAAGAGAAGTGCAATATAACCAGTAAACCTAGAAAATACAAGCTCAAATATGACGGAACAGTAATTTAGTTTGATCCATTTTTTCAAAGACCTTGAATTTCAAACTCTCTTTGGATTGGCCACCACACATCATTTGTAAATGCACACCTTCGGCACCATGCCAATACTCCTGAGGGAGAAACAACAGAAAACAGGGTCATTAAGGAACTCCTTGTCGGAAAGCTACAAGAAAAATAGATATCACACAAGAACCTTTGTTATATATTGCAATAGTGAAATGTAACAAGATGGCGCTAAATTAAATGTTTTAACATTCCTTTCATTTGTTACTTTCCGTAAGGGTCGAATCTAATGCGCATGGAAGTGGATTGAAATATTTTTTCAGATATCCATTTCATGTTATGCAAACGAAATGGAAGAAAAAACAATAATCAGACATGGTTTGATGCTAATTTGGTTTAAAGATTTAATGAATGTAAACGAAGAAGTTACAATGCACAAACCCAACGTTTCGATACACCTGTCTAGTGCCTTCATCATTTCATTCTCATGGAAATTTCAGGGGTTTAAAGATAATGTCAATACTGAAACAAGCAGGAGGTGGGAGGTTCCAGTTTGGACAAAGAGACTTTTAAATTTCACATGTAAATGAAATTGTGGGTAAATTTGGTGTTTCCAATATGTGTCTTGAATAAATGAGTCATTGATCACTCGGGTGCAACAGACTGCAGACTGACTCCAAACAGTTTTTGAACGTCTTAATACTTCTCTGAAAACGTAAGTTATTATGTCCCTGTTTCACAAATGTTTTGATGTAACGATGTGTAGAAGTGTGAACGCGATTCGACTAAAAATAAATAATTAATACAAATATCTTAGGACAAATATAATAACAACAAGAATAACGACAGAGCTACGTGAAATAGAAACGAATTTATAATTTTTATAGGTAATCGCATGATTTCGAGTGCAATTTGGAATATATAAGCAGATGTAAATTTTTTCAAAGACTGACAAAATTTCACGAGCCCTACAGGGTCGTGCAATTTTTGGTCTTAAAAGCAAGCGCTCATTTGTTCCAAATTTCACGAGAAAAATCATGTGATTACTTAACAATAATATACATGAAAAAATATGAGATATCATATAATAAGCTCAGTTATGCACGCATTCTGATTGGTTCTCACTTATGATCTATTGGAGGACAGACGTACAGATGACGTCATCATTAGAACTTTTTAAAATTCTTTAGCATATAAAACAAATAGATTCCAAGTTGCCGTGCGTCTGTTCAGTAACAACAACATCAGTGACACACTCGGCTGCGCCTCGTGTGCCTCTTTTTTGTTCTTACCACATTTTGACGTCATCTGTGATCTATTTCTGAACAGACGCACGGCAACTTGGAATCTATTTGTTAAGCTTATCCTAATTATGCAGAAGTGAAGCGCGCGCATCAGGTGCAAAAATAATTTATTCAAACCCTGCAAGTGACATTGTGCGTTCAGCGTATCCAAATGTTGCGACATCCAAGGCTCGCTTTTGATTGGCTATCTGTGAGTTTCTTTGATCGTTGACCAATCAGAATGTCTGGCTTTTTTTCTTCTTTGTACTGAATTAACCCTCTTCTGCATTAAATTACCTGAAAACTGCATTTGTCTTAACCAATCAGAACTGGTAATTTTTTTCATTTATATCGTTAATGGCGTAACCAGGTCCGGTAGTAAAACTCTTTCGCAGGAACTTGACGATAAACAGAAGTGCAAAGGCTAGTTGCTACAGGGCGGATAACACTACCCAACAGATAAATCGCTATCCGGCGGATAAGTGATAGTAAAACGTATAGTGTTACCCACCGGATTTAATTTTACCTAGTGGATTGCGTTAACCTTCGAAAAACCGGTTCCTGGGCTATGTTTTTCTTCTCCCTTCCCTGTCTTTCTGAAAGCCTCGACTTGTGTCGGGCCGTTGCGTCCGACATCAGAGATATCTTTGTTTCGACATGCTTTAAGCAAAATTGACACTCTTCTGGTCTCGTTGACCGTGCTTAGAAATTTTTTTACTCCAATGCTGAGTGGCTTATTCAAATGTAAAAGATCTTTCCCTCAACTAAACGTAGCAAGCGGGATTCAAAGCCCTCGCATCAAGTCGAGGCGAGTGGTCACCCAGTCCAAGATGGTGTCCAAACCCTGAATGAAAGAAGAAGCGACACTAATAGGATGCGTTCTTCAAACGTCAAACGTAATAATATATTAGCGTTATCATTATTATAATTTTTATTATTTTTCTTATTATGATTAGTATCATTACAATCATAGTCACTATTAATCATTTTAAAATAAGGAAGTTTGAGAGGCTGTTTAACACCCTAACCGGTATCCGGACAATTTGCCCCTCAGACAATTCTCAGAAATAATTGCTTTGTGACGAAAACCATGTTTTCTACAATAATTTCGGTGTTTTCACATTAAGAGCGAATTGTCTTGAAATTGGGGGCTAATTGTCCGGGGCGAATTGTCTGACATTCCTTTGACTCCTGGTCACTCTTAAATAAGAGTGATCAGCATCTAATTTCTCCTTACAATATCCCCTCCCCCTCACACATCACGGTCAGGAGAATAAAGAAAACGATCCCGAACTAAAGAAGACCTTGATTGCAGAACAAATTCTCTCTGTCAGTAACTTAAGAAATGAATACAGAAGAGTATGCAGAAACGCTTCACTCTGGGAAAATGTTTGACATTTTTCGATCTTTTTCTTCAGGCAGGATGAACGTGTGTTTGCTACTTACTTTGGTCATGCTGGTTACTTTGACAATGGCTATGTCTCCGCGAAAATTACAACGTCACGTCTATGACGATGATCGGCCGATTTACAACGTAACACTGAACTCTTGATGTTTTTTTGCATATGTTTTATCGTTTGTTTACATAAATCCTGCGGTTAAATTTCCATAGGTGAAATAACTAATATGAATCACAAATGTATTTCACTTTCAAAACTCTCTTTTGGGTACCAGTTTTTTTTTTCGCCTTATGAGGATTCATCCTGTCCATTAGGCGTCGGTCAATTCGAAGCTTCAACATCCCTTCACTCGGGTATTTAAACTTTTGAGGATTAGCTCGTTCAAATTCCCGTCCGCTTCCCCCGGGCCAAAATTACATTCAAATACCCCTCCTAATAATGAAAGATTCTTTGTGTGATCAACGAATGTTGTAGAAGTTAGTGAAGTTACATTTCAGTTTTTTGTGCTGCTGCTGGATTTTTCGCTTGTAAGCACCATTCAATGATGTGAAAGCTGTCTCTCTCACGAAACCAGATTTCTTGCAGTTAAACTCCTACATTACAGCACGTGTATTACGCTGGAAAAACTTTACACTTCAAGTTCAAATGCCCCACCACACCACGGCAAGGTTCAAATTCCCCAACTCATTGGGCACGTAAGGCGTCCAAATGCCCGTGGGTTGCCCAAAGGGATGTTGAAACTTCGATGTCACCTTAATGTCAACCCTGGATGATCAATCCTAAGATAATCATGTGATCAACATGATCCACCTGACTTCACTTCTCTAACATAAAGGAGTGTCAAAGATATTTTAATTTAGCCATATTATTGAAACTATTTTCTGTATATTGTAAATCTTCAGAAACGTATTAGCTGATCGAGCGGTTGAGAAGATGCACATTTGTAACCTTTGAATAGTGTTTTTTTTTTAATACAGAGCCATGATTTTGTCAAATTTCCCCCGACCTTAGACAATATCCCCTACCCGACGTAAACTTTGTGACTCATAAAAGATCAATCAAAATAAGAATTTTCCGTTTAGTCATGGTATTTAAATTATTCTCTAAAAATTTCAAATCCTCAGAAACGTGGTAACTGCGAGAGCTGTGGATCAGGAGAGTGTTGCGACCCAGGCACTTGGTTAGTTGTGAAGAAAATACCGTTGCTATCAGTTGTTCACATCATTTTTGTCTATCATTTATCAACAGTTAGAACAACAACTGTTATCCGCCACTTGAAGATTTAAGCACAGCATTCTTTCTCACCTCGTACCTCGTTACCCGCGTAAAGTGGTAGATAGGGACTGGGCGTTCTCGACAGGTCTCTCTGAATAAAATCATGGCTCCCCGCTCTGTGAGGTTCGGGTTTTGGCGAATGGAAAATACCTGTGGACTAGTCAAATGGATAGTATGCCAGGGTAACATGCCAGGATAACATACCAGGGTTGTTTGATGGTTTAAGTCAGCTTCGTGCAACAAAACAGAATCTCTAGAGCCACTTGTGCCAACGCTGTCGCTATTTGCAGCTCAGTGCGGAATCATATGATCAAAAATTTAATTTCATATTGCTTTTTCCCATTTTTTAACAGTTATAACAAGTTTTGCTATCAACCAATTGTGGCAATGCCGGTGGATGAAGAAAAAGAAGAGGAAACAGAGGGAAAAGAACAACGCCGAGTCTACAGTAGAATCTTGAACAAGGAAGAGGACTGAGTTGTCAAAGGTAGTTAAGTAATATAAACGCGCTTTACGTTTTGAGAATAACAGATGAGAGATAGAATATATTTGCATATGACGTCATCTATCCGTTAAGTTTTATTACAATAACGTCCTTTTCAGTATCATTGTATACGAAATTAACCCTTTAATCCCCAAGAGTGAAAGTACGCGCACTTGCTTTCCCATTCACTCTCTACACGCAAAGTCTTTGGATAACATCGTCCTCGAAGAGATACCGCTGGCCTAGCATACTGCATATATGACACGCGTTCCACAAACTGTTAGGATGAGTGATGTCGAAGGTTCCATGTGAGTCACTCACAGGCAACCTTCGACCTTACTCATTCTAACAGTCTCTACTGAATAGAGAAAGACAAAGTGATTTGAGGCTCGGTAATGACCTAAAGAAAGGTGATTCATTGTCCTGGTTACAGCGAGGGACAAAGAAAAAAATTCTGAGTTCCCATGAGAAATCGAACCAAAGACTTTCGGATTTATTATATATCGAAAAAAAACTGATTATTTTTGTTTATTTCCCACAGGTATAAATCTCTTTTCTTCTCCTCTTTAGTTGGGTTGCATTCTCATGCAAATTTCAGGGGCGTAAAAATAATGTCAATAATAAAACTTGCAGACGATAGAATTTTTATTTGCCACTGTGGGTGTGAAGAGTCTGAGTTGTAGAGGTATCCTTGACTCCGTCTGAAGCTCAGGCAGAAAAAGAACAGCCACCTCAATAAATAAAGTGAACGAAACAATAGCAAGGTCAGTAAAGAATAACAGGGTAATTTAGTGTTATCGACTGAGTTGAAAACGTAAATTGGCCACCGTAAAGAGTTCAAAGGCTGACGTTTCGAGTGTTAGCCCTCCGTCAGAGCGATTGACGAAGGGTTAACGCTCGAAATGTCACGGCCTTTAAACTCTTTTCGGTGGCCAATTTATGTTTTCAACTCAGTTGTTAACACTAAATTACCCTGTTATACTCTCCCACCGACGCAGCACCACAGTTTCTTTAGACACTTACCCCCTTTTTTCATTAGAGAATGTATTTTTTGCGAGAGGTTCCAGATTGGACAAAGAGATTTTTAAATTTTACATATGAATGAAACCGTGGCTAAATTGGTGTTTTAAATACGTGTCTTGAACGAGTTATTTATGATGACAAATGAGTCATTTATAACTCGAGTGAAACAGACTGCAGACTCCAGAAAGTTTCTGAGCGTCTCAATACCTCTCCTAAGTCATTTTGTCCCTGTTCCACGAAAGAGCAACAACAGCCTTCTCAATTAATAAATGAAGTGAACGAAACAATACCAAGGTCATTAAGGAATGTATTTCTGGTGGGAGGTTCCAGTTTGAACAAAGAGATTTTCATGTGAATGAAACCGTGGGTAAATTAGTGTTTTCAATTCGTGTCTTGAATAAATGAGTCATTTATCACTCGAATGTAACAGACTGCAGACTGACTCCAGAAAGTTTCTGAACGTCTCAATACTTCTCTGAAAACTTAAGTTATTTCGTTCCTGTTTGAACTCTTTCACCTGAGCAAAAGATTACGCTCTTCTGACACTGCATTTCATCTTCCTTCTTTTCAATCGGTTTATCTCGCTTCTGCCTCTTCATTCTCTCTCCTGTGGCAGAGTTTCTTTTGGCATTCTTTTTCTCACAAGAATAGTTCATTTTCTTTGTACAATAATCAACTGGGCCCAGTTGTATAAAGGGCGGATAACGCTATCCAACGGATGAATCGCTATCCGGCGGATAAGTGATAGCAACACGTAGAGAGTTATCCACCGAATAGAGTAGTTATAAAAAGCGGGTTGTGACACATTTTGAGGGATTTAAAGCCCTCGCATGAAGTCGAAGCGAGTGGTCACTCAGTCCAAGATGGCGCCCAAACCCTGACTGAAAGAAAGAATCAACACAAATAGTATCCGTTCAAACGTCGAACGCAATAGTATATCAGCGCTATTATTGTTATCATTATGATTAGCATCATTACAGTTATAATCACTATTAATAAATAATTTCTAATTTCTCCCTATAATATCCCCTCCCCCTCACACATCATGGTCAGGAGAATAAAGGTAACGATCCCGAACTGAAGATCTTGATTGCTAAAAAAATTCTCCTTTTCAGTACCTCAGGAGTTAAAAAGGGAAGAGTATATATTGAGAGACACTTCAATTTGGGAAGATGTTTGACAAATTTTCGATCTTTTCTTCCGGCAGGATGAACGTGTGTTTGCTACTTCTTTTGGCCATGCTGGTTACCATGACAATGGCTTTGTCTCCGCGTAAATTACATCGTCACGTCAATGAAGAGGATCGGCCGGTTTACAACGTAACAACTCTTAATGTTTTTTTTGCATATGTTTTGTCGTTTGTTTACATAAATCGTGCGTTATATTTCTATACTTTTTTAGGTGAAATAACTAACATGAATCACAAATGTATCTCACTTTCAATACTCTCTTCTGTGTATCACGGTGTATCATTCGCCTTATGAGGATCCATCTTGTCTAGTATGCGTCGATTAGTTCGAAGCTTTAACATCCCTTCACTCGGGTATTTGACCTTTTGAGGATTGAGGATTGGCTGGTTCAAATTCCCGCCCGCTTCCTCCGAGCCATAATTGCGTTCAAATGCCCCTCCTAATATTGAAAGATTCTTTGTTTGGTCAACGAATGTTGTGGAATTTAGCGAAGCCAAATTTCAGTTTTTTGTGCATGTGCTGCTGCTGGATTTTTCGCTTTTAAGTATCATTCTATGATGTGAAAATTGTCTCTCTCACGAAAGCAGATTCTTTTCCGTAAAATTCCTCCATTACACCACGTGTATTACGCTGTAAAGACTTTACACTTCACGTTCAAATGCCCCACCACACCACGGCAAGGTTCAAATTCCCCAACCCATTGGGCACGTAAGGCGTTCAAATGCCCTTGGGTTGCCCGGGGGATGTTGAAGCTTCGATGTCACCTTAATGTCGACCCTAGACAATCAATCCTAAGATAATCATGCGATCAACATGATCCACCTAACTTCACTTCTCTAACATAAAGGCATGTCAAAGATAATTCAATTTTGCCATAGTCTTAAGACTATTTTCTATACATTATAAATCTTCAGGAACGTATTAGCTGATCGAGCGTTGGAGAAGATGCACATTTTTAACCTTTGAATAGTGTTTTTTTTTTTTAATATGGCTGAGCTATGATTTTGTGAAATTTCCCCCGACCTTAGACAATATCCCCTACCCGACACAAACTTTGTGACTTATAAAAGGCCAACCACAATGGGAATTTTCCATTAAGTCATGGTATTAAAGTATTCTCCAAAAAATTTCAAATCCTCAGAAACGTGATAACTGCGAGAGCTGTGGATCAGGAAAGTGTTGCGACCCAGGCACTTGGTTAGTTGCGAAAAAAAAAAAACCAGTTGCTATCAGTTCTGCAGGGAATCATATGATTGAAAATTAGAATCAAAAGAGCTATTATCATTTATCGACAGTTATAACAACGACTGCTATCCGCCACTTGTAGATTGGCAGCATTCTTTCTCACCTCGTACCTCGTTGTCCGCGTAAAGTGTGGATGGGGACTGGATGTTCTCGACAGGTCTCTCTGAATCAGGTCATGCTCCCTGCTTGGGTTCGGGTTTTGGCGAATGTAAAACACCTGTGGACTAGGCAAATGGATTGCATGCCAGGGTTGTTTGATGGTTTAAGTTAGCTTCATGCTTCAAAACAGAATCTCCAGGGCCATTTGAGCAAGCGCTGTTGATATTTGCAGCTCAGTGCGGAATCATATGATCAAAAATTTAATTTCATATTGCTTTTTCCCATTTTTTAACAGTTATAACAAGTTTTGCTATCAACCAATTGTGGCAGTGCCGGTGGATGAAGAAAAAGAAGAGGAAACAGAGGGAAAAGAACAACGCCGAGTCTACAGTGGCATCTTGAACAAGGAAGAGGACTGAGTTGTCAAAGGTAGTTAAGTAATATAAACGCGCTTTACGTTTTGAGAATAACAGATGAGAGATAAAATATATTTGCATATGACGTCATCTTTCCGTCAAGTTCTATTACAATAACGTCCTTTTCAGCATTATTGTATACGAAATTAACCCTTTAATCCGCAAGAGTGAAAGTACGCGCACTTGCTTCTACACGCAAAGTCACAACATCGTCCTCGAAGAGATACCGCTGGCCTAGCATACTGCATATATGACACACGAAATTAACCCTTTAATCCGCAAGAGTGACCAACTTCTAATTTCTCCTTTCAGTTTCACTCTTGAATCCAACGCAAAAGGTCATGAAACGATCATTGATTCAAGAAGCTCCCAATTGTCAAAAAAATTATCCTTGTCAGTATAAGAGGGAATGTGTAGAGAACAGTGTGGTGAAATGTATAATGGTGTTAGGGTGTAAAGGGTTAATTTACCAACGAGACACTTACCTCTGAATCCAAGTTGGGGGGTGGGAAGTGGGGATGGGGAGGAGAGATGGGGAAGGGGACTGGGGAAAGGCGGGATGCGGAAAGTGGGAGAAAATTATACATACAAACTAATTTTTTTACACATTCTGTACCAAAACGAAAGACAAGCACGGTGAGCTTTTTATGATATGGAACAAACAATGCAGTTAATTTTCTTGTACGTTGATTTTTATCATTTTTCTTTTTCTCACAGTGCTACCAACGTCCGCTATTTTTGATGCTTTTCGATGAACAGGAACGATAATTTCAAGGCGATCGAAGTAATTGTAATTGTGTGCACTGTTTAGAAGTATTTTCGTTGTGTCTCATGGGGTGTCATGGTAACAGTGTGTTTCAGCACTATTAAGCTCATCATTCAGTTAACATTCGGCTTGAATAAAATGTAATCTTATGAAAACGGACGGTCGCTTTGTTTGTTTTGTTTCTAGCCATAATTTTAAGAAGAGATCATTCAGGAACACAGTATGCTACAGAGCTATTTTAAAACTCAAAGCGTCAAGCACGACTCAGCCAAAACTAAGAACCAATCCTGCTTGAGAAGATAAGGCGAAGTCAAGTATATCAAACATACCTCTAACTAACAGAGTAACCAAACTGTAAGTTGCGGACCGAATTTTTTTCCGCACGTATTCATGGCCCGCGCGCGAAGCGCTAGGGCCATAAATCCAAGCGGAAAATATGAGGTTCCGTAACTTACAGTACGGACCGATAAACTAGGGTAGTAAAGTGTTAACTATACCTGTAAAGTTCAAATGGAGGGGGAGGATTTGAATTCAGATAAACCTTTGAATTAAGTGGACCCTACAGTGAAATTCGGCTCGCTAAATTGGCCAATAAAAGCACACGCTCTAACTAAGAGAAATAATAATACCGCCGTAATTAAAAACGAAACAAATCAAAACAAATTGAAGGAGGTCAACATTTCGTTTTTTGAAACTAAAAATGGAACAATTTTTGAAGATTACAAGATTTTCTGTGACTGGGTAGGCTCACAATGATCTTCCATATCCAAAATGAATATCATCTAGCTATAACAGTTTGTATCACGTCTTGTTTGTAAGCATCCCAGTTGATCCTTTCTTGAAGATTTCTTTGAAGCGTCTCTCTTGACGGGTAAGAACGCACCTTAAATGAGACAAAGTAAAAAAGCGTACAGGGTAATTTAGTATTATAAACTAAGTTGATAATGCCAATTTGCCCCTGTAAAGAGTTTCAAAGCTGACGTTTCGAGCGTTAGCCCTTCGTCATTCGCTCAGACGAAGGGATAACGCTCGAAACGTCAGCTAAAACTCTCTACGATGGCCAATTTACGTTATCAACTCAGTTGAAAATACCAAATTATCTTCTTATACTCTCCCACCGACGCAACACCACGATTTCTTTAGAAATTTACTCCCTTCTTAAAACTGAAGTTTACGAAGTAAGTGATAGTCCTTTAATGCTTAAGATATTAGATCTGTTCATTTCATAGTCAGAACTGCAGAATTAACACCAATGACAACCAATGTTTCGGAATTTCTATCTTAGAACAAAACTTGTCTTCAAAGGCATTTTTGATCTCAGAGTCGAAAGGTGATGCGGGATAATCTCATACTCAAACCCTCCATGGCTAAACAGTCCAGTTAAATTACACGGTAGGACGTGGGTACGAGATTAGATCCAGGATTACACCAATTTTGCCGAAATGTGCTCTGTGCTTGGTTTAGAAAACCTCCGCCATCATTTCAGTCCCAGTCTTTGGTGCCTCTTCGGCTTTAAACCTTTTCATTCCCAACATCCTATCGCAGCTTATTCTTTCCTCTAGCTGCTACACATTTCCTTGTAATTCAGTTTTGAGAATTTGGTGTTAGATCACGATATCAACTTCTACTTGATAAGTTTGAAAATTCTCATTAACTGTATGCTGGATAACGTATGAATATTACAGGGAAAATTTACATGTCAAACACTTCTGGGAGTTAAAGGATTAAGGCAGGTTATACAATCTTATAGTGAGCTCAGTTTTAATGGCCTCAGAGTCGTAAACCTTTAGTCGTAAACCTTTAGTCGTAAACCTTTTGTATTTTGAGACTCGACCGAAGCACGTAAGATACTCCACCATTTAAGGTCCCAATGGGAGTGATAATTAGATAAACGACGTTTGAAGATAAAGGTAAAATAGAAGTCTATAATTACATTATGTCGGATCCATTTTTTGGTTAGCTCGCTTGCTTGGCTTATGAAGAACTTCTTAGAAATCATAACACATTCAGCTCCTCGACTGACCTGAAATCAGAGACAGAAAGTATTTTTCTGTTTGAGTTTGAGTTCGCAGAATGAAAACTAAGAAGTGCTTTTAATGTTCCATTCCGGTATCAAACCCTGGGCTTGAAAAGCTTGTTAGGGGGTATATCGGTGAGGTAGGGGAGGAATTATAATTGCCATGCATTGGAAAAAATGGAGTTGAGTGGAGGAATATAATCATGATACTTATCATGTACTACTCAGTCATAGTGGGCGGTCAGTCGTTGTGGCAAGTCTTACTGATCAGTGGACTGTTTCCAAAACAGGTCTCTCCGGCTCATTTTCTCATTTCCTTGCCATCACCGTTTCATTACTCTGAATAGTTCGAATTTTGTGACTCGCCTCGCAGGCGAAGTTTCGTTGCGGAAACGAAAATTTTGATCAGAAATCTCGGCAAAGTTCATCATCAACAAGAGACTAATTCTATTCCTCAGCCTTTGAGAATTAAGAAATCTAAGACAGAGGTGGAGGAAGGATCTACCAGAATGTTTTTTTGTTGATATTCACCCATAGATTGGCCAATAATTACAAACTATGTCATAGCTACTCACAAGGCTGACACTGGCTTGTTGAAGGAGCTGAGAGTCTTCATCAAAATTAGGAAGCGTTGATAAACCCTTGAAACAGGAACACGAACAAACAAAAATACGTTTTAGTGGAATAAGAGGGCATATGAGTAAAGGAAGGGATCCATCAGTCAGCAGTTTGGAAACGACAATACTTACGAAAACACTCCTAGGATGAAGAAGACCCAACTGCACAAAGGCTGTTTGTTTTCTAACTTGACTGTTATTGGTGGACGACACTTCAGTGACGGGGAACTGTTGATATAAAAGAAGCAAAGCGAAAATGTCATAAACAAGATAACAAACATAGCTGCCTTTGAATTCGTTTAAACATGTGCTCATTAGAATTGGGAAATGACATTTTTTCAGTCTCTAGTTTCTCTCTTAATCTGCAAACATCATTTCAAAAAACGTGCGCCTGCATGGAGTCATTGAGTCTTTTTCATACCACAGGTGGAAGGGATTTTGTGCGACGTCCTTCCACATGGTATCTTGAAAAAGCTGGTGATAAGAAAAAAAACCAAATTACTACACTAAAAATCAATTTTTCTTTAAGCTTGTCATCTCTCTCACATCACTGCTTTAGACTCTTGCTTGGTGTGCGACTGTGACCTGACTTAAAACAAAACAAAACTCAAGCAGAAGTTATATCTGGCTGATCGCACTAAAATCTTTTTCAAGCGGACACCATACAAAGCCCTGTACTATCATGCCGTTCTAAAATGAGAAATAGGCATGAACGGGTTCAAGAGGAGATTGAGCAGTAGAAGTAGCAAGGCTCAGATGCAGGGAATAGGGCAACCTGAAGAGAGCGAGCGAACAGCCTAAAGACAGAAGAAGAGCAGCCTGGAGACAGGGAGGAAGCATCTTGGGGAGAGAAAGGGAGCAGCCTAAGGAATAAAGAGCAAGCAGTAGCGGGGAAAGAAAAAGCAGTCTGGAGACGGAGAGGGGAAGCCTAAAGACATAGAAAGAGAAGTCTAGACAAATAGGAGACAGAGAGAGGATCCTGGAGATAGAGAGGAGGCAGCACCAGCTCCCCCCGGCCCCCCCTCCCCCCTCCCAAGGGGAAAGAACAAGCAGTCTGGAGACAGAGGGGGGGACCCTGGAGATAGAGTGGAGGAAGCGCTATCTTCCCCTCCTAAGAAGAGAAGGGAACAATGATGATGACTGTAAGAGGTAGCATGGAATTTTGCCTCATATCTCTCACCGTTCCACCCACCTAATTTGTCCATGTTCTTTGGCATTCTTCTTAATCTGGAAGCGGAGTAATTAGTTTTCCTGTGACGTTCCTCCGTTAAATGCGCCAATTTTTCTGCTGCGGTTATGTCTTCGCTATATCGATAATGCTTTTTTCCACACAACTTTGGTTTGGATATTTCAAGTCTCAAAAGAATCTGGCAAACTCCCTAAAAAAAAAAACAAATAGTGATCCTAGCTACCCAATCTTCATTGTCGGCGGGGGAACGTTTTGCAACCTTCTGGGGCTCGTCGTACATCAAACCAAACGTACATGCCTACATACATTTACCAAAATGTCGTTCAAGTAGTTCTTTGCATTCCCCCCCCCCCCCGTGGGGCTTCGCTGCATAAGCTCTAGGTATTTGTGAGAGGATATCGATGACGCTAGCAGTCGACCATCGAATATCAAGAGTAGAAAACCTTAAGCGGTAAATTAGCCGATGGCGTAGTTGGGGTAAAATGTCCTCGATACCTTCTGTCAGTGACGCATCATCATGATTGTGAATGTAGGGTTAATGAGGGTATACGACGTTCACCCGATTTAAATTTCCCGTCTGGAGGAAAATAATCGCGGCGGTGTAAATTTGCAGATCAGTCATAAAATGTTCCCTCCCCCTCCCCCACGATGACTCACCGAGACAATGACGTATAGCCAGTCAGATTTGTTACTGTCTTTTACAATCACTGTTCCTCTTCTTTTCATGAAACAAAAAACGTCGGTAAGTTGACAATATAGGAAAAATTACAGGACGCACAAACGAAAAAAATCAAAGTAACAGAGAAGAATGGGATTAAGAATTCTATTAGTCAGAAAGGAGTGAAAGAAAATCGACGAACCGAAGCTTAAATGCAGCATAAAAAAATAAAAAGATAGTCAATGTTTCAGTCACAGAAACGGTCAGTTTCATCGATCAGTTGACAAAGCGAGCTCTCCACCAAACTGTCACTGATTTATCAAAGAAGCAAGCAAGAAAGCAGATAGAAAGTGCACTAAGTGGTCAGTCGGTTAGTCAGTCGGCCCCTTCGTCCGTCCGCTGATCCGTCAGTCCATCGGTAGGTCTGACAGTTTATTAGTCAGTGAGTCAGCGCGTGCATGGATAAGTCAATTGGCTAGTTGATCTTGTCCAGTCGGTAATTCAGATCAGTTACTCAAATGGTCACCTAGTCGCTTAGTTGGTCAGTCAGGGATAGTCCGGATAGTCCGTCGGTTCGTAGTCTGCCAATCCAGTCCGTACGTTAGTTTAATCATTCAAGCATTCAGTCTCTTAGTGAGGCCAGCCAATCCGTAATTTGGGACGTCATTCAGTGATTCAGAGAGCAAGTAAGTGGGTGATTGACTGAGTGAGTGACTCGCTCAGGCAGTCATTAAGTCAGCCAGCCAATCAGGGAGCTGGCGTGTGTTCAGTTATTATCATGCATATATGTGAAAAAAAATTGAGCTATCCTTAGAGACTGTTTCACAAGTAACAACTGTACACAGTTTGCGTAGCATACCTGAAGTAATGAAAAAGGCAGTTTTCCGGGTGTGCAAGTAGTAGATCAACCGGCCAGTCGGCTAGAAAGTCTAGATTTCTGAAAAGTCAACATGAAAAGATTGAAATCTGTGGATATATTCAGAACTGCACGTTTAACAAGTGGTATACGATGGATTTTACGCCAAAATGAACGACGTGAACAAAAAGTTCCATTTTTTGGATGATTGGTGCCCAGTGTGAATATGAGGGGCCTCTCCAAGCGCTTTTATTACGATTTCCCGCCTAAGGCATTATTCCACTGGCGAAGGCATTTAAGGAAGGAAAGGAGTTGAGACAGCAAGTCCCAGGAAAAGGTTTCTACTAGTGAATTCAAGAGGGGAGGGGGGGAGGGGAATCATTTTGAAAAAGGATGCAAAAGAGCGAAAGAGAACTCCTGGGACGAAAATGGAAAAAGCAAACCGATCGAGGAAAATGAGAAATGATGTTCTACATGAAAAAGATTTGTCTACCTGCAAAATTTGAGATGCGCAGGCTCTTCTCCTGATTTGGTCTGACCCATAAAAATTCTCTTATAATCCTACAAGAAACAACGAAAACCGACTTTCTTTTTCTTACCATTGATCTTTGTTAACTAAATAAGGATTTTTTTTCTGTGTAACTGTGATCTTGTAATAAGATTCTACCTCCTTTCCTATTACTAAGAGCTGAACAGGATCGTTGCTGACCACAGATGCTGTCCTGCGGACGTTGTTCATAATGGCCGTCTCCTAAAAAAATTGAAATGATATTGAAATATTTAATGTTGGTGTTTATGAAAGGAAAGGTGGGTAGACTTTTTAGTATTTAGGTAACAAGAGTGATAATGCAGCACTGATTGGAGGGGACTCCAGAAAGGCCAGTGCTAAGAAACTATCTGATGAGCCTCCTGTAATGATCCCAACACTTTTTTCACTAACGTCTACTCTAGTTTCTCTTCCTCCTGGCAACAGGAAAATACTTTGGCGTATGGCAAACTGTTTCGGTTCGCAGTGCAGTAACGCGTTGTTTCAGTCCGCAGTGAAAATGCTGTTTCTTGATCGCGACTTGCGGTCATTACATAGCCACAGCGAGTTTTCTAGAATAGAAGGCCATAGCGAGCTTGCAAACATTTGTTAATCGGAAAATGTTACACGCCCGCCGACGCATCACAAAAATTGCTCTCAAGAAATCAATAGTTCACTTTGGTGATGAAAAAAGTCAGCCTCAGTATGAGTACTGAATGGTGGTAGGTGGGTCACCAAAGTTTGTAAATTTTTTTCAACAAGATAGTGGCTCTCAGCACAGTTGTCACTTCTCCACACCTCACCATATGACAGCGGATATGTGGATGATAAGACAGTTTGCTTAATAACGTTTGATGCACATGCAGTCGTATTTTTTGAAACGGGGGTGTTAACCAAACAATGGCTGGTTTTGGTTTAGATGAAAACCTGTTGACGATTAGATAAACTGAATTTTCTACTTACTCCAAAACTGGATCCTCTCTTCAGTGTTGCCAAAGACGTAAATGGCGAGTCCTTTGTTGGATCATTTTCGGATAGCACAGTTACTACATTGTGATACGGAAATTAAAAAACACAGTTATTAATGAGCAGAATCTCACAATAGGACAACAAATGATTCGAGTTTGGGTAAATCGTATCTGAAGCAAGAGGAGATGATTGTCGAGAGTCAAACACCCAAGGGAGCAAAAGTGCAAAGCCTTGAAGAACACTCTTTATCTTGTCTTATGTATTTCTTCTTTACCGATGATTTCACATTTCCTCTCTCACGACCTCTTCTTGTGTTTCCGTAATAAGCTTCACTCCGGCTAGCAGTACCGTCCCCCATTCAGTCGATCTCTAATTAAATATTACTCACGTATCTTCTCCTCAACGCGTGCGATTTCAACTCATGCCATATTGATTACTCAACGAGCTCGAGGAGCTACCATCAAAGCTCTATGTTTTAAGGAACCTGCTAATGAAATATTCTCTAGCCGTTATGGCCAACAAAGCAACGCATAACTTATCTTTATCGAGGTTGTAAAATGAGAATAGGTATGAGATTTGGTAAGATGCATGGAGGCAGTCTGAGGAGTGTGAAATGAAACCTGCGAGAGGTTAACCTTTAGAATGAGCTGTGGGTGTACTGACTTTGTAGAGCGTTACGAGGATTTAACATCAGTTACTTACCCGTTCCATTGATGATGAAATAAAAGTTTTCGGCCACGTGATCTTGTTTTATGATAACTTTATTCGGGGGAAGGCTTGAAAGAAAGCAAAAAAACAAACCAAATTTAAAAGGATTGGTTTTTAACGAAAGAAGTCGATCACGGCTCTGAGGAACAAAAAAGCCAACAAATAATTTAACCATCACAGAAATTTCTCATTGATTTAACGCCAAGTTTCGAAAAACTTCCAAAGCGTGCTACAGAAATTGCGACAAAATGCCTTGTTTATTCCGCGACAAAGGCTTCAAGTTGTTCACGGTATGTAACCTCAAATAACATGACCTTTTAACGAATAAAAACGAGGGAACCACTACATTTCTAAAGAAGAAAAAAAACCATTATATGATTTTTTTTATACCTTTGTAACCAGGCAACTTTGCACACATCTTGTTGCATATGGAGAGGGAGCTCAGAGAAAGATTCCAAGGTTTGAAGAGCGTACAACACCTGTTGGAACCAACCGAAATGACATGAACAAACGTCTTATGGAAAGAAGTGTGACCTACTACGAGATCATTTTTACTTATTTTGTTAAATTTGCGACTTAAAAGCGCCTTAGAAGCGATAACATGTTTTCGACATTCAGTAGGAGCCCACTGATTCGGTGTAAAGTTCATCAGTTGAAGCATACACAAGTTACCCTGCAGCTCTCTCTAAAGGGACCCCATTGTTTTTTCGGCGGGTGAGTACAAAAGTATTCTCGAGACAAACATTTTCCCCTGCATGTGTCGTTGTCTATCCAAACAATTGAATTCTTTTCAATGTTTTTTATATCCCCTTCAAATAGGTCGTGTTCCCCTAAGCCTACTTCTCGAATAACAGCGATTCAATTCAACTTTCAGTAATGTAAAGGTAACTCACAGTTTGAAGTTGGTCGCTTGTGCGCACATCTGGCCGGGTGGTTAACAACTGTTTGACTTCCTTGCTAATCTTTACCTGTCAATAAAACCAGAAAAAACTTGAAAATGTAAACTTGCAAATGTGAACACCGGCTTTTGACCATCGGCTGATGTTTTAATGACAGCGATTTTCTAATGCATTGCCTACATTTATTACCTGTCGATTCTTAATTAATAGTGTTTGACTAAAGAGGAAGCGTGAGATTGGCCTCTTGAATAGCTGGCATTCTTTCCGAACCATCAAAAGCGAATTTTCATTTACAGAACGCCTTGGGGACATAGAAAAAGTGTTCCCTGAATAGAGATGTCCCTTTTCAATGATATAGATACAAAATCGTTTTTAAACACTTTTTTTGATTTGGGGTTAAACAATTTGAGTCCCTTGAAGGGTGTTGTCATCTGTAGAGGGAGTCCGACATGAAACATTAATCTTTGCTTATTTAAACTAAATGATTTAAAGCGCATTTAGTGTGTACCTCTTTATTGGCCTTGAATTGTTTTGGGTCAAACACAAGAGCAGAAGTAGAGAAACCAGGAATGTTCTGTTTATTGTCACCCTTTAAGTGTTTTTCTCTTGTTGTCATGTAGCCTTCCATGATCTCCAGTAACGACTTAGAAATTCCATCCTCGCGGAAAATGGCTTTGGGGTCACTGAACAAAAAAGGCACATGAATCCATTTTAATCTGTATACTATATCTTCAGATATTCAGCTATGCTCAACGAAAGACTGAGAGGAGACTGATAATATAGCTTGAAAAACGGGCATCATTTGTTATTGTTGTCAATCGATGTCAAGTTGATTGAGGGGCGAGAACGGGGAGAGAACGATGCGTTCTCCAAAAGAGAGTGAAGATTGGGCGACGCCTGGGTAAAGGAGGGCAAAAAAAAAGGAGAAAATTGCTCCTTGTGTCGTGCGTCATTCGCGTTTCCGTGCTTGCCTCGCGTTGCTCTCACTCGATTATTAGATGGAAAAATAATGCGCTTGTTAATAAAAGCTAATGATGTTATTAAGCGCTTTTAACAATGAGATCGCGCAAGTAGTAACCGTGTTATTTCGGATTTAAGATCAGCGTTCGGAAAATACACAAAATCTCCTCAGCGCCGATATTTCATAGCGCTCAGTTTTGTTTTAGATTTACTTGGTACATTCATCGCATGTCACGCCTCGAGATTGACTCTCCTAAAGAAAATAAATGGCAACCCACCTTTTAAGAGCATTTCCAAGTCTAATCACAATCAGCACTATTCTTGCTAATTTTTTGAAACTCTGCAGGGGCTGTGGAAATAAAGCAAACTATTTAACTAATTGAATAAAGACTAAATATACATACAGATCAGAGATTATTTCGTGCGCACATCTGCCAGAAAAAGTGTAGTAATACGGTAGTATTTGCCAGATACAAACTTATCTGTGTCAGTGCTGAAAGAAGTACTGTAAGTTTACCATTTAAATCCTGGACATTAAGGGCCGGTTATTTTTACGAGGTCTAACCGAAACCGCGGCGTTACGCAAGCAGTGTGCTCTATGTATTCCTCTTAAGAGGGTTTTTTTCACTAAATAAATTTCCTTTCACTACTATCCTTTGGCTCGCTTGACACTGTTCACAAAAATGAATGTTCAGATATAAGATTCGGCTAAATTCAAAATAGTTTAGAACGCCGTTTTGTTAGACAACGGCTAAACTTTGATGATAAATAATCGGCCCCATGCAAATAAAAGGCCTACGTCATGTAGCATTTGATAACCAATAAACTCGTATTGCTCGGCATAACGAGCCCGGATGGGCTCCACACCGCTGCAGCTGGGACACCAAAATTAGGAGAATGAAGAAAACTGAAGTAATCTTCATACCCTACTTGCATGCTTTATTTTTAAGAGCGCTTCAGGCCCAGAGCGCTCTCTATTTGTTCAAAATTCCCAGCTTATTCGGTGGGTAATATTCTGAGACAGTCTGACCGTAGTAACCGGAAAGTCACCACGCCATTTGATTCCTCTTCGGTCGCACCATGTTTTACATTGAATTATAGTCACTCAACTGCGGTTTACCGTTTCAAACTTTAAGACCCAAGCGCTTTTAAAATGAATCCACACTGTGCCTAACGTTTATGCTTTTCCTGTTCTATTATTCTTGATTCATTTGAAAGGAAATGCTCTTCGGCAATGCAAAGCGCTTATAAAATTTCGGCGCGATCATCACCAACAACCTCAGAGTTCATTTCCCCTCATTTCACATCGAGACTGACAGTTAGTTCGGCTTCAAAATCAAGGGGCACCTACATACGCTATACGTTATTTCAAGCACCTTAGAAAGATATCATAATTTCAATATTTTAAATCGAAGTATACTTGGGAAATGAGAGACCGACAGTACGAGAAAGGAGATGACATTAAAATAAACACAACGTATAAACCTGAGTTGAGGTAAATCTTTGCTGCAATCGTTAAGTTTTGACATGTGCCACGGCTTTCTGTTACCCCGGCCTAAATATATTGTTGCGAACTAATCGTATCGTTCGAGACAAACTCTTTTTACGTCTGAAGAAGGAAGCAGTTACGTTAACTACTTACGAGCTTGAGAAATCCTTTAACCTAAAAATTTAAACAATTATTGCCTTGACAATGATAGACTCAATTTCCTGATAACTTCCAAGTGGCATACTGATACACCCAGCCGTTCACCCAGCCGTTGTATTAGACATGAGCCATAACAATTGTTTTTAGGACAAGGAAAAAGCTTATTAAATGAATACGACGGAATAAAATTGTTTAGAACCTTATCTTTGCGGTTATAGCCTGTTTGATGAAATACTTACCTCGAAATGAAAGGTGGACGCATTCGATCTGCTCAGACCCATTTTCTTCCATCGTTTGATGCACAAACGGACGTTTTCGTTTTTCGATCCAAGCAACTGACCGCCTTCATCGCTTACCGCTGCTGTGCTTGGTGTCGAAGTTCGTGTTAAATCTGGGGCTGACGGTTCTTTTATCGTAGGAAGGCTATCGTGTCTATGACTTGATCGAGAATGTAATCGCGATTTAGTGTTTTTAGCGCGTTCACGCTCGGTTACTGAACAATCGACGTCTGTAACGTTGATGACGTTCTTAACTGCACTTAATTCTCGCCAGTTCGGATTTGTATCTCGCTTTGAAAACAAATACGGTCTCTTTTCAAACGATGGAAGCATTGACGTCGTTGAAAGGAAAGGATAAACCCTTGAAAAGTCTCAAAACTGGGGGAATATGACTAAGAGGCAAGTACATCAACTGTATCACATGTCGCCTTGGATATAATTTTGAGCTGACACGCCAGAGAAATCCGAGTAGAGAGGTTAAATACCTTTGACCCTTCAATAAAAACCCTTCTCCATTTTTGAGTGTTTTCGTGATAACAATAATTTGTTTCAAATCTAAATAAAACAAACAATTACCGAGAACAACCTTTTCTTTAATTTAAATTAGAAACTGCATTTCTTTTGGCTTGTTAATTGCAACAAAGCGTGATATCAGTAAAGTCGTGACGAACGATAATTGCGTGCGCTCAAATCCTGGCAGAACAATAAACAAAGGCAGGAACATAATCTATTGGCTTGTGGCATTCATCAAACTAGATTTAACTAAAATTATAACGTCAAGAAACAAGGTTTAAGGAATAAGTTTCGCACCGAAATCTGGATTTCGCTCTCTGTACCTAAATACGAGGGTGTGTTTTGATCTAATTTCAGGCTTCCGGATTTTTCAAGTGTTCATTCCGGTGTAAAAATTAATCCATCTGTTTATAACATATCGTGGCAATCTTTGTTCCCAGGTATGGCGTAACATACCGTTCAAAATTCAGTCAGGGTATTTTCCCAATCGAAAAATCAATTTTCGTGTCGGAAATCAATTAACACCCAGGTTCTCTCTACTATCCGCGCGTTGGTGTGACGATCAACGTTTGGGAACAAAAATAAGGCAACTGAAGGCAAATCGGCACACGCAACCTGTTTACAACCTGGACCAGAAATACGCCTGCGCGGACGCACAATTGGTTGACAAAACCCACTTCGAGTGTTACACGGGTACAGTTAGGAAAACGCTTTGGATTGATTTTAGAAACTAAGTTTAACCGAGGTGTTAACTTCCTCCTAGAGCACAGAGGAAATCCATAACCAATTATGCTCAGGATTAAAAACCTTTCACATGATTCGGCTTCTCGGAGTGCGTTATGTAAGTGCAATGCAAAAGGATTAGCTCTTAGCTGTTAACAGTGATCGAAAATTAAAATTCTCCTCTCAGCACATGATCCGGCAAACAGGTGAGAAGAAGACACGAAGTCAATATGTGGATGATGTCACCTTGATACAACACCAAATTGTCTCTGGAATTAAAGAAAGGTTTAGAAGTCCGTTTAGGCTCCTTTTCCGCTTCTTTTTGTAGTCCAGTCCTTGTATGGGTCTTGTACTTCCCTTGAAGGTAGATGAGCGTACTTTTCCTGGTCTTATTGATGAACTGACAAATTTAGATACCTTTTCAAAAAATCCTGACGCTTTACAAACCTCGATAACCTGTTGTAACTCACCCTTAATAACTTGATCTCTCTTGAGCTCAAAGCTCTACTCCGACGTCTCACTCTTAACAGCACCAAGGCAGGCTGTACCAGACCCTTCGCAAATACACTATTCGACCGTCGGCGTTGACCTACGGATCCTCGGCGGTCAGACGTCCGCTGTGGCTGCATCTCAATAACAGAGACCGGTGAAGACCGACTCTCTTTAAGAACCGGGGGATGTGATTGCGAGGTGGTGTTGGTGGAAAATCGTGGTCGCGAGAGCCGGATGTCTTGAACGCCTGAAAAGCTGGCTCGTCTGGTCCTAAATCGAGACGGTTCCAGCGAATTACAACTGGGTGTCAGCGTAATATCTGGGACACTCAGCATCATACTTTGGTCTTTCACTTGCCTCTCTGTACCAGATGATTCTTGGCGTTGGTCATTGCGCTTGTAACCTTCGCTTAGGAGAAACTGAAACAGTCCAATTTCGGTTTCTTTCAAGGTGTTTTCGGGCCATATCATTCAAGCTGACTTTAAATTATTCTTCAAGCTATCTGACTAAGCGAACATCGCACGATCCACTATCAGTGTCAGTCGAGGTGCTAACATCTTGCTAACGGAGCAACTGAGATAAAGTGCAAGACAATGCTTTTTTTACTGTTGAATAACCACTATTGTGATCTAGATTGTAAATTAAGAAATAAACGTTTTGACGAGAAAAACATCAATTTTTTAAGCAAGTGCGAAGTTTCGATCACATCTTGTTCTCCGGAAACATTACACGCGATGCACAATAAAAGGTTTGCCATTTGCACCTTTGACGTCACCTTTAACGGACCAAGGTCAGGATTACACAGGGGAGATAAAAGACAACTTAATATTGTGATTGTTTGTTGAGCAAAAGTACATTCAACTCGGAGCGAAACACATTTAACAAAATATTGTTCTGATCTGCTCCAATCGCTCTGACGAAGGGCTAACGCTGGAAACGTCATCTTTTAAACTCTTTTCGGTGGCCAATTTACGTTAACAACTCACTTGATAATATTAAATTACCAGTTATACTCTCCCCCCGACGCAGCACCACAGTTTCCTTAGAAACTTACTCCCTTTAACAAAATATTGGCATGGTAACAGAGAAAACAACTTAAGAAATACCTGTGCGGGAAATGTTTCCATAGAACCTTATACTATTCCAAAACTAAGCTCAAGTCTCAAAAGCAATCCGTGGTTTTCGTTAAGCAAACAACAGTATGCATATGAAGTTTAGGGTTATGCGGAAATCTTGCCATTGAGTGAACTGTAAAGTAAAGATGTTTCTAGATGGGAGGATTGAAAGCACATCATGAAAAGACTGTGACTAGGGCTCGAAATATGATTACCTAATATCCATTTGAGTTTCGAGACATTTAAAGATTATGCTATGCATTACCCTGGAGCCCTACGCCGCGATCCAACTCGATGTGAAAATCCTGATTCAGTTCTCTGAAGAATGGAGACGAGGAATATGTTTTCCTCGAGAAGTTACAAAAGGGTATAGTGTGTGAGTGAAGAGGCGCATTTGCAAATAAATTCAACGAAAAGGACGAATCATTTCTTGGAACCACATATCATTTATTATGTTTTAAGGACTTGTTTTGAGATTAAGTGTTGAATTTATTGGTGCTAGAAGTTTGTTAACGATGTAATAATCTTGCCTTTTTTCAGTTTTGTGGTCGTTACAATTTAGTAAGAATGAAAAAGAAACCCAGCCGGATTTTTTGTTATTGTGGTATGCCACAGGCACCCCAAGGAACAATTCCGGCAAACTGCGTCAGCCTATGGCTTTTCTAAGTATGTTGGTATAAAGGGCTAAAAGTTCAATTGTGAACTGAAAATTATAATGTAAATTGACCTCACTTTTTAAGTAGTTTAACCAGATCAAACTGACCCTTCCTTTCGGTTTCTGGTAGAAATAGTAGAATTGCAAACTCACTATCGCCCTCGGCTATTACGAGGTTGGCTATACATTTAACAAAAGAGGTCGCTCTATTTTGAAACGCAAAGCGATTCGTGTCGTTAAGACTACAATACTTAGTTACTGTTTCACGTTTTGCTTTTGCGCAGCAAAAAGAAAAAAAAAATCCAAAGTAAATTCGAGTTCACAATTGTAATTCACCGCCCGCCGCCAAACATGTTCCCAAATGGCATTCCGCCCGGAAAGCCACCACCAAAACCCCCGCCAGGAAACCCACCTCCAAACCCACCTCCAAAACCACCTCCAAAACCACCTCCAAAACCACCCCCGGGAAAACCACCTCCGGGAAAACCACCCCCGGGAAACCCGCTAGTATCAGGTGGCGGGCCAGATCCCGCGGGACCAAACTTCTCGGCGAGTTTGTCGACGATCATCTGGACTCTGGGAAGATGTTGGTATTTTGAGAGATTTGCTGGATTTTGGCTCACATCTTGGAAGGCGGCCATCACTTCAGGATCCTGAAAATCAAAAAGAGAGTCTCTAGTTGAGCCAGAATGAGGGAATTCTTGACCATTCAAAGAGCGTGGTGAAGTAAGAAAACACACAAACCAGGATCACTTTCGATACTCGATTCAAAATTGAGGTTGTGACACAATTTACGACACGGACAACATTTAGTACCAACCTGGAAAGCTTCCAACAACTCTGGATCACTCAGAAGCTCGTTCAAGTTTGGTGTATCGGCCCCTGAAAATTTCAAAAATACAACCGGAGTATTAGAGCATTACATGAATTCACTCAAGTGGGTTATTGAGCTTCCATGATCCACACTTCACATCAGTATTTGTCAAAGAACTCGTGGTTGGAACCTGGAACAATGGCATGAAGGAAATTAAGGAATTACGAGTACTGAGTACTGTTTCCTCCCCACTCCCTATTCCCCCCTCAACAATTCTAACGAATCTTACAGTATAAAACTTTGGGGTAGTAACGATTTCTGAGTTTCTGAGTCTCTTTAGTTAATCACATTTCCCGGGATGATTATCACAAAGCACGATGGCCTTGTTCTTCTGACTCTTAACCCTTAAACTCCTAGGATAAGATTGTTAATTCTCCCCTCCACCTGCTATACATTTCCTTGTAAATAAGTTACAAGAATTTGGTGTTAGATTAAGATAGCAACTTCAACCTGATGAGTTTGAGTATTCTCATTACCTGTTTGCTGGATAATGTATGGATATTACAAGGAGGAGTTACGCGTTAATCACTTATGGAAGATAAAGGGTTAATATGGAATCCAGTCTCCTTGATATTTGCAACTATAAATTTGCCCAATATGTACAGTTCCACTACATAGACACAATACTTTATGTCTAGGTGGTTAGGGCGCTGGACTTGTTATCAGGTTCAAGTCCTCCTCCTGCCACTCACTGGATTTGTTCTCGGTCACCCCGAGTTTAACTCCTTGGCTGCGCGGTGTAAATATCCAACTGATCTGACTCCTGTCAGTTGGGATTTTTGAGAATTTAATGTAACATCGACTCTGAAAAGCCCAGTGGGGACGAGCCAATAAAATATGTATGTATACATTGCTATTCAACAGTAAAAAGGATGTCTTCTGATAGAATTGTCAGAATAAATACCTCCAGGGGCTGCTCCTCCTGGCTCAGGATGAGGGAATGCGTCTTCCCCAAGGTCTGCCCCTAGGTCAGGAGGTGGAAAGCCACCACGGAATGTTGTGCGCTCCTGTGGCCTCTGTTGCCTCTGTTGCCTCTTTTGTCTTTCCTCTTCTTCCTGTTAAGGTAAGAGGAAGTATAGGAAAGAGCATGAGCGAAAACTCGCGTAAGAAGCTATGCTCTTGATAACAGGAAATTGAATAAAGAGCAGTTGGTGACCTTCATAGATTTTAAACAAACTCAAAAAAACTTGAAGAAATTTAGAATGACACTTTTTTGATGCAATTTATTTAACCTCCTCCAGTTCTGTCCCTCCATTAAAGTTTGTGGATAATCTGAGTGTCCTTGTTTTGGGTTCTGGTTCAGGTAATTAAGCCATTTTTGTTATATCTGAGATCATTCTATGATTAATTAGTTGGTGATGATATTGCCCCTTCCTAACCCTTATGGGGACAAGATCTGGTTTAGCTATAGAATAAATTTCATTTACACTCTCTTGCAACTTTTCTTGTAAGAGAAGAGTTGTTATTTAAGGTTTAAGCCAAAACAACTGACAGCAATCTCAAATACCTTTCAACACTTGGTTCAAAATTGCTCTAAAAACTACAAAGACTGGCCCTATGGAGACACCTTACCTTCCTAGCTTTTTCTTGAGCTTCTTTCATCTTTTTCCTGATGAGAGGAATGTTAAAAACAATGTGTAGATCAATACGCGATAGCCAAATTACAGCTGTACAAATCAATGACAAAACAGAAAAGATAACTGCACATAGGGAGAAAGACACATGAGCATGCATAGATATGGAATTCCTCTTTGCGTTGAACATAAGAACAACAACTCTGTTTATTGTAAAGACACCATAAGCCTTTTCTGACAAGGAATGTTAACGAGTGACCTTGGATTGAGAAAAGTGAATGCTTTGTCGTTCATTCATCAACCCAACAACCTGACTGGTAATATCAATCACAAGTAAAAAATTGTTGTAGTTTTACACATGTTCAGTTGCACTTTCTCTCAGGGCTGGAACTCTTTGCAAAACACAAAAGTTTATATAATAAAAGTCTTTATCCTATTACATGTCTGCTTTCTTCTTCTCTTCTTTTTTCTTCTCTTCTTTCTTCCTCTCTTCTTTCTCCAGACGTTTCCGTTCCTGTTTTCTCTGATGCTCTAGTAGAAGTTGTGCCTAAGTAAATCACAATGACAAAATGCTTAATCAAATCTATAAACAATTAAGATCAAACTAATGATCATTAAAATAAATAAAATAGCCAGCCTACAATATTGAGAGTTAACAGAAGCCAATCTATCCAATTAAAATTATGCACCAATCAATTTGAAGCTTTGATATCCCCCATCCCCCCTTCCCCCGAATTCTTTTAAAGTTGAATGAAGAAAGTGAGTTGGTTTGCTTTTTAACATGTTGATATTAAACAGAGAAAACAACTTAGGTATTACATGCACACAAGAAAAAAATAATTCAAATCAATCAGTAATGTAAATTTATACACTTGTACTAACAATAACTTTGCAATGAAAGACAGTCGACAAATGAATTTGAATGAAAACAGAATTTTTTTTTTCTCCTATAAACTGAGAGATTTGTTAAAATTCTCAAGAGCAATTGTTAATTGCCCATAATCTTTCTATCTCTAAATTATTTTAAATATAAAATGAATTAAAACTACAAAAAAATCAGTACCTTTGGTCTTACTTCCCTCAGCCACTCATCAGTTTGTTCATCAAAATCCAGTTTGCATGCCATGGCAAGATCCTTGGCTGCCTCTGCCCAATGACCCAGGAGTCTTGAGAACAATACATTGAATATATTTTGTTAGGTTTGAAAGACATTGGGATTTTGGATTAACTGACAACCCAAAAGTCTGAGACAAACAGCTCTCCTGGTTTGGATGGTTTTGAAAAAAGAGTATCTTGAAAAAGGAATTTTCTTTGGTGGTACCACAAGGTTACTACTTAAAAAGTACAGCCAGTGGTTGCAGTTTTCCCTCTGACCGATAATTTCAGAATGGAAGAAAACAGACCTGTAGGTATGATGCTTTCCCGACATGTAAAATTGTGCTCACCAACAAGTAATGTTCAGGCCTCATTTTTTTATCAGTTAGTCAGATCAAATAATCACTGATCCAATAAAGGTGTAACATTTCATAGAATTTAGACAAGAACTATAGGAAAAGAATAGAACAATTTGATACCAACCTGTGTGCTCGTCCTCTCCATTTGTACGGTTGGGCAGAGTCAGGGTTGATCTTTACAGCCTCGTCACAGTCCCTAATGGCTGCATTTGGTTTCTTCATGCGAATAAAACAACTGGAAATAATGCCATTAAAAGGAATCAATTGCCAAAAATTATTTCCCATTCTCATTTTCATATGATGTGATGGCTCAAGAACTAATTAACTGTTGAAAACTTAGTCATAAATTATAAATTTATACCTTGCTCGTTTAGCATACATGCTTGCAGATGGATTCTTAACAATAGCTTCAGTAAAAAGCTTGAGTGCCTCATCCAAGTTTCCTGTAAGGGAAGGAAACATTTTGATCAGTGTAAAAAAAAAAAGAAAAACAGGCCAAGTCAGTTTACAAGCCAGCATTTTACTCCTGAGAGGAGAGGGACACTGAGAACAACAACACAAGTTGTCCAATTGGAGACTCATGCCACAAATTCAGTTGTGAAATGTTTTTTACTAGCTGCTAAGAAAGCAGACAAACCTTCATTCATTGCTGCAATAGCTTCCATTCTCTTTGTGGAGGATTCCTCCCTCATTTCATCTGTAACCTTAGAAATCAACCCATCTTATTAGTTCAATAACTAAGACAAAAGGACAATTTTTTGGAGTGTTGGAATCTGCAATTGCTTTGGTAATGTTCCACTTTGCTCAGTGATCAGATCAGAAAATTAAATATTAAGTAAGCCTTTTTCTGAACCACTCAGATTAAAATCTAAAACCAATCACAATTTTGTTACTCAAGTTTCCCTAAATTTCAGGCAGTTTGCTTGTTTTTATTTGGAGTTCTCATTGGTACCTTGTTAAATTATTTCCTTCATTCTGTTTGGCTGTTGTGATTACTCTACTTTTGATTTAAGACACTCACAGAAATGCACTCCAAAATGAAAGTAGCATAACATACCATGTACAGTTTAAATAGCATTTAACTCATAAGGAGGAAATAAATCCAATTTTGGGAAAACAGGTCATTAAATTGCTCTGAAAGTAAGTAGGGTTAATTACTTGTTCCATTTTCAAAAAAAGGTAGTGCAAAGGAAGCCTTATTTTCCTTGCTCCAACATGTGGCCTCCTGCTAAGGTGGTACTAATGCCCAACTAGTATCCAGGAAGTAGAAGTTCATATACTGTCAAAGCCTGAAAAAGTTCAGGCTTCATTGCTACCATTTCTTCATTTTACAGGACACCAACATGGATAATTTCATTTCACCTTTTAACTCCCAAGATTTTATCAGTAATTCTCCTTACTGTCTACCATACAATTCTTATGATCTCAATTTGGAGAATTTGGTATTGGATCAACTAATTATCCCCTGATTGGTATTTTACTTTATTCTCATCACTTCTATGCTTCATATTGTATTGATATTGTAAGGAGAAATTCTCTCTTGGTCACTCATGGGAGGTAAAGGGTTAATTGTGAAAAGAAGGCCATTTGGAAATACAACCATTTTGACAAGGGTGGCTGCTTGTAAAACACTGAGCAGTCTAACAAGGAATGTTAATTTTTCACAATACCCTATACCAGAGAAAAATATTGACTCAAAATAGCCTGGCTTCGTAATCTGTGTATTATTCAATACTTCATGGGAACAAAATAATTTAACGTTCAAAAGAGAAATATTACTTCAATGCTTGCATCTCCCATTTGCTGAGGTTCATCATTGTCTGGTTCAAGACATCCTTCTTTGTCAATTTCTGTTCAAAAGTTAGAAAGGAAATATTTTCATGCAGTCATAAGCAAGGAATTTCATGTTATCTATTGACCATCTTTGAAAATCTCATGTACAAAGTGTCAAAGAAAATACTGCATCAAAACTGTAAGACTAACCAACATCGCTTTCCTCACTCTCACTGTCCTCAGGTTCTTTTGCTGCAGCCTTCTGCAAAGGGGAGCCATTAAGATTAAAAGTGAATTTTTCTATCTTTTTGCTTTTTTCTTACTACTGACAGTAGAACCTCTTTGACTCAACCTTGGTTACCTCAAACCCCCTGCTAATTTGAACAGGATCCAATTTCCCCTGTATTTGACATTGTCTTCAGCTAACTTGAACTCAGTTAATCTGAACTCCCCATTATCTCACAATAATTTTACTTTCCCTTGGCTGATAACTTGGACTTTAATAAAAAATGTCACCCCATAAACGTCAAAGAGCCAGGACATACCAGTAGTTGAATGATATACCCTAATCTTTAATTGCAATTATGAAAACATACTACCTTTAGCTAAACTTTCCAAACTAAACAGTCATATCAAAAAATCTCTAATAAAAGAAACTAAGTGTACAACAAAGGCTGTTGATTTTGATATTCAACACCACCCCATAACTCAAACTCCAGCTAACTCAACCTGTTTTCTGTTTCCGATGGGAGCTCGAGTTAGTGGAGTTCTACCATAATTATCTTCCAAAAAAACTATCATACTTAATTATCACCTGTTAAAATTAACTAAAAGGTGAGGATAAATCAGCTCTAAGACAGAATATGTTATTGACTCTAAATTCCTGTTTAAACAATTTAGACCTGGTTCTTTAGAGGAAGTTGAAATGTCCTTGGTGCAATCCTGCCTCAATTAAATTGCCCAATCTCTTTAAATCATCTTACGCACCTCTACTCCTGTGTTCTCCCCTATTTTAGGCATGACAGTTAATATAAATTTTCAAACTGTTATCAATCCTTTAACTGGATAATTTTGCAAGAATTACAAGCAATTTTAAGTGGTAATAAGAGGACTACTATGGGTGGCAAATTTTCTCAGGTGTCGTCTGAAAACAAGAACACTGTTACTCCCCAGGAAGTTGGACATTTATAAAGATAAAGAGAGTTGATCTACATTATACCTTTTCTGGTGAAGCACCAGGCTTTGGTTCTTCTTTATCCTTTTCAGCTGCCTTTGGCTTCTCAGCTGGTTTTGGAGGCTCCTCAGCTGGTTTTGGAGGCTCCTCAGCTGGTTTTGGAGGCTCCTCAGCTGGTTTTGGAGGCTCTTCAGCCGGTTTTGGAGGCTCCTCAGCTGGTTTTGGAGGCTCCTCAGCTGGTTTTGGAGGCTCCTCAGCTGGTTTTGGAGGCTCCTCAGCTGGTTTTGGAGGCTCCTCAGCTGGTTTTGGAGGCTCCTCAGCTGGTTTTGGAGGCTCCTCAGCTGGTTTTGGAGGCTCCTCAGCTGGTTTTGGAGGCTCCTCGGCTGGTTTTGGAGGCTCCTCGGCTGGTTTTGGAGGCTCCTTGGCTGGTTTTGGAGGCTCCTCGGCTGGTTTTGGAGGCTCCTTGGCTGGTTTTGGAGGCTCCTCGGCTGGTTTTGGAGGCTCCTCGGCTGCTTTTGGAGGCTCCTTGGCTGCTTTTGGAGGTTCCTCGGCTGCTTTTGGAGGTTCCTCAGCTGCTTTTGGAGGTTCCTCAGCTGCTTTTGGAGGTTCCTGGCTGCTTTTGGAGGCTCCTCTGCTGCTTTTGGAGGTGGTTCTGGTTCTGGTTCTTTAGGTTTTTCTGGTGGTGGAGGAATCTTACCTCCCACGCTTAAAAGAAGAATATTGTAAAGAGTAATTAGACTAAACTGTCTACCATCATGTTCTCAAAATAATACTTAGAGCAGTCCTCCCTTATTGATGTTGAGTCAAGTTTCATTGAATATCACTGAAATTCTATCAGCAGTAAAGTAAATTATACCCTATAGCATTCTTCAACCTTAGGATTTACTCTTTTAGGATTTAGTGCAACAACTATTTTTTGTGTATGTGGGCAACAGACAAATCACACCTAGTTTTCCATATCCAAATAATTAAAACACTACATTTGGAAGTTATAAAATAACTACCCTTTGTAAAAATGGCACCAAAACACCTTAAAATAATGCAGCTAAATGCAATTTAACAGAGTTAACAACAATGAGCATCAGCTTCCTATGGTAGTCAGGGGTTTTTTTTGCATATGCACACGTATCGCAATTCCATGTGCTCATCATTTGAGGGGTTATCGCATGTGCTTTGAGTGTGAACTTAACCCTTTAACTCCCACATCAAATTTGTAATTCTTCTTACAGTCAACCATACAATTCGTATGATATTAATTCAGAGAATTTAGTATTGGATCAACTTATTATCCCCAAATTAATATTTATCTTTATTCTCATCACCTATCTAGTTGATATTGTGTTGATATTGTAGGGAAAAATTCTGTCTCGGTCACTCATGGGAGTTAAAGGGTTTAAGAGTTGTGCTTTGTGTAGGAAAGGAATACAATCTATCATTCCAGTAAAACATACAAAAATACAAATCTTTTGAAGAAATACCGAGAGCATAAAGGTGCACAATTTCGATTGATCACTACAACAAACAGGAAGTTTAAACAACTTCTACTTCCGTCTTGGTTGTAAGGTGAAAGCTTGCAATGACTCGCAAGTGTAAAACGCGTTTTTTTTTTACTCAAACAGCGTCGTATTAATTCCTAAATCCTAGGGAAACTTCAGATTTTTGAAAAAAACAACATAAAATTGTATGGTTTCGAGAAAGTGAAATGTAGCCAAGGCCTGAGGTATTAGCGTTCGATATTTTGGGGACGTTACGTTTACGAGGAGGTCTACCATACCTGACATCAGGAAAAAGGAAAAATGAAATACACATATTTGAGATATCAACGTATTAAACGTATCAGTAAATTTTTGTAGCAATCAATAACTTGGGGTCTCTGTTCAAAATTGTCACCTAGGCATTGTACAGTTGCACGTGCCTGTTATCTGACAGTATATTACAATGATACAAAGCGTATAAGTTACGGTACCTTTCCACCCAATCTTTGAAAAACTTCAGCTGTGGAGAATACAGCAGTTCAGGCTTCGTTTTACACAATTCGACAAATTGTTTGAGCAAGCTGAGTTGGGTACTATCAAATTTTGAGGCCATTTTTGCCCCTTATGAATAAGTAACTTCGTTCAGGTCAGGTTTCAGATTATGTATCTTTTGCATTGACAACAATCCTCTGCGCGCTCTCTTTCGAAACCTGGGCCCTATTCGCACAACCTGTAACGGACGAGAGGATCTGAGGGCAGCCAGAGGAAACAGGAATAACTTCTCCCGGGTATCCACCTTAGGGGTGGCGAGAATGAGTTTCAGAACGACGCAAAATACGAAAATGAGCTTCAAATTTACCCACTTTTCTTGTATTCCTTTGAATCAACCCGTACAGTTCATTTTTTCAAAATCACGTCACTTTAGCCTAAATTTCATTTTCACCTACTTACTATTAATTTTAGCGTGTGACCGAACCTAAACCTAGCTGTGCAAGGGAAGGTGAGTAAGGAAGGGGAGGGGGGGGGGTGGTTTCAGGCAGGGATGACAGGGTTCCTATAGGGGGAGGATTTAGACATATTATTCTAGATAGTCTGGATGGGGTTAACTGACATCTGACCACAATTTTAACTGACAACCGACAAATCGCTGAAAATCTAACTGACAACTGACATTTGTGGTGGGCTTTTACTGAAAGCTGACTAAAGACCGAATCGCCCTAAAAATTCTTAAAACTGGATGTAAAATATGGACAGTTGATTTATTTTGTCCAATAAAAGTACATTTGTTACTACATATCAGTAAGAACACGCCAGAGTCTTCTATTTTGTTAATTATTACCGCATAGAGTTGTTGGGCATGGATGGCATGGTTCCTACAGGGGGAGAAGTAAGGTATTGAAACTGCACTATGCGAAAATGAAATTTGTGGCCACGGAATGAACAACTACCTGTCATGTAGAAATAAAACAATGTACTTTAACTCCTTAATGGTGAAGTGACGTAGGTTGAAACTAAAATAAACAATTACAAAGGTTACATAACATATGATATAAAAAATAACAACAACACGACGGAAAGAGGACTATAAAACAATTACATTATTACGGCCACAGAAGAGACCAATATTGATATTGCAAAAAATGCTGAGGCCAAAAAAAAGGAAAAGACAGGCAACTACGGCGTTCCGTTATACTTGAGAACTGCGCTTAGTGCCAAAAAACCGAGAAGACAGGCATGTTGATATATATATATATAAATATATATATATATATATATATATTTAACAAATAGATTCCAAGTTACCGTGCGTCTGTTCAGTAATAGATCAGATGACGTCAAAATGTGGTAAGAATTAAAAAATACGGAAAAAAAGTTTTAATGATAACGTCATATATACGTCTGTCTTCCAATAGATCATAAGTGAGAACCAATCAGAATGCGTGCCTAACTGAGCTTATTATATAGATATATACATATATAAATATATATATATATATATATATATATATATATATATATATATATATATATATATATATATATATAAATTACGCGAGGTAGCAATAAAGCGGTAATAAGGTGGGAATAAAAAATGACGAAAAGTAAAAAGGTACCAATGAAACAGTAAGTATAAACGTTGGCAAGTTACCGGGTGAAAAGACATAAATAATAAACTCTGAACACGTGAAAAATTCAACATGAAAAAATATCGCACTAAGAATTTACAGGTATGTGTCGTTTAGGGAGAAAACATGTGGGTAAAACAACTAGAACACGAAAGTGCAGAACAGAACAGAACAGAACAGAGGAATTGTATTTTCTAACGGAAAAAAAGAAGACAGACTTCAAAAATTGTTATATATTTTGAATAATTTTTACAATCACAAACGAGTCGCTCATTGACAAGCAACATCATCCGGTTTGAATTAAAATGGTTGAAAAAGATCATCGCATCGCATCGCAATTTTTCAATATCTCTTGAGCTTTTACATTCTGTTGTTTCACAGTTTGATATAATTCCAAAAAATATGTAACTCATTTCTGAAAACTAGTCATAATAATGGATCAAAAGAAGCGTTCGATCTAACTTGGGATGGATACTTTTCTCTCAGCGTAATGAATTAAAATAAAAATAATCAAAAGACTATAGCGAGACTCACAGTTCTGATTTGTAGTAATTCTATTTGTTCAATCAAACGGTTGCAATTTATCATCACCTCTTCCCATGTCAAACACACCGGAGCGAGTGTGCCCACGGAACTTCACTTTGTCACGTAAAATCGAGGTGAGTTGTCAGCCAGTCCAGTATGAATTCTCCTAACATCAAACGCAAAGAACAAACACCAGGTTCACTTGCTCAAGTTTAATTTTCCAGCCTCGCGAAATGTGCACGGCCACCACATTTATGTCTGAAAATGGTTTCTTTCTCCCCCTCCTAAAATATCAAACAGAGACAACTGTTTTTGCGGTTTTATTCCATTGTTTTTCCTCTTTTGTTTTTGTCTTTTTTCTGCATTAGGTAGATTCCACTAGAGAGAAATCTTAAGGTAGTGGTGTCAGGATTTCAACAAATGCTGCTGGAAATCGACCGACTTTCATTTCCAGTTCCCCTTGAAGCCACTCGTCATTTACGCGCTCCAGGAGTACAATTACGTCACCAGTCTGTAGGAAAAACAGACGCCATAAGAAATTAATCGAGAGTGCGTTGGAAACATAGAAATAGAAAGATGTCCATAAAATGCTTGAAGCAAGTAGTTAAATGTGGAAGTGAGAAGAACTGATTAACAAGAATCTTACTTTAAAACACAGCTCATCTTCAAACTCGCCATTAAAATCAAACAACGCCTTGGCTTTTGGCGTTGGTTGCATTTCTCTTTCGACAGGTGGAAATTCTGTCTCTGCATGAAAAGAAAAAAAGGTACAAGTAAATATTTTTTGGCCGTTAAACGTAAAGTCGTGTGATGGTGCAGGTACTTGGTTATTAAAGCTAGCTTATTCAACATCGCTCTGCCCTTCCTCCTTACGACATTTCACTCGGAGATGTTCAAGCAGAGAAGAGGCACACAGAAGCCTCGTGCGTTTTCCCTTGGTAAGCAATTATCAACGCTAGTTTCGGTCCTTTCTTCTCTTAATCTGGGCTTTTCAAGGCGCGATCGCATTCAAATTTACCCGCTTCAGTGCTCATGAATAACTAATAATGTCCAGGCATTTTGCGCGATGCGATTAAAATTTACTTTTCGAGTCCTTGTAAGCCTTGTCTCCTTTCTTTACGAGTGAAAGTTGACTTCACTGGGGTAGGCAGAAAATAGGGCTTAGCTAAATAAAGAGAGGGAGATACGTGCTAGTACTCAAAGAATTTACGTTGGACCTAGATGTAACATCCCTGACACGAAAGTAACTCGTCCTTCGCTATGGGTAACGCTTTGGTACAATGGTTAGTGCTTGATTCAGGCTCCGGCATTGGCCGATTACGTAATGGTGTCGTGTTCTTAGGCAAGATGCTTTGCGAAAAAATCAAAAATATCTCCCGTCACTTAAGGAAAAAATGGTACCGGTCAACCGTCAAAACTTCGTGGGGAAACATACGATTAAAAAACATCCCATCCACTGGGGAGCAGTAATACTCCAAACGCTATGGAATCTTCGATAGCTCTGTAAATCATTCTTGTAATAATGCTTTCCTTTCCGACATCATCCGTCGGCGGGGTAATAACCTAGGCCGATGGGTTAACCTACATAGCTGTCTATTTATTAGAAAGGTAAGCTTTTAATTCAATCCGTTACCTGATTCCTCTTTTGAAAGTTGCACAAAAGCCCGCGGAAACATTCCTTCCTGTCCTTTGTGTTTTCCTCTCAGCCATTCATCGTTAATTCTTTCGGTGATTTCTATTTTGTCTCCTTTATGGAACGTCAGTTCGTCGGCTGCTGAGCCGGTGAAATCATACAGTGCTATACCATATTCAACATTGTGATGCTCTTTCTCCTCTGAATATAAATAGACAAGTTTGCTAGTGACAACCTTGGCAACCATTGGTCGTATTCAATTGTACACTGAGTTCCAGCAAAATTGAGGTGATTTCCACCTGGTAAAAGCGCTTTTCTCTAACAAGAAAACTGTGAATTGCTTAAAAAGCCGCAACTGGTCCTTTGCTTTGCCTTAGCGCCATCTTCATTATCACTTGTCGTTCTATCTGAACGTTTATAGTTGCATGCAGAGTGAAGCAGGTTTACAGCTAATAATGGAAAAAAACTATTTCTCGTTGAAAAACCCCCCTCCGACAATACCCAGGTTTATCGATTTTCTAAATCCGCCTTTATATAGCCAGCCGGCAATTTGTCTTCGTTCGCACGCTAACTGCCTCTACCACGTGAAAGCAATACTACTTTGATCGAGCGTTGGTCCACTCAACTATCCAACGCTTTTCATACGCTTCTCAAAATTCTTACACGATGACGGAAAACTCCTCCAAAAAGAGCTTTCTTCAGCTTTATTCACCGTGGGAAGTGAGACGTCGAAGATGAAAGCTTACTGCTTACCTGGTTGCTTCTTTTGTTCTGGCACGTCGTGAAGAATTTCTACATAGGCTGCCGGAAACATACCCATTTTTCCTTGAAGTTCGCCTTCAATCCAATCCTTGCCTACTCTCTTGTTAATTCTGATGACATCTCCGGCATTGAAGCTTAGATCTTGCGAGACGTCGCTATGATAATCATACAACGCCTCGCAGAACAAATTTGAACTCGAGTCCGAAGATTCTTCTTCATTACCTTTGGATATGGTCTCCTTTTCCTCATACTGAGGCAACTTCTTGATTACATCTGTACTTATATCAACGAAGTTACATGGAAAGGCCCCGGACTGCTCACGGAGTTCGCCCCTTAACCAATCGTCGTTGATCTTGGCGACCACGTGAATAATTTCACCCGCAGTGAAGTCTATTTCGCCATCCTCCAGGTTTCCATGGAAATCATACAATGACATCACGTTGAATGGGGAGCTCTCTGGCGGTGTAGCTGGCTGCACAAAAAATAAAACATGTTTAGCATTTCAGCGGTCTATACAAATAACGCTTAAATGGCTTGGACACCGTGCCCTTGGGCCTAGCAGCCAAACACCGCGACGTATGATCCAGAGAAAGAAAAAAAGCAAAGACCGCCTTTTTCTCTCTCGAAGACCAATGGCCAAGTTGTTTTTTCATTTTTTCATTTTTGTCGCTCAATTTCGACCTCCTCTACTGACCGAAAGCCTAATAACTACAGTCTCACTCTGGATTAAAAGAGAAAGAGATGCAAAGCGAAAAGTGGAGAGAAATACAGTGAAAATGTTAAATTCTTATCTTAAATAGCCCTCCCGACTGCTCTACGCTGGCATCCAGATTATTCCAATGAGAAGATAGGAGACTAACTACGATATTAAGCTTCCGCGGAAGGAATTTTTGATTATGTACTTTAAAAGAAGTAAACTGTACACGTTTACCTGACTTTGTAATTCCGTTTCTTGCGGGAGATCCTCAATTATTTCCACAAACTTCACTGGAAACATCCCTTGTTTATCTCCAAGCCGGCCTACGTACCAATCATCGTCCATCTTTTGCACAAGAACAATTTCATCGCCTGCCTGGTGACGAGAGAAGATCAACCACTATTTGATATCAAATGCAACACCTTAACTAACGTTGGATTTATCAACTTAAACAATTGCAAAGGCTACAACTTCCAGTCATCTGGAAGTGAACATCTTCTGACGGTGATCGAAATGGTTTATAGGACACTTGCCCCAAAATTTCAAAAACGTTTATTTCGATGTCGCTATCCACCACAGTTTTGGGAGAAAGAACGACTTTAACGTTTACTGAGTTGCTAATTCTGCTGGAAAATCTTGCTGGTTAGACGTCTCCAACTGTGTGACCTGTTTACAATCCTCAAACCGCCGTAAACATAACCCCAACGGACTAAAACATAGATTAATTTATAAATTCATTCACTTACATTAAATGATAGGTCATCCGCTGCAGTAGGTTCATAGTCGTACAAAGCAATGGCGGAAGGTTCGATGTATGTCTTACTCACGGATGACACTGTGGTCGTAGATTGCTCTTCTTTAGCTTCTTCCCTGGGTCCACGCACACATAAAAAAATGGGAAACAAAATGAGTAAAACGTCTAGTAATGAACACAAACAAGAAAGCAAAACTGAGCCATGAATCATCTTAACTTATACAATTTCTACCGCCAAATGTCTGACGAACGGTTTCTAACTCGCGAATGCAACCAAACAACGAAGGCTTAGGTTTTGCTTACTTTTCGCCAGATGTTGATGGTCGAGGTGGTTTGCTCTTTGTCGAGACTGAAGAAGATGGAGGTCTCGCTGGTTTCGCTTTGGTTTTCGAAGACGCCTGTTCATTTCTCTCTTCTTCGTGGTCTTCAGTGGCAGATCCATCTCCTCTTCGTTCAGAATCACGCGTCTGTGACATGTCTTTCACGTGATTGTCAGCTGACGACTCGGCCACCGTTCGTGTCTCAGTCACATTCGTTTTCGTGAGATTGGTTCCAAGTGGAGCGACAGGTACAGGTTTAGCTGGTTTGCGTTTCTCGTCTGCGTGACCTTCTTCTTTACCCCCACGTGATTGTTTAGTGTCAATCACCTTGAAGGACGGCCTCGGAGGTCTGTTTTTCTTTTTTGACTTTTTGTCATCAAAGTCTTGTATGACGGTCTTGTCTTCCTCTGGAGTCGAGGCCGGTCCATCACCGGCGTGACTCGCTGCGGGAGGTCTGGGCGGTGGTTTGCTTCTTTTTGACTTCTCGCTTGAGTCATGCACATCGGTGATTGCTGATTCGGCCGTGTCGATTTTGTTACCGGCATGTCCCACCGCGAGAGGTCTGGGCGGAGGGGGTTTTCCTCTCCCTTTGGACTTGTCGCTCGAATCTTGGGGTTCAGAATGTACCACAGGCTTACCAGCATTATCCACTGCAGGTGGTCTCGGCGGGGGTGGTCTCTTCTTCGAATTCTTCCTTGTCTGATTACTCGTCTCTTCTGGTGGAGAACTAGCATCACTCGCCTTCTCTGCAGTTGTTAACGCTTCTCTGCCTTTGACTCCAGGCAAACTCACGGGTCTTCTAGGTTTTGGTGATTTCTGTTGCAGTGTTTCCGCGTCCTGCTGGGAAACTCGCGTGTTTAGCTCGTCTTGACTGTCGGTTGAAAGGGCACCGAAACTTTGGTTCTCCTCACTTGGAGCACTAATTGGTCGTCGTGGTGCTGCCTTGATACTCGGTCCTCTCTTTGGCCTTTTGGGAGGTTTACGCTCGGCATGAGGGCTTGGTGAATCAGGGCGGGATGCTGTAATAACAGTAGGAACACGCCTTGGTTTCACAGCTGGTGAATCAACCGCTGTTTCTTTGGTTTTTGCCTCCTGCATGCTCTGAGTAGACTCATTTGTATTGGGTGATTTCAGAGGAGGTTTATCCACTTGATCCTTATTTGCGGAAGATTCCTCACCAGGCTTCACTGCTTCACTCTTCTTTGGAGGCCTGGCCGCAACTATCACCGTGGGCCTACTTTTAGGTTTGGGGGCAGCGGTTATCTCTTTTGGGGCTTCTTCCGTCGACGGTTTACTGGGCGTTTCTGAAGAACTGTATGGTTTCGGTTTAACAGGCGGCTTTGGTTTTTTAGCAGGAGGAGGTGGTTTCCTTCCGTCACTATTATCAGGTTTTGGTTTTTCACCAAATTCCTCTTTTTTGTCTTGTTTCCCCTTCAAACCCTCTGTGTCATCTGCTTTTTTGACTGTAGGTTTGCTTTTCTTTCCTGTAGCTCCATCATGAACCGTTATTACACTGCAGACGCCATTTTGCTCATCATCTTCCACGATGGGGTCTGAATTATTCTTTTCCTTTTCTTTCAGTTTTGGTCGAATGACTGTGGGCTTTGGAACGGGCTTCTTTCCTACAGGAAGATCTTTCATTGTGTCAGGTTCTACTTCTCCATTCGATTCTAAGTTATCATTAAGGAAAGGATTTAAATTTCGTCCTGCGATATCACTCTCCTCAGCTTCGTCTTTTGATATCTTCCGCACCGGAGCAACTGGTGCTGAGATCCTTGAGACAGGCCCCTTCTTCGGAACCTCCACTCCATTCGACCTCTCCCTGCCCTTCTCAGCAGGTTCGTGAACGCTGGCTCCCTCCCCAGAAATTGTCCCTTCGTTCTTTTCATCTGTTCCCAAGTTAAGTTCACTCACAGGGCGGGACTTGGGTCTGGGTGGGGGCTCCCTACCCTTAGGTTTTCGGCCTGGCTTTAGGGGGATAGTTGGAATCTGAGTTGCTGATGCAGGCTGATTGGTGTGGGAAGGAGGTGGTATGACTCCCGAGGAATCCAATGGTCTTGCTGATACTATGGTTATCTCTGGCCTCCCTTTTGCCCTATTTAAGAAGAGAGAGAAACGATTCAAACTGTATTCAAATGTTTATCTCATAAGTAGATATTTTCTTTAAATAATTTCTCTTAACAACAAGGTATGGTGAAGAATATTTCAAACCTTAACTTAGAAAATCTCAGAGCTAATTCTCCCATCCAAATACTCTACATGTATTTGTTGTCTTGTCCTGAGAAATTTGAGGAAAAATAGTACTTCATGTAGTTCTCTGTATATTTCTCTGTAAAAATTTTGAACTTCCAAGATCTGATTGTCAATTCTCCCCTCTAGTTGCTACACATTTCCTTGTAAATTAGTTGAGAGAATTTGGCATAAGATCAAGATAACAACCTCTACCTGATAAGTTTGAGTGTTCTTATTAACTGTTTGCTAGATAATGTATAGATATTATAGGGAGAAGTTACATGTTAATCACTTTTGGGAGTTAAGGGGTAAAAGCCAGCATACCCTTAATCTACAATGGCCAAATAGAAAAAAGGAAATAATATATAAATTTAGCCAAGCCTAGAAGCAGAGCTCGCATTTTTTTTTCCTGCACGTCTAAAGGGCACAACACTTTGCCCCTGCAAGGACTAGAACCCAGGTCATCCACCTCAGAGCCCAGTGCACTGACCACTGGACTACTGAACAAAGCCATGGCATTGGCGTGCCCACAGTACACTTGACCATGTATGTTAAAAGTAGCACCTTGTATGGTCGTACGTTTGTACCATCGTATGGTTGTACATCCAAATTTTTTCGGCTTGATGGGTTACTGCTGTTTTGTATAATTATGGGGCTACGCTCTGTGAGCTCTACTATCATAAGGAGCCAATGAAAACTCAAATTAGAACCAAGTTATCTACCTGGATTGCAAGAAAATGCAAGTGGCCAAGTCATAATTGGTTTAGCTTTACACCAAACATGACTAATATACACCAGATTGGTTGAGGAGGACTAGGTGCCAGTTTTTAAGACTAAGAGGAGAGCAAAGCAAAACCAATGCACTCAACAATTATTTTTAAACTTTGGTTGAAAATTTTTTTTTAACCCTTTAACTCCCAATATCTAATTGTCAATTCTCCCCTCTAGCTTTCATACATTTCCCAGTAAATTGAATACAAAAATTTAGTGTTAGTTTATGATAACACCTTCTACCAGACAAGTTTGAATATTCTCATTACCTGTTTGCTGGACATATACATATTACAGTGAGAAGTTACTTGTTTATCACTTGTGGGAGTTAAAGGATTAGTTTATAGAGAAAACATATTCTGATCCCTCTTTGTAGTAAAGGAGTAAGTAACCAACACAGGACCCTATTTAAGGTTTCATGAAGCAGCCTGTAAACATGTAACAAAGTTTCTGATTGAGCACTTTTTGGATGAGCGTTGATAAACCGAACCAATGTATCCCAATGACCAACCAAGACAATTGAACTACATGACTAATGGTGTCAACAATATCATCACTGAGGCACAGACAACACAACAGGAAGTACCAATTGGTTACTGGGGTATTTAAGAACAGAAATATAATAAGCAATAATAACAAAGTAAAAAACTTATAATAATAATAATAGTAATAATAGTACTTAGTGATTATAATAATTATAATTGTTATGCTTTTTTTCTCACTTAATTTTTGGGGATCCTTTGGTTGATAAGTCATCTTTTCCAAGCCCTTTATTGGGGCTGACAGAATCCACAGGTGCCTCACCAAGATCTAACCTTGAAGGTATAGGAGGTGGCCCAGGCTTCTTTGCAGGCATAGGAGGGTGGGCTTTCGAAGAAGCCATTGAACGGTAATTCAGATGTTTTTGTGAAGAAGAAATGGATTCAGAGGCTTGAAGTTATCTCCTTCAACTAATTGGAGACAGCCATAAGTTTTGTAAGAAATCTGTGTATAGAAAAGAGAAATTTAAGTGCATCAGCAGGAATTGCAAGGTCAGTAAAATGAAAGATCTATTCAATTTCATCGACGGTCTTGGTGTAATAATTTGAACAGGCGTGTTGCGTGTCCATACTTTTAAAGCTAAACTTGTAGTAAATGATGTAAGGTCACTCGCAATGCATTGAAACAGCCTTAAATAACACTAGACAAGTGAATTTACAGCGGGGACGACATCAAAGGATCCACTGGCTGTAGTTATTTACATTTAAGAGATAAATATTTGATACCAAGCAAGTTTAATTCGATTATTCTCTAGTAAATTGAAGCGTACTTCAGGTTACCTACAAAGTGAAGTAAGCCTGATCTGACGTATAACTCAGTTTGAAAAATCGATTCAACATGATCTGTACGGTACGCGTATGGCATTTACTCTAAAATCTGAAGTAACGGATTATATATTATGCAATATAACGAAAATATACCTTGTAGCTGTGACAAAAATTAACGGAGTTTCGCTACTTCTCTGTGGTTCGTGATGTTTCAGGTTGATTTAAAGTTGTTTTTGCCTAACCCTAGGCCGTAGTCTAATGTTGAAAACCGCTGGTTTGGTTTGCTTTGAGTCAAGCTTTTCCCATTGAATTATGGGTAGCAATGGAATGTTGGCGGTTATTTCAAGCGATCATAACAGATAATTTATGTATTCCATGTTCGAATAACTCCGTGTTTCCTTGACCTGAGCAAATCCGTTGATTGACTATGCCCGAAGAAAAGGAGAAAGTTATTCCTGTGCGTGTTGCTTTGAGAATAAGACCGCTAGTTCCGAAAGAAGTCGGTGAAGGTTGCAAGCAATGTATCAGATGTATACCAGAGAATACCCAAGTTGTCATGGGCAATGACAAAGCCTTCACTTACGACTATGTGTTCGATACTACAAGCATACAAGAGGATCTGTACAGTGAAACAATAATTCCGTTGCTCGAAGGCTTTTTTAATGGATATAACGCCACAGTTCTCGCATATGGACAAACAGGGTCGGGAAAGACATATTCCATGGGAACAGCATTTACAACGTGTAACGAGACGTCAGAGGAGAGAGGTGTGATTCCAAGGCTGATCGAGACTGTATTTCACTGGATCAATGAAAGAAAGGAAAAAACTGACTTTTTGCTGAAAGCATCATTTTTAGAGGTACAGATGGAAATGTGTAGTATGTGAGTGATCGTTAGTGTGATGTTTTGATCGTAAATGTACGTGGAATTAATTATTTTGATCAGTAGCAAACTAGATTATATTTATATATCCCTTCCTCTCATTTGATAACAATCCTTTTAAAGGTTTGAAAAAAAAATTGCGTGAATAAATGCTCATGTTAACTGCTCTTTGAAGACAATTTTTTCTTTTATTTGTCCTGGCTCATATTCTTTGTGGGAACAAATTTTGATTCTATATTTTCTAGATTCACAATGAAGAAATACATGACCTTTTGAATCCTTGTTCTTCTGAAGAATGTAAGATTGCCATAAGAGAAACACACGATGGTGGAATCAAGGTGAATGTGATTGCTAGTGTTAAAGTGTTAAAGCGGAACTGGGAGACTTAGGAAGGCACTTACACTCAGCACAATAATAAACTTGCTCACTGGAAAGGTCTCCTTTTGAGGAGCAAACAAAAGTTACAATGTAAGATTGTAAATGCCTTGTTTGATAAAAGGTTACTCCCTCTAACAACAGTTAGTTGATTTATTTATTACTGTAACAGTACTGCTAAGAGTATAATGTATCTATGTAGCATCTTACTTTATGTTTAACACTGAGGAAATATGTCACCTTTAAGATCGGCATGTTCCAGAGCTCCTCAGCTCTTGCAAATAAAAATCCTTAAAAATTAGAGGTCGATCAATCTTTGTCATATGGTTTTTTTGTCAACTAATGTTTCCTGTTTACAAGATCCTATCTTTAAGAACCTTTATTGTTGAGCTGACATTACTTTTTAATGTTATCCTAACACAATATGCAGCTTTACACTTTTTCTTAACCTTTTAATCCATAAAAAAATGATTAGTAACTATTTACCCCAATCAGTATCAGTTCCCTTAAACAAAGACTGAGGTCATGAGAATAAAGGAAATGATCACCAACTTAAAAAGCTTTTGATTGTTGAACAAATTCTCCTCATCAGCACCTGAGGAAATCTATGGAGAACTGTATGAAGAATATGCATTCTGATGTTAGGGTGTAAAGGGTTAAATTTACACAAATGAGCTTCATTTAGACAGCTGTATGCAAGTTTCCCATGGCCGTGTCACTCAATCTGTTAAGATTTTTTGTGATGTTGGTGCCAATTTGATAAAAATGGATTTTAGTACTGTAAGTACAAGTTTATGTGGTGATGAAAGTTGTCTCTTAATTTCGTTGTATACATAAATCTTAAACCCCAAAGTGTAGAAGCTTTCTTGTAACTCAGAGATTTTTTTTTTCATAGATTGCTGGTTTACAGGAAGTGGTGGTAACATGTGGGGCTGATATGGTGAGATGCTTAGAGCAGGGATCTGCATCAAGGGCAACTGGAGCCACTGCCATGAACAGCAGATCAAGCCGCTCTCATGCCATATTTACAATAACTTTAGAGCAGAAGGAGCTGCAAGGGTAACTGATCTTAAGGATTTTTTGAGGATCTTTTGCTTTCTTTTGTTTTCCACTAAAGATATATTTTGGCATGCCCAAAAATTTTGACTGGTTGGATCAAATATAAATATTCCCATATAACCTCAAAGATATTTTATCCTATAAAAGTTCAAATGAAGTCTTTAAAGTATTTTTGAGGATCTCTTTTTTGCACTGAAATCTAAAAAACAAAGATTTTTCAGGCCTTATTTCAACTACTAGTCTAGTTCAGTAGTGTTCATAACAGTGAGGATTGCTTCTGTATTTTTTTCTTCAACCGCAGTGCACATATATATATATATATATGATTTTCATATATTTACTGAAGATTTCACATGTTTTCACTTGGGATGCATGTAGGTTAAAGGTTTTTAGCTGAAAATAATGTTATCGAAATAGCGTCTACTCTTATTATAGAGTAAAGCTCCCATTTACACTATGGTCTTTCCCTCTTGTTGAACAAGTAAAGAAGAATAAATTGAGTGGTGCACAAAATCTGTAACTATGAAGATGCACAGAAAAGGGCTTTCCCCAACAAAATTTTCAAAGGTTGGAGAGAGGTGCCATTGGTAATCTATTTTTCAGAGTTCTCTCTATTAAATGTTTGATTTGATAGTTATTTTCTACAACATTGTTTAAAGGAGTGAACTCAAAAAAGCTAAGTTTCATCTGGTGGATCTTGCTGGTTCTGAAAGAGTAAAGAAGACGCATGCTCAAGGGGAACGCCTCAAGGAAGGTACAACCTAACATTGTTTTAAAATGATGTGTTTTTTTTTTATAAATTTGTAGTATGAACGTGACTGCAGAGTAGATATGATTTTATTTTATTTTCTCTTTTTTCTAAAGTCATTTGCACTTAGTAAAGCCTTAAGTTGAGTGTGTGAGTAGTGATTTGCTTCCAGACCCCTTTCCATTTTTTACTTCTTTATTTTGCAACGTCAAGATCGCAAATGACCTTGCTGATGACTAATTTTTTTTTTTTTTGGGGGGGGGGTCTTTTTATCCTGTTTAGAGTAGTGATTTGTGGCAACGAAAAACAATGTTTCGTCTGAGTCCACGTTCCAATCCCTTATCAATAATTCCTGGATATGCTCCTCATTCTCTACCTTCTATTCCAAAATATCGTTCCGCAGGTATTAACATCAACAAAGGGTTACTAGCACTAGGTAACGTTATCAGTGCGCTTAGTGATGAGCTGAGGAAATCTAACGCACACATTCCTTACCGAGACTCCAAGTTGACCCGTCTTCTTCAAGGTAAAAAAATGCGCTCGATAGTATGTGTCACTGTACGGCGCAAAACCATCTTGTTTTGTATTGAGTTTTTTTGCCTTTTTTTCTGCATATTTGTGTTCTGTTTTTGTTTGTTTTGTGTTTTCCTAATCATGTTTTATATTAGTGTGTTTATTTATTCTTTTCGGTAACGATCATCCTTGAAAGTCATTTGGATTAGTAGTCACTCAGAGCATTTTCGAGTAACATGACGTCATACATCTGGGATGAAGAATGTGGAGGGGGACAGGGGGGCGCGGCTCGGGAGGACAGGGGGTGGGAGAGGGCGGGAAGCGGAAGCAGAAATGAAGCAGGGGATAGTTTGTTGTTTACTACTGGGTATTATTCAGTCAAAAACACTTATCTAGCAAAGTTTTGAAATTCCCGTTTAACATCCACCAATGCTTAAAAGAAAATTTTGGAAGGAAGAAAACGTAAATTGGTACTCGGGCTGGAAAACCAGTATTACTTCCGGTGAATTTGGAAATTCCTTCAATTCGATTACGTCTTAGGTCGTGAACTGTAATAACTTTCATCGGGACCCAATGATCCCCCCGCCAAAGCAAAGGCCAGGAATGAACTAGAATATTAAAGAATGTTAAGTTTTGGCACAGTTTGAAAGTTAAACCCGGGTTTCTGATCCTCTTGATTAACCTGAAGGCGGGAACAACACAATGAAGAGCAGGAGTTGGGAGGCAAAGGGGCACAAAACTACGGGAGGCGGAAGACTCTGACCCACTCTCTTCCCCCACAAGAATGATTTCATGTGACCCGCGCAGAATCATATGTAGCATAATTGCTAAATAGACTTTTCTAGATGAAAACTTCATTCACTATTTCCACGCATGCGCATGTGTCTACAGGAGGAGTTTCAACCAAAAAACGATTGCTGGCGTTCTACCGCCGTCTGTTTGGCCTGGAAGATGGCTCTTGCGTTCGGGTCATGCCGATCGGCCCCTTTTCCGGTTATTGAAACACATAAAATGTTTGAAGACACGTCAATTGCATATGTATCTCAGGTACATGTAGCCTATCAGGGCGATGGCGATACAAAAGTTGCGATGGATGAAACGAATTGCGAACACAACGGGTTGTGCCTCGGTGTTACACTCTTGTTCTCGTTCACTCTTTTTGCGCTTCCTAGGAGAGCCTATTAATGATAACGGCTTTGGAGGGAATAGACTCTCAAGTGCTTTTTTTTTTTTTTTTTTTTTTGCAGACTCTCTCGGAGGAAACAGTAATACCTTGATGATCGCTTGTGTCAGTCCTGCAGACAGTAATTTCGAGGAAACCCTTAACACGCTTCGTTACGCGGATCGAGCGAGACAGATAAAAAACAAACCAATTGTTAATCTTGATCCAGCCGCGGCCGAACTGGCGCGACTTCGCCAACAGGTAACTAAGACGTTAAAAAGAACACAAACTTAAACATCCTTATCATTTAAATTAATTTCCTTCTGATCCTTTAATGAATCTGGCGTGAAGATATATATATATATAAGAATAATTTAGTATCACAAGTTATTTTCTTATTTTTTTATTTATTACAAGTTGTTGTTTGTTTCTTGGTGTTTCTTTGCTCATTCACCCTTTCATTTGGATACACCTTGTAAATTTTCTTGGGAATTGATGTATTACACGTTTTACAAAACGTCTTGAATATGTCCACCTGCATCCGCTTTTTGTTCGCTCATACAGTTCATCTAAACGTGAACGTGCCAAAGATGCCGAAGGAAATACTGTTGTTACGTTTTGGACATTTCTGTTAAAATTGGACTCAAATTATATCTTAATTGTAAACTGAATATCATGTTGTTTACGGTAGGTTCAGCTACTTCAAGTGCAACTTCTTCAGGGACAAACCATTACAGGAGTTAATGCAGGAGGAGCGAGGTATAGCTCATAGTGAATTAATTTTGAAAAAAGGGTGGTTGTTTCGGAGATTCCAAAGTAATCTATGGTATAACCAATCCTGTGACGTAAATTTGTCTCACAAGTGCATCCCTTGCGGCTTCTGTTCTTTATCTTTCTCTGTTTGCTTAAAAATGTCATCAAAGCTATGTTGGGGGAGAAGGAGATGACTTATCATACTTCTCCCCTCCGCTCGAATCCGCTTCGAATTTTGGACGATTGGGAACGAACTACCGTCACCAGGGCGTTCACACAACACGTGAGATGCAGAAACCTTGAATTTGACTTTAACTAGGGAGGGATTCCCACACGATGTAGGCCTCTTTGGGGGATTAAAATCTCTTACCAGCTTAATCCTCCCTTGAATAAAAGGAGTAAGTTTCGAAAGAAACTGTGGTACAGCGTCGGTGGGAGAGTATAAGAAGGTAATTTAGTAATATCAACTGAGTTGATAATGTAAATTAGCCACCGTAAAGAGTTTCAAAGCAAACGTTCCGAGCGTTAGCCCCCCGACAGAGTGATAATCCTCCCTCGACTGAGCTTATTTTACGGTTTTGTTGGAATTCTTAGCGACGAGAACCCTAATGCTATCAACATCCAAGAAATGACGGACAGGATTACAGAACTCGAGGTGAGTCTCCTTGAATCTTCATTCTATAAATGTTTGCACGTTGATGTAACCCCGTTTTCTTGCTTTTCCTCTCAAGATCGAAACTTGTCTATGATGTGCTTTACTTGCAATATGACCGTGACCACGCTGTTCGAATAATGAGTTTTTAGAAGAAAGGCCATAGTTTCTTGATATTAAGTTTGCACAATTATTTCGCAGCTTTTTCTTCGACCATCCAGACCGGTTTACTTGGGTGACTTACTTAAATACACCGTTTGCCAATAGCTGTAATAAATATGACCTTATAAAACCGTATTCCAGAAAAAGCTTGATATTTTTTAGCGATTCATTTCCCTCGCTTATTTCTTTTAGTCTGAAAATGAAAAGCTGAGCTCCGAGCTACACGCCTCTGTTGATCAGAACACTCAGATGTACGAGAAAATGTTGGTGGTAAGAAAGTGAAAAAAATTACTGTCAGTGCTTGAAGGGAATTTTTGATTTTTATGAACTTCACTTATTTTAATTGTTAGCAAAATATAAACATTTACCGTTTACCTTGCGTGTGTGTATTTTGATACCATGTTTTCGTTTATACTTTTAGGCTGAGTTAGCTCGCGATAAGATGCTGCGAAAATTCAATGAGCTGAAAGGACATTTTAGGTAGAAAAGCTGTTGTATGATTTGACGGATCAAAGTCAGTCTCTGAGCAACTGTGCACCTAGCCCCCTTCCCCCCCTCCCTTCCCCCTCCCCACAACAACAGTCAACTAATAACAAGTTAGAGCTAAGTTGGGTTAGGGGAGGGGTAGGTTCGCAGTTGCTTACAAACTGACATTGACGTTACTTTTAAAATAAACTGTTCAGAATGTAGCAATTAGATATATTTTTTTCAAATTCTCATTTTCCACTTTGTTTTTCTTTCAAAGCATTAGCTACAACGTGATTTTTTTTTTTTTTCGTTTTTCAGCTCTAAAATCACTGCAAATGTAACCGAGTTGACGGACGATAGCCAGGCTGATATGACATTGGCCGAGGAACTTCAAACAAAGCTGCATGAACTCGAGGTCAGTATCTTCACAAAACCACGAATATATTTGTATTTTTTAATTTATTTCCAGCTAACAAAGAAACAGCGGATTAAGAACACCACGTGTCACGGTCTCACGGAAATGAATGCCTTAGTTGCTTTAGTTCAACAAAGGAGGTCAAAGGTTGACATCATCCTGTCATTTGTTTCTTTGCTGTCCAGGCTCCCACTCGACAGCTTAGTCGCCGACTTGTTTGCCCCCTTTAGTTTGGATTTTTAACAACCATTTTTTTTTTCGTTTATGAATCGATAAATAACGTGGGGATGCCATAGACATTACTATACATTAATTAAGTCCTTTTTATTTCATTTTTAACATTTACTTTTGTGTGTTTCTGCTTTCAGGAGAGTATTAGCTCAACTACAAAGTTGGAAGATGTAGTTAAGGCTGAAGAGCAGGTTTGTGTGGGAAAATTCTCCCAAATTTCATGTGTACGTAAGACTAAAATTGCTTTAACAACGACCAAGAGTGGTACTTGTAAATGCTACCGTTTTTCTCATGGCAGTACCTACCCATATCTGATCCGTAAATCTCTATCTAGCTGTTGATTCCCTTTTAAATTAATGGAGAGAGTTCGGTGAATTATCAAGATGACTCTCTTCACCTGATACATGTAAGTTGTAATTTAATGACTTTTTGATGAATTAAATTATGAAAAGTTACATTTTAGTCCTGGTTAGTTGATGATCACAAAAAAGTAAAATTGCTTGAGAAGTATTTCTTTACAGTTTTGCCAAACGACCATTGACTAGTGATGCTAATTTTTTAGTCAATGATCACGATCTGCTTCGCTTTTCTTATTTTCAGTCTCCCAGTGACACGGAAGACCCGGATGAGTGTGACGGAAGCTCTGACCCAAGCTCCCCTTCGGACGCGTCGTTTGTTTCTCAGCACGCTTTGAGGCGAGCAGAGCTTGGAAGGCAACTCCAAGAATTGAATAAAGCGCTGGCTCTTAAGGAAGAGTTAGCCAATAAGATGGTGTCGAATGACGCACGGTTGTCGAATATGAGAAAACAGTATGAGGTCAGTGAGAGTTAACGACACGATAATGTTTTTCTAGTTTATGCCGTTTGTTGATTGATTGATTCTTCATTCTTTGAGGTTCTGATTCTTCTTTATTCGTTCGTTTTTGCTGCATTTGTTTATTCCCTCAGTGCATTTTCTCCCTGTTAATTTCACTTACATGGTGAAATGTTTGTCTCTAACTCATGACTCTTAAAAAATCGCGACAAACCTCGGCCCAACACTCTTTCAATTTATGGTTCTCTTCATTTTGTGCAGGACACTGTCCGCGAACTGGAGGGTGAAATTGCGAGGTTGGAGAAGGAAAAGGCGAGTCTTAACGTCGCCTTAACCAACAAAAAGTCTGAGGCATCCGACAGGTAAGCGTGAACTTGCCTGATTTTAGAGAGGGTCGACCCCCCTTATCTCACTTACCCCTATCTTACAGATGCACTTTTTGGTGTAACATTCATCTTTGTCCTTTCCAGCAAAATGAATGAAAGGAACAGAAATAGAATCAAAGAACTGGAGGCCAAAATTTCAGATCTGAAGAAGAAGCAGGTTAGTTCAGTTCTCAATTATTGATTTCGTTTGTTAGTACTGATTCTTTTGGTACCTTCCTGTTATTAAAAATTGTACTTTTTTCAATTGCATTTGCAAATATCATCACGTGTGAGATGATAAATAAACGATGCGTGCATGTAACAACCGCAGACGTTTGAGTTCTTGATAATTTCATTCCACTTAAAACAAAAGATTGATACCTCAAGGCAATAATAGCTCGTATATTTTGGTGGCCTAGAATGTTCAAAGAACAAGGAAAAGTGTTGTTTATTTATCATTATTTGTTATCAGGTTGAACAACATAAACTCTTGAAAATGAAGGAACAAAGTGACAGCACTATAAAGAAACTAAATTCTGAGATTCAGGTAAGAGGTGATCAAACGAATTGCCTCGATTTTTCTCCGTTATTACAGGAAGGAACTTCATAGTTCAAATCATAGGATTTGTCCGGACAGCTTATGAGTCAGAAGTCCCATCCTGCTTATGCCCATAGCAGGGTTGTAATTAAGAATTAAGGCTGGTAGGTGAAAATATCGTGACCTCAGAAGTGTCTGTTGTGCTTTACCAAGTGATTGCCTGCGAAAATTCCAGCCGGCGATCACCGCTTTTTTATCCCGCGAATTTCACCGGCAGCCAGCGCTTAGTGACAATCCTGCTATTCCGATTTCTTAAGTGCCAAACGACGAAGAGGTACGTAAAAACCGATGAAGAGCTTGGCTGCTTGGGAATGAAGGACATTGCCATGGATTGGAACTGACAATCCTTAAAAACATTTTTGCTCAAGTTCTCAAAATGCACGAGTGATACGTGGCGCCGTAAGGGTAGAATTTTCCACTAAGTAAAAAACTATTCTGTTCGCGATTTTGTTTGCTCTTTTTTTTAACCAGGTTCAATTTATAGGGATCATTTATCCCCGAATTAATTTTTTTCTGGTTTGGCTGCTTTATAATTTTTATTTATGGGTAATGTGAATACTGATATGCTCTAACTCCATGATTTCACTACAACAACAAAAAATATGTCGTGTAACTATCATTTTCTGTCTATTTAGGGTATGAAGTCGATCCGTGTCAAACTTATGCGTCAGATAAAAGAAGAATCTGAGCGCTTCAGAGCGCTGAAGGCTCAAAAAGACAAGGAAATCAATCAGTTAAAGCAACAGGTCAGCGGTGGAATGGAATTGTTTTGTTGTAGTGGTTTTGGCAATTGGTTGTTCAGGCCGGTAGAAGTGGCACCTATAATGGAAACGATTCTTTTTTTTTGTTTTCGTTTATAGATACTTTTTGAATGGAGTTTTGTTGAAGTAAAGTTTTGGGTGACATTTTGAACTTCAATAATAATAGGAGTAATTATCATCATCGAAACTATCGTCGTTGTCGTTATTTACCCTTTAACTCCCTTGAATGACCAAGACAGAATTTCTCCTTACAATATCAATACAGTATCAACCAGATAAGTGATGAGAATAAAGAAAAATTTCAATTTGGAAATAATTTGTTGATCCAATACTAAATTCTCTAAACTAACACTGTAAGAATTGTATGGTTGACAGTAAGGAGAGTTACAAATTTGATCTGGGAGTTAAAAGGTTAAAGTCATAATTATGATAATATGGCTAAAAACGCTAGGGGGGGTTAATGGGCGTGGCAGAATTAACTAGACATCACAGTACTTTAAAATTAACGCAATTTTCACAACTTTCATAGGGTCGCAAAAGGCAGTTTGAGTACAAGAAGCTGGAGAACATTCATCAGAAGCAACAGGCTGTCCTTAAGAGAAAAACGGAGGAGGTAAATTGCACGTGACGTAAACGTGACTGGTAATGTTGTGGGCACTAGAATCACTTGTCAGCTGGTTCAGGCATTTGTCGACGTAAACGATTTTGTACTGATGGACCCAAAAAACATGAAAATATCAAGCCTGGTTTTATGGGTTAAAAAGGGGGATTCTCGAATGACATATCCACTTTGAAACTTTTGAAAGTTAATGAAGTAAAATGAAATGCGTAGACTTTTTGTCAAATCTGATCTTACTCATCGTGCTGAGGTACAAAGTAAGTAATTGGCCATTCTTGGTTTGGGGTGGGGAAACCTTCGAAAACGGATAATGGGAATAACAGTCTTGAAAAAAGGACATGACTGGAGACTCTTCTGCAATGAAAGGGTACATGGAGAGAGATTTTTTTCATCTTGTCACAAGCTTGGGACAGAGAAGTATTCGGAGTTCCTTAGAGAAATTAAATCCTCATAGCATCGAATTCAAAGCTAAGCGTGAACATCTTTCAGGTGTCGGCAGTTCAGAAGCGTTTGAAGATGGCGCTGGATCGTCAAAAAGAGGCGGCGGAGAAGAAATCCATGATACAACAGCAACAACAAAAACAGGCCGAGGGACTTGTACCAAGAATGAAGGTATCTCCATCAAGCACAGACGTCTTTAATCTTCCTATGACAGCTTTAAGGCTACTACTACGGCTTTGACGCCTGTTTACCACCATTTATTCGGTGGAAAGCCCTTGGTTTGGTGCCAGATAATAACTGCAACTATTGCGCCATTCAAGGATTAAAAAATAAAAACCAACGAACATCGCTGCTTAATTCGAATTTTTTTTTTTTTTTTTGCTTTTGGGCTTATGCGATTCATTTTGGCGCGCATGAACTTTAAAACTCACCAGTCATCTGGAAACCCTCGATGAAGAGTTTTAAGCTCGATGAAATGTTATGTTAACGGTGGTAGCATCGGAGTTCCGAATGTACGTTCTCGGATCAGAAGCTAGGGATGAGTGACCTTCGTTCTCGGTCAAAAAGAAGGCACCCAAAATAAATGGAAAACCGTGAAGTGACTTACTTCACGAGATGAGTGCGTTTTGAAAACTTGGGTTTGCAAAAACTTAGATTTTGCCTTTTTTCGTAGTCCTGGTTAGGTCATGAAGTTGAAGGTCCTTGTGAGTGTGGGCCAGGCTAGACAGACACTAGAAAATCTCATTGAAGACAGGAAAGTGTTGTCGAGACAGCTGGCAGAGTTAAGAAATCAGGAGCAGGATGAGGATGACGAACCTGCTGCTAAGGTACGGTTTGTCAGTCTGTCAATTTGTCTGTCAGTTAGTCTTTAGTGGTGCTATGATATAAAAGATCCTTACCACCTATGATAGCTTTTGATTTGTTTGATCTCTTCATCATTCCATTACGAGCAGTCCCTCCTTTTCTGCGAAGTCTGTCCAGCAAGTTAAAAATATTTAGCGAAGAAGAACAAAAATAGATGTAAGCGCGCCGCGCGGAACTCCAGGAGTGAGGCGTAGTACTTTTCGTGCGCCTAATTCCCAGAGTTCAGCATGGCTCTAAAGGAGGGACTGCTCTTAGTTCACGACCTCATCACCTTTTGTTCTCACCTGGTGACTTTCAGTGTCCATTTGACATATCAGTCCCCATAAAGGTTCACCACTGAAACGTTGGCAGAATTTCCTGAAGGGGTTTGCCTTGTACTTAAGAGTTATGTTTGTGCTCACAAATTCTGTATTTTTATGTCATCTTGGGTGGATGTGTAGAAAATGGTCCAAGATGCTGGCACTCCAAGCGACAAGAAAAACAAGTCTCATATTTTACAGAAAAGAATCACCACCCTTGAACACGAGCTCGAACTAAGGTTTGTTTATAGGTCGTCAAGAAAGGTCGATAATTTTTCTTTTTATGTTTCAACTTTTGCTTCTCATTCAAATTACTTTATCTTTTTTACTTCGTAATTCTTTTCCTCCTCGTCAGCTTTCTCACCAGACTTTACGGAGTTTTTTTCAAGGCGTTTTACTGTGGTTTGTTTTTTTGGAAGTTAAGATACCAATGTTTTTAAAAATAACTACCCCCTTACCAACGATTCACGTTATCTTTGACCATTATCTCCAGCAATGTTAACGCAAAAGGCCGAAGATAAGTTACTCGCTAACAGAACTTTTTTTTCTTTTCTCACAGGAGTTCCCAAATCGCTGGGCTACAGCACAAGATTCTTGATGCAGAGCAAGGTAAAACTTAGCATGATCTTAGCTGAAGATAATATGCAAGAGAGACTTAGAATGGGAATTCAGCAATCAAAAGCTGCGAAACTGTTTGCTTTGAACAGCTATTGACAGATTCTTTGTTGAAAAGGCGAGACGGCCACGATTAAGGAACCTGGTCTAGATTTAAAAGAAAAAGGGAGAGTGAGATTCACAGGATCAGAACTTGTTCCGTACCTCCTTTCCCTATTTCAAAGCGTGTTCTTTTCTTTAGCGGAAAACATTCCAATAAAAAGAACCTCTGAAATATTTGCCTACTCTCAGCAATGCGAAATGATTTTATCGTGAGTTTCTTTTCAATTCATGCCCTTAACCCGAACCCCCGTACCCAATCTGATTTCCCATCAATTATATGATAGAAGTTAATCCTTTGCATTTCTAAGCAATTTTGCAGCTGATCATCAATGTAAAAGAGAGATTTTTCTTTTGAAAATAGGTGAAAAGTCGAGACATCGCTGGAACAACATTCACAGCATGGCTGAAGCAAAAGCAGGGCTACAAGTTTTGCTAAACATGGTGGGTTATTTTCGTTTCCTGTCTCTTTTGTTTTCGAATAGAGCGATGGTCCACACATACCGCAGATAGCGAAATGATTGCAATACACTTAAGTGTGTAAACTTAATTTGAGTATTTTTAAAATTTTCGTAGGAATCGCTCACGATTCTCTTTATCGTTCGAGTGGTATTTTTCCGTCGCTGTTTACATAAATCTGCAAGATAAACAGAAACTATAATTTTATCACTGTCTACAGTTGAGCCAAAAATGTGGATTTTTGAATTGAACGAAACGAAACGGGAAAAGTTTAGCTTTTAATGTAATTATGTCATAGGAAGAAAAAATGTGAAGGACGAGGTATTGGACCCATTCAAATTTACAGACTAATTTCTGTTTCAAAGTGCACATACAATGCGTTACTCGAAGCGCAACAAGCCCGTCGTGGGCCCTGCCCTGTTTTTAAGTACAGATGATACCGACTGAAATTCCAATATATTGCTATCTTTGTAGACAGTGGCGGCGACTCTTGTCAACACAAAGGCGGAGAAATCTCGAGAGGAGTCTGAGTCCCAGTTAACAGAACTAAGGTCGCGTGAGGAGGTGAGTGAGAGAGAGCTATGCGCACCACCGCATATGTGCATTGAAATTTAACTTAGCTCCGACGTAACACGGAAGAGCTGAAAGAATCCTTTGGGAAGGACGTTCGGGTGAAGATAAAGTGGGAATACATCGTTTCAGCTTTTCTGGGAAAAAAGACATTTTCTAAATGTCTAAATAGAATTTTATTAGAATAAATTCTAATAAATGTGCTATCTCGCGACTTATTGGAATAATGAATATTTATGAACGGCAAATCGAAATATCCTTTGGATGTCGCTTTTAATTTATCGGCGTCCGTACATTTGGCGTAGATCTTCAGGTTACTTACGTGTTAATTTTACTGAAGCAGCCAATTTCTGTTTCAGTCCATGACTGAGGAGCATCAGGCTGAAATAAAAAGTATTCAAAGATCTCACGACAATTTCGTGACACGTCTTAAGGAAGAACACGAGGAGAAGGTCAAATGCCTTCTACAGCAAATACCTTCCAGCGACGCCTCATTTAATTCCCAGCAGGAAACAAGGGAAGAGCTTCAGGTGGGAAATAATTAAAAGTTTTCTGCTGATAACATTTTATAGATTCTTGATGAGAAATTGCTCCCTTCCACGATTAGTCTAAAAAAATTGCACCACCCTGCCATCCCATCAAGGGCAAAACTAAAACCATCCACGTGCTGGTCACCTGCGATTTTTTTCGCGCTTCAGGCAGTTTTGCTTATTATTACTTTGAATTCCCATTGGCCCCTTGTGAATTGTGATATTTTCCTGCTTCTGATTGGCTGTTGGGATTACTTTTTTCTGGTTCTACAACACTCAGTCAATCGAGAACTGCCATAATCTAACTTCATTGCCGTTTATTTCCTTTTTACAGGAGCAACTTGAAGCGTTGAAAGAAGAGAACAACAACTTGAAAGAGGTATGAGTCACATGTTACTGTATTTGTTCACAAGTTGTTTTAATTATTACCTAGGACGTCTTGCGAAGTTGAAATCTCGAAAAGTGAGTCTCGAACCTTTAAAAATGCGTCGTTCGAATGTCACTTGAAATTATCACAGTCTGTATCTTTTGATTTATGTGAGTGTTTCCTTTTTAGCAATTGAGACAACTGAAGGAAGTCTTTGCATCTGACTCTCCATCCCCCAAACCAAAGAAACAGGTAATTAATGAAGAAAAAATTTCTTCTATCGATTTTCTGCTTATTCCACGAATTTTGCGGGTTTTGTTTTCCTTTTCCGCTTAACTGTCCAAGAGAAAGTCTCAATATATAAAGACGCGTGCTTGCAAATAAAACCAGTAACTTAAGATAAAAGGACCTCAGTTTCATATTGAATGAATCGATCGTGGTTACCCTATTTTCTCGGCAGATTTAAGTTATTCTATCTAAGATCGTAAACTTGTTCGTCGTTTTTTTTAACAACATGTACGCGTGCAGAGTGCACTCAAACCAGTTTGTCCAGATGTACATGAGGGACTAACGTTGGAAACATCATTTTTCCGATTTACAAATTCTGATTAAATTTTGCACTTTTTTCAAGTTGTTTCCACCTGCTAGCCGAGGCAGCCCAAAATTTACAATCTTGCATTCCCTTTTTTCCCTTAGAAATCAAAGAAGAAAACTGTGGAGTTGCACGAACACGACGAGGACTGGGCTATGGATTTGAGTGAGGAGAGCGAACAGGAGGACTTGGTTGAGCTCGACCCAGACTGGGTGAAAACCCCTATAGGCCGTCGTCCACAACGGAGGTCTGGACGAACCACCCGGTCTACTGACGCTTCTTCATTGCTAGTCAACAATTCTGGACAAGGACAGGTAACTGGGCAATTCGAAGATATGGTATCTTAGTGCTTTCTAAAGAGTTAACCAGTGCTTTTGAAAAAGCGCTGCGTCCGACGGAATAACCAGAGCGTCATTGCCCTGATTTCCAATCTCCTTCTGACAGGGGTGCGTTGTTCATCTCGACGCGCTTGCTTGAAGGAGAAATGTCTTTGTCGAGAGAGAAGGCGCTCGCTTTCCCTTGATCATGGAGGCCTGAGTGGCTTTCACGGGAAGAGCAGTTTAAAATTACGTGGATGAAGGGATCAATAAAAAGATGAATGAGTTAACCGGAAGAAAAGGAGAACGGACAGATGTTACCAACGTACTGACTGACTGACTGACTGGCAGATTGATGGGTTGACAGATTGATTGATTGATTGACTGACAGGTTGATTGCTTGACTGACTGATCGATTTGCTTCCATTTTTTTAGGGATGTAAGTGCACAGGGAAGTGTGCAACAAGTAACTGTCTTTGCAAGAAGAGCTCTGCCGCTTGTTCAGACGAATGCGGATGTAAAGCAGTGAAATGTGTTAATCGTCAACTGGTATTTGTATTTCATGTTTACCATACATTACGTTTAAGTACCTTTTCATGAGAAAGTACTTTCTCCTCCACTTTTTAACTGTTAAGATTCTTCTATTCCTCTTTCAGAAATCTCTACAGGAAGTGCCAATTGTGGATACGGTAATGCTAAGTGAAAATGGAAATGGTGAGGGAAATGGTATGTAGAAGAGAAACATACATATGAGTTAGTCATTCGCCTCGCTTTCATTTTCTCGTGCCGAGGTTTTCCCGACCCATCCGTCATTATGAATGTGGTGTATGTACTGTGTCAATTAAGTTGCAACTTCACCTGAAAGAGAGGGAGATCTACCAGGTCTAAGTCTGTGCTCTGAAAGAACCGTATACACCCACAAGTTGTGGGTAATTTTTTGAAGTGCTCCAAGCTGCGACTGTTGTGGTTGCCTTAGCGAGTAGAATTACTTTTTGTCGACAAATTTTGAAAGGAAAGTCTTCAACTTGGCGACCTGTTTTAGGTATATTTTCGAGCTCATGGACTTGAGTTAAAGTGACATAAACGTTTGCACAAAGAACGTTAAATGCTCCATTATTTTAATTTCATTTTACGACTGGATTACCTCCTTTTCTTTTTCAATATGTCATGTAATATCTAAAATTTTTTTTATCTGGTGACTAAAATTGTATTTTCTGGTGACCGTGTTATGACTTATTGTTGCCAAATGGCGACTTTGCAAAACGCTGAGCTAAGTTAGGATTTTGATATAAGTTGTTGATTTGTAAGCAGGGAGGTTGCTAATTTCTCAGGCTTTGTCGTCCGTTTCATGCCTTAGCCTTCTGCTCGGATTTAAAGACAACGTCATCCCACATCGTGACATTATAAAATTGATTGATTGATTGATTGATTACGTTTTGTAAATGGTTTCTTTCTCACAGCTTCCTCACCATCCTTAAACGCTGACAGAAATGGGCGACAAGCATTGGTCGAATTGAAAAATGTATCCCAAGAAATGAAGTATGAAAACAACAAAGCAGCGCCATTGTCCGTTAAACAAAATGGAACGGAGAATCAACTGGCAACGAGTAAAAAGCCTAAAGTGTTTCACAAACCTCACTCTAGCAGTTCGGTTTCATCTTCTGATGAAGACGGAGGTCACTCAAAACATCGGGGTTTCTCTAGACCCGGGTCCACACCTGGACGGTCTGTGCCCGGTCACATCAAATCGAGGGCGCCTGGGTTCAGTTTTGGCTCTGCCAAGAAGATTGTTGTAAATAAGCCAATTGCAAAGTTCGACCATGAAAACAAGAGGAAACGAAAGTTGTTGAAACCTTCCAAAACAGCCTTAAGCTTGGTTGGTAAACCTTGATATGTAATTGGCGGTGCAGCTGAGTACCGTGGTTTTCGAATATAATTCGTATTGTAAATAACGTCAGCTATGAAGGCTAAGATACGAAGAACTGAATGAGCCAATCAGATTTTTGTTTATATACAGCGGTTTTATTTAGTTGTTACTTCTTACAGCCTGTTGTCTTCATGTTTTCTTTACGAAAATATCATCAATCACTTTCACGAGTTCAAGGATGATAAACCCATGGTAATCTTCCTTTTAACAGATTTTTTTATCATTTTTCTTCTATAAGCAAGGCTTTCGTACAGTAATTGTCCACGAATTGAAATACTGGTTGTTGTTGTTATTTTTTTTTTTTCATTTTGGTAGTTTTATTGTAACAAATAATTTCTACTGCTTTCAAAGCATTTCAAGTGAGTGTGGTAAAACCAAAACCAAAGTTATCAGTGGCCGATCAAAATAGAACAAAATAACACAAGCAGCCATTGAGAATTCACCGAATGACCGAGTGGTTTTAGTTCTGCCTCTGGTTGTTCGAAATGGTGACGCGAGTTTCAAGACCAAACCATGGTGAAGCAATACGTCAGCAATCGCGGTTTACTATCGACACTTAATTGAAAACCGCTATTTTTGCCTGTTTTAGCCAATTGTAAATTTACAGCACTAAACAACCAAGATGCAAGATTAAACAGTATGAAGTTTGAATCGTTTACTTTTTTGGTTTCTGTGCTCAAGATATAATTTCCTTAACGATTCAGTCAGGGTTTTTTATTGCCACTTTATTTACAACCTTTAAAGCTTGAACTACAATTGAATAAGTACAAGCAAAAAGTTTTTCACTTCCAGTTACTTTTCTTTCTCCATATTGACTCTACGTGATTAGTATGTTAGTTTTTTTTTCCTTCTTTTTAAGATTTAGCCAAAATAAAGTTTGTTCGTTGAAGGCAAAACTTGTTAAGTGCCCCTCTTCGATTAAGCGCCTTCTTTTAATTGATATCGTCCCCGCTTTTAGCCGAAATTTTAATTAGGCGCCTATTCGACGAACCATTACATCAATAGTGTAAAATAGAATTGGTCATGGCTAATGGAGCGTAATAGTTACGGCCAGTTACACATTTTATCTAGCAGATTTCTTTGTCGATAGCTGTTATGAACCTCAAACAAATAACGACAAGATTAAGTTCTTTCAATGAAAGCATTCAGTTTTTTTTCTTTCTATCGCGAACGGCTCAGATTCGGTCAAATTTTCATATTGCCCAAACTGCTAACATGGCAGGTTTTTTTCTCGTTGCATGACTTACTTTGAAAATCTCGTTGTTTAAGGATTTGTGAATTTGTGATTTATATCTGATGAAACAAATGAAGGCCGGTTCACGGGAAACAATTAATCTACGGCTGTGCTCTAAAAATGATAAATTCTTAATACGTTACGGGAAATCGACGCAACTGTGAGACAATAACAGTAGGTGGTCATTGAAGGTGACTAGAGATTAGTTTGACGATTAAAACAGTCGCCCATCTGACGGATAATTCTAAAGAGTAACCGCTCCAGAACTTTTCACTCCGCAGAATGAGTTGTTGTCATAATTCTTAATTTTATAATTAAAATTGGCTCCGGAGGAAGACTTTTATTATCCGTAAATTCCCCAGCAACTCTTTTCTTTAAAGATAATGGACTTCTTACTTCTTTCGCAGACCAAGTTATAACCCGACGCCACGCGGGGATATCAACAATCGCTTATTATTTAATACCCGTAGGCAATATTATTTCTTTTCAAACTGACTTCTTGTAGTTCTATCTTTTGACTACTGAATGACGTTATGTTTTGATGGAAAAATGTGTCGTTTTCATCCACATCCATTGATTGAAAAAACATACACAGTCTTTTACGACGGTTGAGTGGTTTGTGAGGTAATCACTTTTAATCGGCTACGACTATAAAATAGAAGAAAAAATGATTCATGTTCAGTACTTCGACTTAACCGAAAGGAAAGCTTATGATAAGTGAAATCCAAACAGGGATGCCTTAATACAGAAGGCGCCGACAATGTCGCCTTTTTTTTCTTAATTTCGCTAAACGTAATTAAAAGTGGATGCTACTTGGATAAACAAATCGACTGCATATTGACTTTATGTCAATGTACGCTCCCCCAGTGAATGAGCTGTCATCAAAGACCACACTTTATCACCTGCCGATAGAAATTAGAAATAGTGAAGTAAAATCGAAAAAAAAAGGCGATTTCGATCGATTTCCTGTTTCTACCTGTATCAAATTGAGATTCTCTCAGCCGATTTGGATAAAAATTAATGGCGGTTTGTCCAAGACAAATGATTTATCTTCCAAACAGTTTTTGACCGATAACGGATAGCTATAGATGTGTGATAATTTTGAATAGTGCGAGTTATGTCTTAACGTATTACCAAGTTAAATACGGGAGATTGTGCCAAAAGTAACAAATGTCAACGACAAGTTCAGTAGATTGCGATAGATTTGAAATGACCCGACACAAATATGAAGAGAAGCTTTCTTCAGAGTTTCAAACACGACAAACTTTCCTCGTTGTGATCGAGACACTAATTTGTCTTGTTATTACGGGAGTATCAATACTGGGAAATGGTCTAGTTTTTGTTGCTGTATATAGAAATCCGCGACTTCGAAAACCCTCTAACTTGTACATAATTTCACTGGCTGTTTCGGATTTGGTATTATCTGCTGTTGCAATGTCGTTTACCTGCGTCTCGGCAATGGTTGGAAATTGGATGTTTGGAGCAGCACTGTGTTGGTTCCAAGCGTCTTTGGCTACCATGCTCGGGACAACATCTCTGATGAACATGGCTCTTATTGCAGCCAACAGGTTTTTAAAAGTTGTCTATCCAAACATGCATCGCAAACTGGTGTCGGTTAAAACAATTTTGATTTCCATAGCATTTGCTTGGTGTTTCACGGGTGCCATTCCGGTATCATTTTACATCACGAATGTTCATAATGTGTTTCATCCCGGCCATATTGTTTGTTTGTTTGACTTCAGCAGCGCAAGTTACACTCTTATCGCTCTAATTGGAGTTTTCGAGGCCTTTATACCTTACCAAGTCATCTTTATCTGTTATTTTAAGGTGTGGCGTTTTGTTAAAAGGCACACTTCTCATATGAGCTCTTCTAACGTAAATGCCGAAGATGTTCATCTCAATCGTTTGTTGTCGTGCATTGTTGTCAGCTTTACAATATGTTACACTCCATTTCTAGTGATTATTTTGATCGAAAGTTTTCACGAACATTTTTCTATTCCTCGGCAAGTCTACTTCTTCGGCACAGTTATGGTAGGACTGGGAAGCTGTGTAAACCCAGTTATTTACGGTATTTTGAACAAGGATTTTAGGCAAGAATTCAACTCCATATGTCGAATACGAAGAAGGGTCGAACCACAGGAATAAACATATGAGCCAAATTTTGTTCGGAGTTGCAGTCAGTCTGCTATATACTTTATCTCTGTCAATAACCCCCTGATCTGATAAAGCTAATGCGTTTTTAATTCATCACCAAATGAGAATAATAAAATCTTCGTGGAAAGGAAGAACAAGAGTGAAAATGAACGTGTCCAAATTTATGGGAGTTTGATGACTGAACACATAACAACTGTACTTGTGCCACTGAATTCAGTCAGCTGTACAAAGGGTGTTTAGAATCGAGTGCTGCACGAAATCTAATCAAGTTCAACTGTTTCACAAGTGTCGATACTGTCTGAAGCTTAATAGTTATCTGGCTCTTACACTGAGACTTGAGAGTTTCAACTTGAGAGTTTGATTCTGAGAATAAATGTCAGCTTGTCGTCACTTTTTAGTATAATGCCATCAACAGACTATGCAAATGCAAATCTAAAGTCGTATCTGCAAGGTAAATATTCTGACCAGCCTACAGCAGTATTATGACATGTACTATGACATGTTTGATATTCGCAAATAAAGTATGATTTTCCGTGAATGTAGAGAGCTTTTGCTGTTTCATTTTTGCCTAAGTGAGCACTTAATATTTGAGATCGACATCAGCAAAAAGTTATGAAATGAACTATGGCCAGTACTAAGTGGACAACGCAGTGCATCCGAACTTGTACATTGCGGGGAATGGCGAAATGACCGCTTAATAAAGGTTCCACAGAATAGTGATGCTATAAAAATACGAACTAAGAGGGCCATTTCATCCCATAACTGACCTCCTGATATACAAAGAGTCGCTCAAAAATACTATTTAAATTGAGAGGAGAAAAACATGGATAAAATTTTGCTTCAGAGATTATCCTTAGTTTTATTTGAGGGGTTCCGCTCTAAGTGACCGTCCAATACAAGCGGGAAACAATGTTTGGACTCAGTAATTAATGACCACGACTGCTTAATAGAGGAGACCGTTTAATACGGTGCTGCTTAATACAGGATCGACTGTATTATTGTGATTATTATCAATACAATAATCATTATTGATATTATTACTATTATAATTGTTATTGTCATTACTCTTTATTATTGTTATTATTATGATCATTCTTATTAGTACTTTAATCATATAATCCTTGACAAATGAATTTCAATACCGACCCTTCATGAGGAACGTAGTGATTATGCTTATTTATTCCAAGTTGCAATTGAAATCTTGTGATTACCCACACTAATTTACCTAAGAGGATCTTCGACTTTAATCAGATCGTCTTTTCGTCAACAGAATCAGTTCACCCGAACCACTGAGCTGGAATAGAACGAGGTCTTTTACCTGTGCTTAACCCTTTAAGTGACCAAAACAGATTTTCTCCTTACAATATCAATACAATATCAACCAGATAAGTGATGAGAATAAAGATAAATATCAATTTGGGGACAATTAGTTGATTCAATACTAAATTCTCTGAACTAACATTATAAGAATTGTATGATTGACAGTAAGGAGAATCACAAATTTGATCTGGGAGTCCAAGGGTCAAACGATTTCTCTGATAAATTTTTTAATTGATGCTGCATGTTCCTAAACAGCAAGACAACCCAGCAAAAGCTGGGTTGTCTCGTTGTCCATGTGCATTTTGTGCACACAACAGAGGGCTATAAACATTTTTGGACTTCGACCTCGTTGCCTGACGAAGGCTAGCAGTCGAAACGTCGCGATCAACACACGATCGCTTAGCCTGACTCTTTCATCTTTGGACAAACGATTGAACGTTCATTTATCTATGCAAATCAGTAGTCGTTAGGCAATTATTGATTCAGATTTTTTTTTAATACTGAGATGTTCTCTTGCTAAATCCATGAAGATTATACAGCTTAAGTAGTGTTCATTACTGCGAAGATCGCTTTCATATTCATGTCTCTTGGTAGTGTTGTTATCTTTCTCCCAGCCACACTTTGTCCTGTGTCTTAGTACATGCATGGATTTTGGACCGCGCAACCGTTTAAGCCTTTCTTCAATTTTTTTCTGCATCTGAATGCAGTTTTGAATCCTTTATTGAACTTTGGGCTAAACAAAGATATACGTAAAGGACTGAGGAAACTGTTGGAATGTTCCCAGCAGGTGCACTCTGCATAAAAACCTCAGAGTCAACGACTCAACAACATTAGAAAAAACAACAACAACAACAACAAGAGCAACAGCCACACCATGAAGATCAACAAAAACATCAACAGCAACGACCACAACAAGGAGAACGAGAACGGTCGAAGAGATTCAAAGCATGCAGAGGTAACACTGAAGGCAATCAAACAGCATGATCAAAAGTAAAAACAGAAACGACAGCAGCATAAAGAAAAGCAACACTGGCAGCGAACTCTATAACAACATAAATGACAACGGGGAGAGACAAGGACTGACGAGGACAGAAACCAATGAGAGACTAAGGACATACGGTCTTGGTGAAAATTTGGGTTCGGCTCATGTCAACAGTACTTAATAAGAGAACTGCAGAATACACTTTTTTTCTTTAAATTCGTGTTGTATAACCTTCGATATTCCATAACTTATATTATGGTCTAATGAGCGAATGAGAGACCTTCTCACTGAAATCAAGTAAACAAGGCGAAACCTGCCAGAAATCGGTCATTATTTAAAGACGAAAATTCGTAGCGCATGAAGGATTAGGGTTTGTGATACCAAAGCGGCATTTTTGATAAGTCGTTCAAAGACTGTCTTGGCTAACGAAATGCAGATGGGGGAGGAGAGGGAAGGGGGGCTAACCTACGATTGCCTAACACTCTAGCCAGGTGGATGTCCGATACTCCAAGTCGCTTACTGCATATCAAATCACGAGGAGCGACAGCTGTTTTGTAAATTAGACATCTTAAAGAAACTAATGAGGGTGATTATGTGGGGAATAATCGAATGCATTCGTTTTAATTTGAAAGAAGAATTTTTATACTGTAGCAAATTGAGTACATAAAAGTGAATATAAAAATATAAGTAAAAAAAGTACATAAAAGTATGTATAAAAGACGTATTTTCAATTTGAGACATGCTAGAATATAACCGGAATTGAAAAGCCAGGAATATTTGCAATCTTTAAACTAGACTAATGATAAAGTTCTTCTTGCAACATTCGGTTCTGCAATGTGAACGCACAAACTTTGCAAATTCCCAAGTGAATAGTCGAATTGAGCCTTAATCATTGTAAATGCGGTATATATATAAGAATATATATTAGGTTAGTTGATATATATTAATGGTATTATACTGACAAACTATAACATCGTGTAGCACCGTGTAAAACATGAGTACAGAGTTACTAAGTTAAGTGTCGTGTCTTAAGTTCTCTTCTCTGCACTTTCAGAATATCAAGACAACTCAGTGAGTAACATTTGCGTGAGGAGACAAATATTCTCATGCCGAAATGGGTTTGTTGTCTTCTCTCGAATGTATAAGAAATCCTCGTTCCACCAAAAATTCTTCCCACAGACTCAAAAAACGGGTCGAAGATAGTGCGCACACACAGGCTAAACAGCTTCCCAAGGCACTGCAGCCCAATGACGTAAGCGCGCAAACAGGGCATGATGTACCGGATGTAATCAAAACTTAGAAAAGCAAAGTAGATTCCACACAAGATGGTAGTAGGTACTCCACAGATAGCTGTAATTATCCTGTAACACCAATACTTGGTGGCCACGAACGTATTGAAGCTCGCCCGCCAGACCCTATCAATGCTGTGGGATCCATCCAGCTCAGCAAATAAGTCTTGAAAGAAAACTTGTTAGGAGAGAGCGAAAAAAAGTCTGAGTCACTTTTCATTACAAGTCGTCACTGGTTTTGGTTTTTCAGAAATTTATTTCATTGCTTGTTTCTGGTGGGAAATTAAACTAAAAATAGTCATATAAAAACTCGCTCATTTACAACGGGATACCCGCTCCCATTTCGTAAAAGTACTGCGCTTTCGAAATCTATGCATTTAATCACTGAAAAATACGTTTCATTTCAGTTGCATTTCAGGTTACAGATAAGGAGCCTTTCAATTGTTCCAGAAATGAGTGTCACGCCACACGGGTCAAAAGAATCGCTCTTTAGAGCGGTGAGAGGGTGGATCAAGTTTAAACCCCTGTAATCAGTATACAAGCTGATCAGCATTCCTTCAGCCATGACCCAATTTAAGTTCAAGTTGAAGAACTATTTGATCTTTTAACCAGAGAATTTAAGAACCTCCACGGGTATGCACTCATGACAAAATTCTTAGCCACAACGGTGTTAAGAAAAGAAATTGAACATGGACTTTTAGCCCGTTTGTACCGAAATTTTCCGCACAAAAGTGACACCAAATGAACAATGCCAACACCCCTCTCCTAAAACACTCGCATGAAATAGAGGATCGCTTAAAATTTTTGTTTATCAAGGTCTTTGAGGCAAATAGAGTAAATTACTTGTAAAATATTCCCCCTCTGTACCTTGACGTGGTCGTTCATTTTGACGGGATCCCTTTCTGTCTTATCCCGTTGATGCCCGTAATGAATCGCCGGTAGAACATCTTGAGTGAACGATGGTTTAGTTCGTTCAATGAAAGCATTCAGTTTTTTTTCCTTTATATCGCGGACGGCTCACTGTCGGTCAAATTTCATATTGCCCAAACTGCTAACATGGCAGGTTTTTGCTCGTTGCATGGCTAATATGATTTGTGATTCATAACTAATGAAACAAGTGAAGGCCGGTTCACGGGAAGCAAATAACCTGCGGCTGCGCTCGAAAGATTATAAATTCTATATAAGATACAGGAAATCGACGCGACTGTGAGACAGTAAGTGGTAATTGAAGGTGGCTAGAAATTAGTTGACGATCTGACGGATGACTCCAGACATTAACCGCTTAAGACCTTTCGACATCACTCCGCAGAATTTGTTGTCATGATTCTTAATTTATGATTAAAATTGGCTTCGGGTGAGGAAGACTTTTTAATTATAAGTAAATTCCCCCGCAACTCTTTGTTTAAAGATAATGACTTTCTTACTTCTTTCGCAGACCAAGTTATAAACTGACGTCACACGGGGATATTAACAATCGCGCATCATCTGATACCAGTAGGCAATATTATTTCTTTTTACTGACCTCTAATAGCTCTACCTTTTGACTGATTAACGACCCTATGTTTTGATAGAAAAATGTTTCGCTTATACCCACATCCATTGATTGAAAAAACATACACAATCCTTTAAGATAGTTAAGTTGTTTGTGGGGTAATCACTTTTAATCGGCTACGACTGTAACATAGAAGAAAAAAATGATTTATGTTCAGTACTTCGATTTATTCGAAAGGAAAAGCCTATGATAAGTTAAATCCAAACAGGGATGCCTTAACCCAGAAGGCGCCGACAATGTTGTCTTTTTTTTTTTTTTTTTTTTTTTTTTTTTTCAATTTCGCTAAACGTAATTAAAAAAAGTGGATGCTACTGGGATAAATAAATTGACTTTCTGTTAAAGTACGCCCCCCCGTAAAGGAGCTCACCTGTCATCAAAGACTACACTTTATCACCTGCTAATAGAAATTAGAAAGAGAAAAGTAGAATCGAAAAAAGATAAAAGGCGATTTCAATTGATTTCCTGTTATCATCTGTATCGAACTGATATTCTCTCAGCCGATTCGGATAAAAACTAACGGTGGTTTGTCAATAAAGACAAATGATTTGTCGTCTAAACAGTTTTTGACCAATCACGGATAGCTATAGATGTGTGATAATTTTGAATAGGGTGAGTTATGTCTTGACGTATTACCAAGTTATTAAATACGGGAGATTGCACCAAAAGTATTGAGTGTCAACGACAAGTTCAGTGGATTGCGGTAGACTTGAAATGACCCGACACGAATATGAAGAGAAGCTTTCTTCAGAGTTTCAAACACGACAAACTTTCCTCGTTGTTATCGAGACACTAATTTGTCTTGTTATTACGGGAGTATCAATACTGGGAAATGGTCTAGTTTTTGTTGCTGTATATAGAAATCCACGACTACGAAAACCTTTCAACTTGTACATAATTTCACTGGCTGTTTCGGATTTAATATTATCTGCTGTTGCAATGCCGTTTACCTGCGTCTCGGCAATGGTTGGAAATTGGATGTTTGGAGCGACACTGTGTTGGTTCCAAGCGTCTTTGGCTACCATGCTCGGGACAACATCTCTGATGAACATGGCTCTTATTGCAGCCAACAGGTTTTTAAAAGTTGTCTATCCAAACATGCATCGCAAGCTGGTGTCGGTTCAAACAATTTTGATTTCCATAGCATTTGCTTGGTGTTTCACGGGTGCCATACCGGTATCATTTTACATCACGAATGTTCATAATGTGTTTCATCCCGGCCATATTGTTTGTTTGTTTGACTTCAGCAGCGCAAGCTACACTCTTATCGCTCTAATTGGAGTTTTCGAGGCCTTTATTCCTTACCAAGTCATCTTTATTTGTTATTTTAAGGTGTGGCGTTTTGTTAAAAGGCACACTTCTCATATGAGCTCTTCTAACGTAAATGCCGAAGATGTTCATCTCAATCGTTTGTTGTCGTGCATTGTTGTCAGCTTCACAATATGTTACACTCCATTTCTAGTGATTATTTTGATCGAAAGTTTTCACGAACATTCTCCTATTCCTCGGCAAGTCTACTTTTTCGGCTCAGTTACGGTAGGACTGGGAAGTTGTTTAAACCCAGTTATTTACGGTATTTTGAACAAGGATTTTAGGCAAGAATTCAACTCCATATGTCGAATACGAAGAAGGGTCGAACCACGGGAATAAACATATGTGCCAAATTTTGTTCGGAGTTGCAATCTGTTTGCTATATACTTGTCTCTTTCAATAATCCCCTTATCTGATAAAGTGAATGCGTTTTTAATTCATCACCAAACGAGAAAAATAAAATCTTCGTAGAGAGGAAGAACAAGGGTGAAAATGAACGTATCCAAATTTACAGGAGATTTTGCTGGATCGTATCAGCTTCGTCAAATTTTTGCACTCCCCTCTGAATTTTTTTCAGTAAACATTGGCTGATTGTTAAAATAAATGTTTCGAATTCCAGAGAAGGTCCCATAAAGAATTGAAGATTGAATGATATTGAATGTTTTGTAAGCTGAATCATTCTTATCTTTCAGTTATAAACTTTTTCAGTTATTTTCGGCTTGAATTGTATAGTTTGCCGGTGTCCTAGCGGATTTGGACCCTCGGTCCAAATTCGCCAGTAGATATGGACCCCCGGTTTTTCAGTTATTTTCGTGAAATAGCGAGTACTAATGTATGTTTTTAATTTAAAATATGCATGCGTATCGCCAATGCATAGAACAGGAAAATGACCCGTCGGATGTTTCTTTTTCAAATTTCAAAGGTTGTTTTGAATTTCCGCGATTTGTGGTCGAGCTTGTGACAATTTTTTTGTATAGTTTGCCGGTGTCCTAGCGGATTTGGACCCTCGGTCCAAATTCGCCAGTAGATATGGACCCCCCGGTCCAAATTCGTTAGCAGATATGGACCCCCCCGGTCCAAATCCTCTAGCGGATATGGACCCCTCTCCGCGGATTTGGACCCCCCTAGAGAACTGAGTGAAAACATCATCCTTAACGTTCTCGTAGATAATTATTTGTACCCAATTCATTGACCAGCTCCCAGTTGGCTTTTTGTTGAAAAGCTCAATTGGTTTTCAATCATTCTTTAGAGTTCGACATCTGCACGTCAAAACCGATATCGTGGTCGCAGAGGTCATGGGTTCAGAGCGAAAATCCCATTACGCTTTCAGCGGTTCTACGCGGCCTACGGGCCTGAAGTAAATTTTTCAGGTCCTGAAGATGATTTACAAACTAACGTTTTCGTTTCAGTAGTGTTCTTATGGCTGATGCGAAGGATCTCAGAAATCGGTCATTATTTAATTTCAACTCTGGAGGATGTGCGATACTCAAAAAAACAGGGAGCAATGGCTGTTTTGTGAATCAGACATATCAAAGAAACTGATTTAAGTGATTATGTGGGGAATCGAATGCGCTCGTTTCAGTTTGAAAGAAGAATTTTAATACTGTGGTAAATTAAGTACATAAAAGTAGATATAAAAGTATAAAAGTGTATAAAAGTATGTATAGAAGACGTATGTTCAATTAGAGACATGCTAGAACACAACCGGAATTAAAAAGCCATGAATATTTGTAATCTATAAACTAGGCTAATCATAAAGTTCGTCTTGCAACGTTCGGTTCTGCAAGGTGAGCGAACAAACTTTGCAAATTCCTAGGCGAATAGTTGAATTGAGCCTTAATAATTGTAAATGCGGTATATAAGATTATATTCTAGGTTGGTTGATATATATTAATGGTATAATACTGACGAACTTTAGTAAAACATGAGTACGGAATTCCTAGGTTTAGCGTTATGTTTAAAGTTCTTTTCTCTGCACTTTAAGAAAATCGAGACAACTCAATGAGAAACATTTGTGTGACAAGACAAATGTTATCATGCCGAAAAGGGTTTGTTGTCTTCCCTTGCATGAGAAATCCTCATTCCACCAAAAATTCTTCCCACAGACTCAAAAAACGGGTCGAAGAATGTGCGCACACACAGGCTAAACAGCTTCCCAAGGCACTGCAGCTCAATGACGTAAGCGCGCAAACAGGGCATGATGCACCAGATGTAATCAAAACTTAGACAAGCAAAGTAGATTCCGCACAAGATGGCAGTAGGTACTCCACATATAGCTGTAATTATCCTGTAACACCAGTACTTGGTGGCTACGAACGTATTGAAGCTCGTCCGCCAGACCCCATCAATGCTGTGGGAACCATCCGGCTCAGCAAATACGTCTTGAAAGAAAACCTGTCCGTAAATGAAAAATCAATCTTTTCGTGAGCAAGAAATCTTTCTTTCCGAGTCACTTTTTTTTTGCAAGTCGTCAATGGTTTTAGCTTTTCAGAAGTTTATTTCATTGCTTGTTTCTGGTAGAAAATTACGCTTGAAATAATCATATAAAAATCGATCATTTACAACGAAATACTCATTCCCATTTCGTTTAGTACTGCGCTTTCAAAATCTATGCGTTTAATCTTTGAAAAATACGTTTAATTTCAGTTGCATTTCAGGTTACAGATAAAGACTCTTTCTATTGTTCTAAGAATGGGTGTCACGCCACGCGAGTCACAAAAATACCCTTTTCAGCGGTGAGAGGGCTGATCAAAAGACTTTCCACAAAGCTGGATCAAATGTCAACCCCTGTAATCAATACACAAGCTAATCAGTATTCCTTCAGCCATGACCCAATTTAAGTTCAAATTAAAGAACTCTTTGATCTTTAAACCAGAGAATTTAAGAATGTCAACGCGTATGCACTCATGACAAAATTCTTTGCTACAACGGTGTTACTAAAAGAAATTGAACATGGTTTCCCGAAATTTTTGCTCGTTATATTGAAAAATTTCCGCTCAAAAGTGACACCGAATGGACAGTGTCAACACCCCTCTCCTAAAAACACTCGTATGAAATAAAGGATCGCCTAACATTTTTGTTTATCGAGGTCATTGATGCAAATAGAGTAAATTACTTGAAAAACATTTCCTTTGTGTTTATTTCTGTACCTTTACGTGGTCGTTCATTTTGACGGGATCCCTATCTGTCATATCCAGTTTATGCCCGTAATGAATGGCCAATGGAACATCTGGTGTGAAGGTAAGACGAGGCTTCTCCTCCGCCGGCAGTTCCCCTTCGAATTCGTCGGAAAGATTTTGCTCTGATGTCGACATGTCCGTGTGATGAAAAAAAAATGCTTCAGTTGTGCTTGGAATAAAGAGCAAGCGTCTGGTGTACGCGTGCTTTCTTCAGCTCACTGTATAAATGAACTTTGTAAACACTAAAGGACATTTGATCTCTAAAATGCTTCGATGAAAGGTGTCATGTTTGTTTACCCTGCATCCCATGTTATGGGGTGTTCCGTCGTCACGTCAGCTTGTGTCACGCATTCCTATTATGGACTTTCAATCTCATGACAACCGAAATGATGCGGCTATCATAATCATCCTTTTCTGGACTTTTCTCATTGTTTCAAACTCACCTGAGTTGTCGGTTGATTCTCACACTTGGTAATTCATCTCAAATATATCGGCCTGGAGCTAATGACAATTCATTTACTTACATAACTTTATTTTCAAATTACCGCTAGACGCTGGTAAAAGTAGTTGTTTATCCGATAAATAATATGTTGTCGTTGATGCTATTGGAAAAAAATGATGAACGAAAAGATTCTTTGTTGCCGTGCGTCTGTTCTAGGAGAGAATACATGACATCAAAATGCGGTAAGAACAAAATAGAGGCATACGAGGCTTGTGTCACTGATGTTCTAAACACATCTTGACCTCTCTGTATACTCCTAATTCCAAAATGGCGGCCGTCTGAGGTGAGCTGGGTCGAGAACACAAAAGCGAGGCATCTTGGGTCAAAGGTAGCGAGCTGAAGGATGTCTTTTGAAAGCGCGTTTGTATACGGTCCTTCGTTCTTAGCCGAAGACGATTTTCCTGGAAGTTCTTTAAAAGGAGGATATCCTAGTCAACTGAAAATTTCGGAGTTGAAGTTTCGGCAACAATGTCGGGGTGATTACAAACTTAGACAAACCCAGCAACAAGGATTTTAATTGTTTTATCTGAGATGAAGCCAAATTTTGTCAATGGTGACGTATGTCCTCGAGCTCTAGAAGCTCATTAGTAGAAACCAATCAAAATACTTGCACAGTTAAGCCTATCGTTTATTATCATATTATTACTATATAGATTCTGAGGCATTTTTTTTTTTGCAGTTAGCTCCATATCCATCACTACAATGATCTCATTCGCTGCCGATTTTTGCGTAACATCCCAAAGAAAAACTGCAAAGGAGACTAACGGCACTAGGCAGTGCTTTAATTCGTGTATGATGAAGTCTTAAAGGTTTTCCTCGATTACCATGATCATTATCTTAGTCATCATCGTTATCAATACTGTAATCATAAAATTATAGTGAGGTAACTTTTTTTCAGAGGGAGAATCAGTCGTTACCAATAAAGTATAAAATGGGGACAGAAGAAAATTGTCCACCAATTAAGTACCAATAGAGGGGAGGGTAAGAGATTATAAATAGGAATCAGTCGTTGCAAACAAAGTATAAAAGGGGAGCTATGTAAAATTGACTGCCAACCAGCTGCTAATAGGGGGAGGTGGGGACAAGAGATTATTCACTGGGGCGGTGGGGCATAAGAGCATTAGAGAGCCTTATGGGAGGATCTGGTCAGTTTGTATCGTTACAAAACCAAAAACCTTGGACCTTTCCCCCCCCCTCCCCTCCCCATTTCTCTTTCCCCTTCTCCCCTGGTGATAAATAAATGACCAGTCTCTTGGCTTTCACCGTTTTACTTTCTGAGAAATTAAAACTTCCAAAAGGGTGTGTCAAGGTCAGACCTTCATTCAGCGCAAACCGACACTAATGAGTCTGTTGCTCACTCGATTAGGAGAATGACCATTTGTGTTAAAGGCCACACCGTTGTAGGACGAACTTGTAGACGCAGTGCGGAAGTAAGGCGAGGAGGTATCTCCACACCAAGAGTTGCACCGCTTGTAACAATTTCCTGTGTGACCGGAAACGAAAAAGCCGCTGTAGAACGAATGATCACAGACCAGCAGCTGGTAGTTAAAATTTGTGTTCGTGCCCACTCCGTCCCAGAGGCCCGTTGCAGCAGCGTTCCCGAAGATATTGGCCGCCATTATTGGTTGTTTGGTTTGTCGTTTGAAGTACGCTTTGTTACCAGTTTGATGATCAACGAATAGTACTTCCTTGAACTGAAAAAGAGGAATGAAATTTCCATTTTAATGGGGCAAAGGGACAGTTTCTTTAATCGGTAGTCTTTTCTAGTAATATCTGCTTTGTCCTTTCCTCCTGACCACCTCCATTCGTTCTGGTTTACTAAGGTGATATTTAGTTTAGAACCTTATGGAGAAGATTGCTGATGCCAAAAAAAGAAAAACAACAACAAATCGATTCGAAATCGAAACCATTTGCAATCGATCAGTCGTCGCCAAGAGAGTAAAAAGGGTGGACCATAGGCAATTGCCTGTCAATTAATTGTCAACGAGGGGGGGAGGGGTCATGTGAATATTACAGAGCCTTGAGGGACTACTGCTCTATATTCAACACATTGACCTTTGAGTTATTTCTAAGACGATGAGCAAAATCTTCACCGTAGATTCAAACGATCAGGCTGCGGGAACCTTCAAAGGATGCGAATAAAGCTTCTCCATAAAGTTCGTAAAAAGAAAACGCAAGCCGTAGCTATTGTAGTCTGTAATAAGTTGACTCCATGCTAGGTTTTAAATGACGCTCAAAAATCTGGAAATAAAAGCTGGGTCCTCAAAGCCATAATCAGCTGGCAATCAACTTACTGGGATGTTATTACAGTCTGTCCTGTAACCGTCACTTCCATAAGGAAACTGAGCGTTGTAGGTGACTTGAGTCTTAAGTTTGACATATTCATCGGTAGTGTAACACATGGTCCATCCTCCATCGTAGGACGTCATGTCACAGTAGGCTTGGAATGCATCGGAATGGCTTCCTCCATCCGGGTCTAGCAGGTACATACCATCTACCGTAGATTCATCTAGTCTTTTGATTTCCTCGCAGTCCTTTCCAAAACCTGATTATCCAAGAATGAAATAACACAACTGAAAAATGAGTTCCCAAAAGGCGTAGTATTGCATTTTACATCTTTACCGTGCATAATTCCAAACAGCCGGAGCTCACCAGAGTAAATCGTCATTTTCTCGCAAACAAGCATGGTGAGATATCAATTTTTATTTTTTTGAGCAATGACTTTCTTTCCGTAAAATAAATATAAACCAATTCTCGGTGTAAGAATAATTCTTGGAAACGCAAATTCAGCAATTGCTTGCGAGCATAATTGTCATGATGTTATTGGAATTATATCAGTGGCTTTCTATTTGGTTCAGCTGAACGAGTACAGGGACACCCATTTTTGCTTTTTATTTCAAAAGTTATGTTCTTATAAGATAAACAACCAATAGCATAGGTCAAGTTAAACAGAAATATTACTGCAGGTCCAATTTCAAAGGAATAATCTTAAATACGCAAGCGTCAATTTCAGTTGCCCTATCGACCAGTTAAACCTGGTCTCGAGCCCAGACCTTCCACGGCCAAGCGGTTGAAACATTTCAGTTACACGGTAGGATCTAGGGGCGAGATTAACTAGTTAAAGCGCTTCGGGCCTTCTTTATTCCTTGCAAAATCGTACAATTAAGTTTTCTCTAATTCTGTACTAGGAAAACAAACATCGTATTAGTACACCAATTTTTAGGATACCTTCGCAGTGTTCTCCCATATAACCTGGTGAGCATGCGCACTGATAATCATCATCTACGTAATTGGCCACACACGTAGCATTGTTTTTACAAGGATTGCGGAAGCAAGGACTCTGTCGAGTTGAGAAAAATCATTTCAAAATTATATCTTTATCTCAGCTAAATTTGAAGTAATTCCATCATACTGCATGCATGTTGCAAACTTTTGCAGAGCACCCTCTCCTTCCCCACCCTTTAAGCCCTTGCGCATGGATAAGGCTCTCCATTCGCACGGCATTGTGGGAGTTCGACTTCTGATAACACGTTCGTTAATTGTGTACCCAGAACCTTCCGTGGAAGGTCTGGGAATAAAAGACGCGTACGTAATTGGTATGATAAGCACAGTACTCGTTAGGATAGTGTAAAATAATAAGGATACAGAAAAATAAGTTCCTAGAAAGCATATTCCCATATGATAATTATTAAAAAGGAGAAAGCTGATAAAATTTTTCCAAGCTAATTCACTAACACCTATGAAGACTAGTTAAATACAGCTTTACGTCAAAAAGCCATCCGATTTATACTAACCCAAATGCTGAAGTGGTGAAAAATCGGGCTTGCAATGAGTTTATCCGAGTTATTATACTTGTCAGATGAAAGCAGTTCACACAGCAGTTTCCCATTAACATCAGGAAATGCAGCCAGGTTATAGGAAAAACATGAAGTCGATGTTAAACAAGCCAACCCACAGTCGATGCCATCAGGGACAAACACGGACGTGATTACTGTGATGTTCAAATAGGAAAACTGCTTAGCCTTGAAGTCCATAACCTTAGCAGTAGACTTTCGCCTTGTGCCTGGGAAATAAAATTTGAGTTAATTAAGCAGGATTCATTTTTCAAGTCAATCAATCAATGGGTTAGCCAATCAGTCAATCAAACAGTCAGGCAGTCAATATTTAAACATCTAACATAAGCTTCTTGTTTCGTAAATCATTGCTGAAATCGGATAACTACTTGTCATCGACATGTTAAATTTGGAATAAGAAACTTTTTGAACAAGGTCGAGAACAAACACTTAGATTAGACTAGATCTAATGTATTTTATTAGGCACGTGTGATAGTTCGGCAAAAAATCGAAGACCTGACAATTTGTCAAAGAAATTATAGGTAATACACATTTTCAAAGAAGCGCAACAACATACCTCGAGTTAAGGCCGATCCAGAGCAAATAAAGATAATCGCCATTAAAAGATAGCTTCGATGATGTCGGAGCTTGTATTCCATCTTGTCTTGTGGCTTAACTTCAGCACATCATTCACCTGCACGGTTAAGACGTAAACAATTGCAAACTTTCCCAAGTCATTTCATTTGCGGTCAGTTGGGAAACAAGGCAATATCGCCACCCGTACCACTTAGATGTGGCATTAGCTATTAATTCAACGCTGATGTCATAACACGGTGAAGTTCCTAGGCTGGTTAATTTCGGGGCCTTGCTTTTGAGGATGGAAAATTTTCATAAACTAATTGATTGAACTCATTTAGTTTAGTCAGAACTTTGTCAAAAACAAACTTAGAAGGAAGAATAATGGATGTACAGGGACAATACGAGTATTACAGCAAACCTAAATTATTCATCAATAATGTTTTCGATGATAAATTATGCAGAAACTACATGAAATACTCTCATGTTTTACGAACAATTCCAACAAAGTTTGTCTCATTTGCTTTTGAAAGTTAGTTGTTTATATTACGTAAAATGAAAACAAAAATACATTACGATCAAAATGCAGCGATACTGCTCAACCAGAGTTTCTCCACATTGCGTTCATTACCTCCCTAGCTTTGCTTTTCATTGACTTTGATTCTTTGCTCACACTGCAAAGCTTATTATTCAAACAAGAGTATTACAAACAATGATTACATTACGCACAAATTGTAAAGTGTGTGCAGTTAACATTACTAACGTCACCTTTGCTGTAAGTTTTTCAATAGAAGAAAATGTTTCCTTTATTCATTTTTCCGAAACGATCCCAACGATCTTTTATTTTCACAATTAATTTTTGCATTTCAACGTTTCTTACAATGGTGGAACAATTCGATAGAGCGGTTTCCATAGGTTTATGTCATTATGCAAGTACCACTATTTTTAAAAAGACATGTTTCATTTGAATTAACATGCTAATGATAATTTGAGAAATTACTGAGAAATGTTGCCGATCTAAAATGTATTTTCTTGTCACTAAAGTTTAGAAAACCTTTTGTCAGATTCTAAAATCGAGCGGTGGAAGAGGAGAGGTTTAAAGGCTGTACGGTATTATAATGAAGAATAGCTTTTCAAGAAAGCGGCACTTCAATTTTGATCGAAATTATTGCTTTGAATTACTTGCCAGGAGGTGCTGATGTGTTAAAAATTTCATCGACCGAAATTACCCCTAGCGCTTTTTCCCTGACATAAAGTCATAGTAGTGCAACCTCTCTTGCTTCACTTTGGAAGATTTTTTGAATATGGCCTGTAAGAGGCCTGTGAAACACCGTTAGCCTGTAAGAGACCAGTGAAACACCGTTAGCCTGTAAGAGACCAGTGAAACACCGTTAGCCTGTAAGAGACCAGTGAAACACCGTTAGCCTGTAAGAGGCCAGTGAAACACCGTTAGCCTGTAAGAGACCAGTGAAACACCGTTAGCCTGTAAGAGACCAGTGAAACACCGTTAGCCTGTAAGCGGCCAGTGAAACACCGTTAGCCTGTAAGAGGCCAGTGAAACACCGTTAGCCTGTAAGAGACCAGTGAAACACCGTTAGCATGTAGGAGGCCAGTGAAACACCGTTAGCCTGTTGGAGGCCAAAATCACCACGACAAAGAGTGAGGTGATAAATTTCATGTAGCTGCGAACTTTCCACAAAAATATATACAATTCATCCTAAAGCAATTCTTCTAACGGCAGCATAATATAAACAATGCCAAATTAAACATTTATCATGCTAATATTACATGAATTAAGTATGAAATAAGAGTTTAGATAGCGAACCGTTTTTACATGTTTCATTAAATCTCTCAAAAACTTCATAACCTTTAAACACCCATAAAGACTTGGTTTGCCATTGATGCAATGAAGTTGGTAATCGTGTGTGTAACATTTAGGTTTCCTGATGTGAATTGCAAATTCCTGATCAACTGCGATACTTTTCTCTTCGTCTGGCTATGATCGAGTTCGCCTGATAAACTGTGTTCTCCTAAAGGTTTTTTTTGGATTTAAAATTGTTGCCAATCGACCTCATTTCTTTTAGATAATTGGCACAACGTAGTCAATCGGAGCTTCGCGATCGACTTCAGAAGTGACTCCATCGTGGCACGGACGAAAATACTTTACTTTTGTTGTTTTTCATAACAATAAAACCTTTCATACTAAGATATAAAAGAGATCAAAATTATGTCAACTCACGTACTACCTTTCTTCATCATTTGCATGGCATTCTTGTTAAAAACCATACGATTCCTATCATCACTCAAAGGAAAGATGATCTGATGGTTGACGATCAGGCTATTCGAAACACTCGCAGTGGAAATTAAATATTCTTTCACTATTGACATAAATTTGAGACGAATATTAGAAAAGCAATCAGTACGAGACCTGGGTAGCAGGTGATACAAGTCAGTTCGATATAGAAAGCAAATATTACGTGCGTCTCCTTGACTTAACTTAAATGAAAATGATTTTTGGATCTAATTGCAACCGACATTTTTCATCTTAAGACTCCATGACGTGTTATAGAGCGTTAACATCCCAGACTGAACTGTTGTCCGTAAATGCACAAGCTGATTATTTTTAACGTTAAATACACTGTATGATAAGGGGTCTAGCCTATAAGGTTGACTTTGAGCTAAAATCGAACATATGCAAAATAAACACGCACCACTTCACAATGAAAGTATTTTGCAAATTAATGCTTCCTAAACGTGGGATCACCTAAAGTTTGGCTGACATTACGAGCCCAACCAACGTGGAGAAGCCATTTCTGAACATGCTTAAATTGATATAGAGGATAAATGTTATTCTACATGCCTCACTCTCTGAACATTTCGCAGACCAGCATATTCATATATTGACAAAATACGCAGAATCTAGCGTTACTCTGAGGGATTAGTTAACTACGTGAAAAAGATAGAAATTAGATTACAGTGGCAAGGACATCAATGACACACCTACCATAGATGTACTCTGTACTCGGCTCGTGTGTGCTCCACATTTTGAAGCGTACGTTTTCTTCAGAAGACCCCCCCCCCCGAACCACTTAGAGTGATGGAGGTTTCCTCTTAAAATCTTATTATTGGTATCTTATTATGATTATTATCATTACTACTATTGTCATTGTCATTACTATTGATTGAAACTGGTCTTTGATGGGGCTATCTTGAGGTACGATTAGACTTATCCCGATTGTGCGCATAAAATGCGGGAAAGTTGCTCATTTAAATGCCAAAAAAGTTGCAAACAAATTGAAAATTTATACTGTAAGGTGCTACCTGAATTCCTTGATATATTATACAAACGTTAATCCAAATCTTAATTTTCATTCTTCACAATAATTCCACACATTGGTCACGAAAAAAAAGCTTAAAATTTACCTTTAAAGAGTAGCTCGCAAATATGGGCGAAATTTAAGGATACTCTTATGCCTAAAGGAACAAGATATATGTTTCATTCGACGTCTTGCCATCTTACAATATCAGATAAGAATCGCAACGGGCATGAGAAAAGTTCTCAAGTGTTGATAAAATATTTAGAAATCTGCATAGATAAACGTTTTCTGCGAAGTTGTTGATTTTTTGGGCTTGAAATGTGCCCTAAACCTATATTTTGCTCAAAAACTGCCCATGAATGCAATAGTTGGAGAGAAGACAAAGGTAAATCCCATGATAAAAATGCTTATGTATGCACGTGCATCCATAACTTGATGTGTGCTATGCAGTTTCACTGCAGCTGTAAGTTCCCGTCGAGTTTTCAACCCTTTCAATATTGCTTTTCCGTTCCATCCCGACTTAGATAGATGTTTTGGAGCTCAAAATGAAAAGTAAATATGCTAATCTACTATGCTTTTTTCGAAAAACAAAATGAGAATGTGGACCTTTCAAGCGAAGAAATTCGTTTTGGAGTTAAAGGTACTTCGTTCCCAAACGCGATGCGAATTATGCCTTGAAAAGAACAAAGTCATCTTTCTGACTTTAATTGAAGCTTTGCGACGAGGGGATAATTCTTTAGAACGGCAAATATTATTTTAAGTCTTAATGTCCTTAAAGTATTGTTCAATTGAAGATTTTGGTTTAAATCGTAAAATTCTGAGAAGTTTGACGCAAACTCTCGCAATTTTCTGGCCGTGAATTTTTTGATCTCCATCGTTTGACTCCCAAATGTTCAGTTCACACGGATCGTCCGTTTTCTGCGACGTTGCAACGATAAAAATACTCGACATTGTGTGAAACCACTTCTGAAAAAGGGGGAAAAGGCCAAAAAAGAGGAGAGGAGGAGTTTTCGGTAAAAGTCAGTTTTGCCGAGAAAAAAAGAAGCAGCGGAAAAAAAGCGAGACTCGTGAAATTTGACTTTGGTGTGGATGGTGCGTGTCAAATATTGGTCTCAATTTCCACAAAACTTCATTTAAAAAGACACAAATGCATTTATCGTTTCCATCTAGAACTGCAGAGCCGAGCTGAATAATCAAAGTGAGTGTTAACCTCTTTCAAGACAGTCCTTATCGATGCTTACGGACAAAACATTGAAACTACAAAATCCGATAATACAACATATTCATGCTCGAATCAAACATTATTTC